AAACAGGCTCCAGGCTCTGAGCTGGCAGTCAGCACAGAGCCCAATGCGGGGCTCGAACCCACGAACCGCGAGATCATGACCTAAGTGAAAGTCGGTCGCTTAACCGACTAAGCCACCCAGGCACCCCCAAGGGGAATATTTCTAAAAGAGGGACTTTTTATCTACAATTGGTTACCTGCTAATACAGTTTGTATGGGGATAGCATGATAAATGCTGATTCTTGGGGCTCCTGGGTGCCTCAGTCGGTTAAGGGAAGGGTCTACTTTTGGCTCAGGTCATGACCTCAGGGTTTGTGAGTTCAAGTCCCACATCAGGCTCTGTGCTGACAGCTCAGAGCCTGGAGCCTGTTTCAGATTCTGTGTCTCCCTCTCTCTCTTCCCCCCGCACCCCCTCCCCATGCTTGTGCTCTGTCTCTCTCTCTCTCAAAAATAAACAAACATCAAACAATTTTTAATAAATGCTGATTCTTTTCCCTTTATGTGCTGGTTTTCAGAATAATGAATTGGTTCTCTAGTATCCTTCAATATTGCCAATTAGTCTTTTTGAAGTAACATTATGAATATATAAGTGAAAATTTGTTTGATGTGCCCGCCCATGGCAATTATTATTACAGATGCTTAAACTGTCCCATCTTTAGCTAATGAGATCCTCTCTGAGCTGGCTTCTCACTGTGTCTGACAAGACTCCCATCTTTGGTAGCTTCTTTATTGTCTTGTGTGACAAGATGTTACGTATTCATCTCATGATTTCCCTGCCCTAGACCGGAAACCAGCCATTTCTTCAAAGATTCCTGGATCTTTTTAGTGCAAATAGTACTTTGAGACCACAGTCTGGGTTGTTGCTACTGCAATTTTTATTTCCAGGTCATTTCAATGGATAAGGTTAGGAAATATGTTTTTTGTTTCTATTTTATAGTTTCATTGAGGTGTAAGGGGCCTACAAGAAAGTGCACAGATTTAAAATGTGTCTATACCTGTGACCCCTTCACCACAATGAAGACAGTGAACATACCCATCACCCCGAAAAGTTTCTTCAGGCTTCTTTGTAATCCTTTCCATTCTCCCCTCCCCTCCCCGGCCATTCCTCCCCCCAGTTAACTCAGGCAATCATTTGTTTTTAAACATAATATGGAGAGCATGGGTGGCTCAGTCGGTTAAGCGCCTGACTTCGCTCAGGTCATGATCTCATGGTTCGTGGGTTCGAGCCCCACGTCGGGCTCTGTGCTGACAGCCAGCTCAGAGCCTGGAGCCTGCTTCAAATTCTGTGTCTCCCTCTCTCTCTGACTGTCCCCTGTTCATGCTGTCTCTCTCTCTCTCAGAAATAAATAAAACAGTAAAAAATTTTTAGGCATAATATAATATACATCCTCAATTCATAATTCAACATCAGCTGTAGGATTTTGACTTCATCTCTTCTAGTTTTTTTTTCTTTTATAGTTTATTGTTAAGTTGGTTTCCATAACACGCAGTGCTCATCCCAAAACAAGTGCCCTCCTCCATGCCCATAACCCCTTTTCCCCTCTCCCTCACCCTCATCAACCCTCAGTTTGTTCTCAGTATTTAAGAGTCTCATGATTTGCCTCCTCCCTCTCCTTAAATATTCCCCCTCTCCCTCCCTCATGGTCCTCTGTTAAGTTTCTCCTATGCCACATATGAGTAAAAACATATGGTATCCGTCCTTCTCTGCCTGACTTATTTCGCTCAGCATAACACCCTTGAGTTCCATCCACGTTGCTACACATGGCCAGATTTCATTCTTTCTCATTGCCATGTAGTATTCCATTGTATAGATAAACCACATCTTCTTGATCCATTAGTCAGTTGATGGCTCTTTCCATGATTTGGCTGTTGTTGAAAGTGCTGCTATGAACATTGGGGTACATGTCATCTCTTCTAGTTTAACATCTGAATTTCCTTTTTCCGATGCTGAGAATACTGCTTTCTCAGCAACACTGGGAATGGCAGAATTGGAGTATGACACAATTACTCATTTGTTTTATCTGTAACAGTGAGTGCTTCTTAACTGTTAGTTCCCTGCAATGCTTATCCCCTTCCCCTTTTAAAGGGCAAAGAATTCTTCTCCATAATTTTCTCTTCTAATATTTACAAAGAACAGAGACAGGTCTTTTCATCTTGAACTTCCCTAGAGGCCTATGGTTATGAGTCCTCGGTAATTTCTGGAAGGGGTCTTTGTGGAGATGATCTTGGCCTCAAGTTGTGCAAAGGACTGTCCTGAGAGATAGCGGTGCAGTTTACTCTGGTTCTAGAAAACCAGAAAGATCTTTCTGGAAGGGGCTAGTAGAGACAGGTAGGCAGACAGAGAGTTACATCTGCTATGGTAAGTGCTGCCATAATGGGGGTGCACGAAAGGCACACAGGAGGGGTACATGTGCCAGCTTTGCTGCTGGTGTATCAGGGAAGCCTTCCTGAAGGAGAGAATGTCTATATGGGGTCCTGACAGAGGAGCAGCAATGAATGATGCTGGGACTTAATAGCGAAGAGGGAGAAGGAATTTTCAGGGACAGCAGAAGCAACAGACCAAAGGCCCAGAAATAGGAGAGACGGGGTCCTCAGAGAAACTGCAAATAAAGAGCTAACTGCAACGTGGGTGAGTGGGAAGGGAAGGCATGAGAAAGTTCTGGTTATCTCACATCATTGCCTCGTATACAGCAAGAGCTCAAAGTATCCTGGTTTTAGAAGCGCATACTTTTTAACAGCAATGACAACAATAGCTGGTCACAATTACCAAGTGAAATACCCCGTGCCAGGAGCGTTGCGTAAATGATCTCACTTAATGACCTATGGCAAGGCTAGGCAGGCGGTCCCTTCCTGCATTCAAGAGAACAAGTTCAGGGGTGCCGGGGTGGCTCAGTTGGTTAAGCGTCTGACTCTTGATTTCGGCTCAGGTCATGATCTCAGGTTTATGGGATCAAGCCCCATGTCGGGCTCTGGGCTGGCAGTGTGGATGGAGCCTGCTTTGGATTCTCTCTCTCTCTGCCCTCCCCTGCTTGCATGCTCTCTCTCTCAAAATAAACATTTTTTTTTTTTTAAAGAAAAGAAAACAAGTTCAGGGGGCGCCTGAATGATTCAGTCGTTTAAGTGTCTGACTCTTGATTTCAGCTCTGGTCATGATCTCACGGTTCATGGCATCAAGATCCTGGTCGAGCTCTGGGCTGGCAGCACGGAGCCTACTTGGGATTCTCTCTTTTCTCTCCCTCTTTTTCTGCCCCTCCCCCACTTGCACTCGTGCTCACACTCTCTCTCAAAATAAATATTAGAAAGAAGAAAAAGAAAGAGAGAAAACAAGTTCAGGGAAGGTCAAGACACACAGCTACTAGGTCTAAAGTCCTACACCTATTATGAAGCAGGACTCAAGACCTTGAATTTTCTGGGGCCAAAGCTCGAACTCTTTCTTCCATCTCTTCACCTGGGATATTCTCCAAGGGAGTCACCTAGAATTACACTCAGGTTCCAGTGAACATGCATATCAGTGGGAGAAACCGTGAGGTCCCAAGAGTGCACTTACTTTCTTCTTGGTTCAGGCAAGTAGCCATCTTCTTGATTTCTCCCAGCTTGGTATTGCCGGCGGACCGCTCTAACGCAGGCCAGGTCACTCCCTTGTGCCCTGAGATCCAAGTGCTAAAAGCCAAGCCAGGCAGCCCAGCTTCAGTCCTTCCTCATACTGGACCCTGTCCCTCTGGGTCTCAGTTGATGAGGGAAACAAAGGAAAGAGAAATGTAGCTTAAATTAAATCTCCTCTCAGCATGTAACTCACTGTTAGGTACTTGAAACATGCAGAGTGACCTTCCCCGAGCAACCCACGGCTGCCTTACTTCCCTGATGTTTTTATTTCATTAAACACTAAAAGTAATTTTATATTGGGGCGCCTGGGTGGCTCAGTCGGTTAAGCGTCCGACGTTCGCTTAGGTCACGATCTCGCGGTTCGTGGGTTCGAGCCCCGCGTCGGGCTCCGTGCTGACAGCCAGCTCAGAGCCTGGAGCCTGTTTCAGAGTCTGTGACACCCTCTCTCTCTGACCCTCCCCTGCTCACACTGTCTCTCTCTCTCCTAGAAATAAATAAAAATATTTTTTAAAAAAAAGTAATTTTATCTTATCAGCAGCTAGCCCCTCAAGGTCCTGAAAGTCTTGCTTCCAAGTTCCTTAGAAACTTACTTTATCTCTATTCCCTCCCTCCACAAACTTAAAAATATATAATCAGCCACTCCTCTTAACCCCAGTGTGGCTCTTTCTGCCCAGGGGTCCTGTCCCTGTGCTTTATTAAAAATCACCTTTTGGCACCAAGGATGTCTCAGTAATTCTTTCCTAGCCATTCGCTCACGAACCCCATCATCAGTGAAGTCTTTCTCGATTTGGTTTTTCTTGGATTCCACACAGATTTCTAGCAAGGCATTAACGCATTATTTCGTTTATACAACTTCCCCCCTCTCGCAGATTGAGTGCCCCTTAAGGTCGAGGACTGTGTCTTTATTTGTCTGTATTTCCTGCTACAGGCATGGCAGGGAACAAACACCTAGGAGGCTCGTTCAAACTCTCTAAGCCCCAGTGTCCTCCCAGGAAAAAAGGACCTAACAATTCTCACCTCGGGGGGAGCCACTTAGATAATGTCTAAGCAGAACTTAACAGAGTACTCGGCATGTCATTAAGTGCTCAATAAATGATGTCTCCTATGATTACTATTACCGTGTTATATAATAATATTGTGTATTTCATAGTATTACTGCTAATAACTGAGTGAAAGCATTAGTAAGTAGAGGCATGAATGAATGAGGTGACTTCAATAAAAATCCTGACTTTGGCCCAGAGTAGGAGTGAACTTTAATATCCTTTGCCCCATGGACTGAGAATGATTAAATGTGTTGCGGTATTAATTTTTTGTTTGTTTTGTTGTCTCTGTTTTGGATGAAACCCTATAACATGGGCAGGCTTCAGCCAAAAGTTCTCCCAATTCTTGGACGAGGATTCCTCCAGGTGTGTTAGAAGGTGAAGGGTGAAGGAAGCTGACTTCATTTTTCTGAGTTGGTTTTGACTCCTTGGGTGACCTCCCTGTGGATGAATCATAAAGACACAAACAGATTTAAAAAAAACTAGTAGAATGTAGAACCAAATTCCCAGGATTCTATCATCAGCCTAGAGTGAAACCACCCAGAGTGAAACTGGTCAGAAGGCTGGGAAATGAAGGTGAAACTGATAGACTTGTGAAGTGTCTGAATGTCCTGGGGGCAGATTTATATAACCAAGGAGGAATTTGGAGATAAATTGTGATAAGTACATAATGGGAAAAAAAAAAAAGCAAGAAAACAGGCAGATTAAAAAGAGAGAAGGATTGGGCGCCTGGGTGGCTTAGTCAGTTAGGCGTCCGACTTTCGCTTAGGTCATGATCTCGCGGTTTGTGGGTTCGAGCCCCGCGTCGGGCTCTGTGCTGACTGCCAGCTCAGAGCCTGGAGCCTGTTTCAGAGTCTGTGACACCCTCTCTCTCTGACCCTCCCCTGCTCATGCTGTCTCTCTCTCTCCTAGAAATAAATAAAAATATTAAAAAAAAAAGAGAGAGAGAAGGATTTCGTTCCAGGGATAGTAAAAGGTTTTATAAGAAAACAAAAATACCACAGTATCTTCCCTCACAGCAGTGGTGTTGATGGTATAATGCTGATCAGTGATCCAAACCAAATCGCAACAGAAACACACTGGAGGATGAGAGACCGGAAGTGTGTGCGTATGAGAGGCAGCCCAGTCCTTACCTTTCCTGGGAGGAACTCAACAGACAATGTCTAACACTGAGAGGCAAGGAGCCAGAGCACCATGGTATTTAGACATGAGAAGGATAACAAATACTCAAACAATCAGTTAAGAAAGTGGAAAATGTGTTGCTGGGGAATGGAAAGGGGGTCCAGAGGAGTGCGATTTTTTGTAACAATCTTTGTAGAACTATTCACCAGTTATCTAGCATTTACATTATGCTTTCCATAGTTAATCAGTTAATTTAAGAGGCACTTACATATTACTTTGCATCAGGCACTGTTCTCAGGGCTTTATGTTAACCAATTGAATCCTCATAACCAGCTTTTTTTTTTTTAAGTTTATTTATTTATTTGGAGAGAGACAGAGACAGCTCAAGTAGAGGAGAGGCAGAGAGAGAGAGGGAGACTGAGAATCCCAAGTGGGTTGCACACTGTCAGTGCACAGCCCAACTTGGGGCTCGAACTCGTGAAGCCATGAGATCATGACCTAGATCGAAACCAAGGATCGGACACTTAACTGACTGAGCCACCCAGGCACCCCAAATCCTCATAACAACCTTATACTATACGTGCTATTTTCATCCCCATTTTACAAATGAAGAAATTTGACACACAAGAAGTGAGAAGTTAAGTAATTGCTCAAGGTCACAGGGCTAGTTAATAGGTAGGATTAAAACCCAGGTGATCTGAACCCAGAGCTGCTTCTCTATTTAATTTTTTTAACAGATTTTTTAAAGTTAATTATTTATTTTTGAGAGAAGGAGCATGAGCAGGGGAGGGACAGAGGGTGAGAGGGGGCACAGAGGATCTGAAGTGGGGTCTGTGCTGACAGCAGAGTGCCTGATGCAGGGCTTGAACCCACCAACTGTGAGATTGTGACCTGAGCTGAAGCTGGATGCTTAACCATCTGAGCCACCCAGACGCCCCCTCTTTGTTTAATTTTTAAAGGATGAATATGTATTATTTTAATTGAAATAAAAACAAAAAAATGAAATCAGTGAGATCTTTTAAGAGAGTTTATTTCCAACTTTATGGGTATAGAGAGGCCAAGTCCTAAAATGTAATCAATTTTTTATATAGGCAATTAACTGAAGCAGAATGCTCAACACACATTAGCTTATCATTAATTCCTTTGCCAAAAATTCACTGAATCCTTACTATGTGCCAGCCACAGGAGCAGGTGCAAAAAGATTCAATGCTAAATGAGACAAGGTCCTTGAACTTGTGAGACTTATAGTAGAGAGAGGCAGACAAATAATTCCATCACTAGAGTAGGTCATATTCAATGGAGCAAGCTTGGAAAGCACAGAACACCAAATAGACACTCACTGGTGCAGTCTGGGGAGACTTCCTGGAGGTAGTGATGCCGAGCTGGGCTTTAAGAGTCACGTGGGAGTTAGCCACACGAAAAAGTTGCTAAAGCATATTTAAAGAAGAGGAAAGAGGGGCGCCTGGGTGGCTTAGTCGGTTAAGCATCCGACTTTCGCTTAGGTCATGATCTCGCGGTTCGTGGGTTCGAGCCCCGCGTCGGGCTCTGTGCTGACTGCCAGCTCAGAGCCTGGAGCCTGTTTCAGTCTGTGACTCCCTCTCTCTCTGACCCTCCCCTGCTCACGCTGTCTCTCTCTCTCTCTCCTAGAAATAAATAAAACATTAAAAAAAAATCACAAAAAAAAATAAAGAAGAGGAAAGAGCAATGAATACTCATTAAAATGAATTGAGTTGGTTGCTCTCTTCTTCCATTCTGAAATATCAAAATGTGAGTAACTATAGCATTTATAAGCCCCTCCTAACCTAAACTTTCCATAGCCCAAACCAGCAGGGAGCAAACCATGCTGCTATAGGTCGGTATCAGTGGCTATTTCTCTAATCAAAGGAAAAAAATAAATTGATAAAAATTTCTTCATATTAAGTTTACTTAAGACTTCTCTTAAGGGCGCCTAGGTGGCTCAGTAGGTTAAGCACCTGACTCTTGGTTTTGGTGCAGGTTATGATCTCACGGTGTCATGGGTTCGAGTCCTGCATCAGACTCTGAGCTGGTGACATGGATTGGGATTCTCTGTCTCTCTCTGCCCCTCCCCCACTTGCACTGTCTCTGAGTCTCTCAAAGTAAATAAATTTTTAAAAAGTTAAAAAAAAAAACTTCTCTTAAAAATAGTTAGGCTAGGGCCGCCTGGGTGGCTCAGTCAGTTGAGTGTCTGGCTTCGGCTCAGGTCATGATCTCGCATTTCGTGGGTTCAAGCCCCGTGTTGGGCTCTGTGTTGACCACTCAGAGCCTGCTTCGGATTCTGAGTCTCCCTCTCTCTCTGCCCCTTCCCCACTCATGCTCTGTCTGTCTCTCTCTCTCTCTTAAAAAATGAATAAACGTTAAAAAAAAATTTTTTTTTTAAAAAAGGCCTAAGAGCTCTGAGGAGAAGCATTTAATCCCGAAGTTCTGTGTGTGAGTCAGGGAAAGCTTCCTGGAGGAGGAGACATCATCTGCCCGGACTCCGCAGAAGTAGCAAGGGTTGGCTGGGGCAGGAGGTCAGGGGTGGGAGGGAGAATGGCACTTCCTACAGGGGAAGAAGCTTATGGACTGCAAGGCCCAAAGGCAGGAAGAGCTCAGCCTCCTGGCGTATCTTCAGGGACTCAGTGTGGCTCAAGAGATGGCTGGGAGTGGGGGTGGAAGGCCTTGTATCTAAGACTGAATTTTAGCCCCAGATCCTTAGGAGGATGAGGAGAAACTGCAGATGTTAAGCAAAGGAGTAGCATGATGAGCTATGGAGTTTTGAAAGAGACCCTTGAGGAGCCTGGGTCTTGATTCAAGTGAGCCTGAGCTGCCTCCTTGGAAAAACAGGAAAAATAAAGTTCACCTCCCAGCACTGTCTCTAGACTTGAATGGGACCACAGGCTGTGCCTGGCATGGGGCAAAGACAGCTTCGCTCAGTTTCCCTCCCAGTATTTGTTTGTTTTTTTTTTTTTTAATTTCTAGGAGAGAGAGAGAGAGAGAGAGAGAGAGATAGTGTGAGCAGGGGAGGGTCAGAGAGAGAGGGAGTCACAGACTGAAACAGGCTCCAGGCTCTGAGCTGGCAGTCAGCACAGAGCCCGACGCGGGGCTCGAACCCATGAACCGCGAGATCATGACCTAAGCGAAAGTCGGACGCTTAACCGACTAAGCCCCCCAGGAGCCCCTTCCCTCCCAGTATTTGTAACAGGAGGAGGGGGCCTGCTTCTTCTTCAGGCTCCAGAAAGCCTGGAGTCGCCCGGTCCTTAGTGACTCTGAGAGAAGGTTCTAGGGAGCCATCTTCAGGCCCAGGCTCTGCCCTGTCCGAATGCGAAGCTTTAGGAGCTTAGAGACTTTTCCCTGCAGGTAAGAGTTTACGTGTTTTCTGGAGCTTCACTGTTTCAGTGCCCTGTGGTGGGCAAGCAGGATAAGGACTTCCCTAGAAGGTGGGAAACCCAGGCTTCCAGGGCCTTGAAAACTGGGCAGTCCTTCTGGGCTGGGCTAGGCCAGGGATCTCGGGCAGCTAAGCTCAAAGACGGCCCGGACGGAGGAATGTAAGAAGCTTTATGAAACAGTAATACGATGCCTGTTAATATTGCCAGGTTCTATGCCAGGCTCTTTGTATGGGTTAGCTCTTTACACATAAGAACCATCCACATTTTATTTACTTAAAAAAATTTTTTTAATGTTTTATTTATTTCTAGGAGAGAGAGAGACAGTGTGAGCAGGGGAGGGTCAGAGAGAGAAAGAGGGAGATACAGAATCTAAAGCAGGCACCAGGCTCTGAGCTGTTAGCACAGAGCCTGATGCAGGGCTTGAACCCACAAACCGCGAGATCATAACCTGAGCCGTAGTTGGACACTTAACTGACTAAGCCACCCAGGCACCACACAACCACCTATGTTTCTCATGACCAAGGAAACAGACCCAAAGGACGTAGTTAACCTATAGGCACAGAGGACGCAGGGCAAAGATTCAAAACCCCAGATCTCTTTTGAGTCAAAGCTCCTTCTACTGCTTCATCCACCATCAGGACTTTTAAAATCCAAATACAATCATGTGCTTCTCACATTAATATCTTCCAGCGGGTCCTGAGACTTAGAAAATAAAGGGCCTCACGGATCATATCCCTTCCCGGGTGGTCAGAGGATCGTCTCTGGGTTCACCTTCCCCGGAGGCTCCCCTCACACACTATCTCTGAACCTTTGTCTCTACTGCTCTGCCCACCAAGAATGCCAGCCTATGGTCTCATCCCCTCCTTCTGCCTGGCAAACACCTTCTTATCCTTCCCAGAGGTGGGTCAAGGGGCACCACGCTTCTGTAACGTGTTCCTGCGTGGCTCCTAGGACTCCTCTCTCCAAAAGCACCTCAGGAGCTTAGGGTATTTATTTCTTGACTCACCTGCCTTCTCTCCACCGGATTGGGAGCCCCTTGAAAATAGGGACCATGTGTCAGCTCCTGTTACTTAACCCAGTGTCTGCTGCAGGGGAACTTTTGAAACCCCCTTGAACCTGGGCCTGCTGCTGTGTAAAATGCAGGGGATAATCTCTACCCATATGCTGTTATGAAGGTTACAATGACGTGATGTTGGTAATGTGTTGAGCTTAATGTGTCTGGTTCATAAACGGTAGCCATTATCGTATTATAATATAATATGATATCATACCATAATATAATAGTTGTAGTATTTTAAATAAAATGATGGGTAAAAGACTAAATGCATGAATAAATGTAGTTAGCCAAGCAAAAAACAAACAAACAGGGGCCCCTGGGTGGCTCAGTCAGTTAAGCGTCTGACTCTGGCCCAGGACATGATCTCACAGTTTGTGGGTTCGAGCCCCGCATCGGGCTCTGTGCTGACAGCTCAGAGCCTGGAGCCTGCTTCAGATTCTTGGTCTTCCTCTCTCTCTGCCCCTCCTCCCCTGCTTACACGCTGTGTCTCTGTCTCTGTCTCTCTCTCAAAAATAAATAAACATTAAAAAATTAAAGAAACAAAACAAAAAAATGAAAAAACCCACTTCTGCTTTTCATTCAGCCCAGGAAAAGCTGTAATGGAATATTTCCCCTATTTCTGTTTGTCAGTCTTTGGCTACAGCCTCCTTCGGCTCCGGTTGTTTCCCCCTACCTGGCAGAAATATCCAGGCTCCTGCAGGGGCTCCCCAGTCCCACGGAGGAGAATTAATCAGGGTTTGAGGGCGACAAGAGGGAGTGTTCCAGCTTCTGTCTGGCTTCTCGTTCCCTCTCATCCTTTTCCTTCCTGTGGGGGGAAACCAAAAAGACTTCACAAAGATCAGATCCGAAACTCTGCATGATTTCTTCCAAGGTTTCACAGGAATCTTGGTAGATTGGAAAAAAAAAAAAAAAAAGAAAGAAAGAAAAAGTTTACAGATGAGCCAATAACAACGGCAACAGCAAATGACTGGGGCAGGATCCCCACATCCATCTTCTGAGCACTGCCCGAGGCCCTGTGGGGTGCCTGGCCCTGGACTTGGCCCTGGGAAACCAGATCTCTTAGGCCAAATCGTCAGTCCAGGGAGATGGACAAGCAAGTCTGTGACTACATAGGCTATGTCCTGTGGAGCACGATCAGAAAAGCACAGGGTGGGGCGCCTGGGTGGCTTAGTCGGTTAAGTGTCCGACTTTCGCTTGGGTCATGATCTCACGGTTCGTGGGTTCGAGCCCCTCGTCGGGCTCTGTGCTGACTGCCAGCTCAGAGCCTGGAGCCTATTTCAGAGTCTGTGTCTCCCTCTCTCTCTGACCCTCCCCTGCTCATGCTGTCTCTCTCTCTCCTAGAAATAAATAAAAATATTTAAAAAAAAGAAAAGAAAGAAAAGCACAGGGCACATAATGGGAACCCTAAGTAGATAAATCAGGGAAGACTTCTTGGAGGTAATACCTCAGCTGGGTTTTAAGGGTCAGCCAGGAGGTACTAGATTAAGACGTAGTTGGGAGATAGGCAAATCTGGGGGAACAACTATATTGGCAAATAAAATGAGTTGGCTTTTTATATTTCCAAGAATCTAAGGTGAGTATCAGTAAGATCATATCTGATAGATCAGTGAGTCGCTATTGATCTGTAAGATGCCATGGCTCAAGCTGGTGGGTCTCAAGTCAAACTGTTATTATCAAAAAATTGTGGGGGTGCCTGGGTGGCTCAGTTGGTTGAGTGTCTGACTCCTGATTTTGATTCAGGTCATGATCCCAGGGTGGTGGGATTGAGCCCCTATTGGGCTCCGTACTCAGCATGGATGCCTGCTTGAGATTCTCTCTCTCTTTCTCTGCCCTTTTCCCCTGCTCACACACTTTCTCTCTCTAAAATACATTTTTTTTTTGAGAGAGAGAGAGAGAGAGTACGCAAGTGAGAGTAGGGAAGAGAGAAAAAGAGAATGTCAAGAACAGGGGAGAGAGAGGGAGAGAGAAGCAGGGCTCACCCAAGCGAGGCATGAGCTCACCAGATGTGGGACTCAAACTCATGAACCATGAGATCATGACCAGAGCCGAAATCAGAGGCTTAATGACGGAGCAACCCAGATGCTGCTCTAAAATAAAATTTTTTTAAAATGAAAAAAAAAGTGGACTTCTTCTCTTTAAAAGGAAAATTAAAATTGTAAGATTTAAGATTGGAAGGCTTCCAGGGTGGCTCAGTTGGTTGAGCGTGGGGCTCTTGATTTTGGCTCAGGTCATGATCTTGTGGTTCATGAGATCAAACCCTGAGTCTGGCTCTGCACGATAGCACAGAGCCTGCTTGGGATTCTCTGTCTCCCTCTGTCTGCCCCTCCCCCACTAGTGTTCTTTCTCCCTCTCTCAAAATAAATAAATCAACTGGAAAAAAAGATTGGAAAGTTTCCTTGGCTAAATTTCTCAACTCGTTAAGCTTTGGTTTCTTCTCAAAAAATGGAGAGTATAACACCATCTATCTGTGATAGAAATGGTTACTTTCCAGCCCATCATCTACTCCCTTTTTCTTTAGCAGTGGAGTCAGTTTTTGTTTAAGGTAGTAATGTGCCCAGATTTTTTTTAACTACACTTTTTTAAAACAACATTTCCTAGTCTCCTTTGAAATGAACATAGCCATAATATCTGCCCCTTGAAAGAAAGTCCAATAATATATGGCATTTCCAGGGAGATGATTTTATTTATTTCTTTGCACCTTTAGGACCTGACACAGTGGGCCTTTCTTCAGTGTTTACTTGGCTTGTCAGCGCCTCAGTTTTCCATTCAGTAAAATGGGAGCGATTGATGAGGGAGTGCAGGGCAAGCTGATGGCAAAGTACAGACTAACAGTGCCTCCCACACCCATTGCCGGGTGGGATGTGTGTGACATTCCTCAGACACTTCCTGCTGCTCAAGAACAGGGAAAAGGAAAGAAAGCAAATGGTTGACAGAGAGAACTCACAGTCGTGTAGAACAAGAGTCTCCTTCAGTCTATGGATAGCTTCGTAAACGGCAAGAAAAAGGCAATTTTATCCAGAGCCTAAATCTCCAGAAATCTATAGACTCCCTTTCCTGGAGCCCTACTATCACTCTCCTCAAGATGTAAGGGAGTTTGGGGTGCCTGGGTGGCTCAGTCGGTTAAGCGTCCGACTTTGGCTCAGGTCATGATCTTGCAGTTCATGGGTTCAAGCCCTGCGTCGGGCTCTCTGCTGACCACTCGGAGCCTGGAGCCTGTTTCAGATTCTGTGTCTCCCCCTCTCTCTGCCCTTCCGCAGCTCATGCTCTGTCTCTATCTCTCAATAATAAATAAATGTTAAAAAAAAAAAAAAAAGAATTTGGGCACCTGGGTGGCTCAGTTGGGTGAGCATCCGACTTCAGCTCAGGTCATGATCTCGTAGTCTATGAGTTCAAGCCCCGCGTTGGACTCTGGGCTGGCAGCTCGCTCTGAGCTGATAGCTCGAAACCTGAAGCCTGATTCAGATTCTGTGTCTCCTCTCTCTGCCCCTCCCCTGCTCATGCTCTGTCTCTCTGTCTCTCAAAATAAATAAATGTTAAAAAAAAAAAAAAAAGAATTTGGGCACCTGGGTGGCTCAGTTGGGTGAGCATCCGACTTCAGCTCAGGTCATGATCTCGTAGTCTATGAGTTCAAGCCCCGCGTTGGACTCTGGGCTGGCAGCTCGCTCTGAGCTGATAGCTCGAAACCTGAAGCCTGATTCAGATTCTGTGTCTCCTCTCTCTGCCCCTCCCCTGCTCATGCTCTGTCTCTCTGTCTCTCAAAATAAATAAATGTTAAAAAAATTTTTTTAAAAAGAATTCTTTCTTGGCTGTCAGCTCCAAACCCCACAAACACACCCCCATCACCCCCAAACTTCATTGCTACTACCATGAATTATAATAAAAATGAGAGCTGGGTGAATAACACATCAAAGTGAGTAAATCTACATGTGCTATTTTCCATGTATTAATGACGTGGGGAAAACAAAGGCAGGAAGAAATGTAGATAAAATTAAATTTCCTTATAACCTGCAGCCCATTGATCCTAGAAGCAGGCAGAGTATGACGTTCCTCCCGGAGCCCCCAACTGTCTCAATGTCAATGCTTTGCTAGCAGGAAAAACAACTTGAGCTTGACAATAGCTAAGCTTCCCGGAAGTGAGTCTTCCTTAGCATATGAAAAACCTTCTGGAAACATATCCTTGTCTTTACCTCACTCCCAATTATATAATCAGTCACCCTTGAGGACCCCAGTGAGGCTCTTTCTGCCCATCGGCCCTGTCCCCCTGCTTTAGTAAAACCACCTTTTTGTACCAAAGATGTCTCGAAACTTCTTTCCTGGCCGTGGGCTCCGAACCCCAGCATTTCCACATCATTAAGAATGCTGACAGTGGTCACATTTCCGCTTTTCCACGGTCTTAGTTAGAGCAAAGGGGTGGCTGGGTGGCACAGTCGGTTACACAGTCCTGCTCTGGCTCAGGTCATGATCTCATGGTTTTTGGGTCAGAGCCCCGTGTTGGGCTCTGTGCTGTTAGCACACAGCCTGTTTCAGATCCTCTGTCTCCCTCTCTCTCTGCCCCTCCTCCGTTTGTGTGCTCTCTCTCTCTCTGTGTCTCAAAAATAAGTAAACATTAGAAGAAAGAAAGAAAGAAAGAAAGAAAGAAAGAAAGAAAGAAAGAAAGAAAGAAAGAAAGAAAAGGAAAGGAAAGGAAAGGAAAGGAAAGGAAAGGAAAGGAAAGGAAAGGAAAGGAAAGGAAAGGAAAGGAAAGGAAAGGAAAGGAGGAAGGAAGAAAAGAAAGAAAGGGGCACCTGGGTGGCTCCGTCGGTTAAGCGTCCAACTTCGGCTCAGGTCATGATCTCACGGTTCATGAGTTCGAGCCCCACGTCGGGCTCTGTGCTGAAGGCTCAGAACCTGGAGTCTGCTTTGGATTCTGTGTCTGCCTCTCTCTCTGCCTCTCTCTCTCTCTCTCTCTCAAAAATAAATAAACAGTAGAAGGAAGGAAAACAGAACAAACCTTGAAATAAACGCCGTCTCCCTCTCATGGCTTCCTATGGATTGCCTGTTGGACGTCTCTGCAATGAAGGTTGACGGTTGGATGAACAAACGGTTTGCCTTCTTTTTTTCTAATGCTCTCTGATCGGTATTCTTCACCTCCCTGTGGGGAAATCACAAAGTCACCCTAAAGAGTCCACATGATCTTTTCACTCCTGTTTTCATATGTAAAGAGAGACGAATATTTGCAAATGTATTCGGTCAAGAGCAGCTGACTGAAGCTGAGCGCTGACTCCATACCACCAACTCGGTCATGAGCCCCTGCTGGGTGCTAGGGGTCCTATCAGCCCTTGGGGACCCAGAGAAGAATAAAATGTGGTCCCTAAATTCAGGGAACGCATACTCACATTAGGAGGGCAGGTGAAGAAACCAATGATCTGAAAGAAAGCTGAATTTTGAGGGCAAGCCGAATTCAAGTTGGGGCTCTCCCCCTTGCTGTGTGACTTTGGGCAAATTACTTAACCTCTCCAGGCCAGCGTACCCATCTCGACATGGTGATAATGGAAGGCAGGGTTGTGGTGAGGATTGATTGAGAGTCGGTGAAGCATCCGACTCTAGATTTCGGCTCAGGTCCTAATCTCATGGTTTGTGGGATAGAGCCTTGTGTCGGGCTCTGCACTGACAGTGAGGAGCCTGCTTCAGATTCTCTCTCTCCTTCTCTGCCCCACCTCCCCACTCTCTCTCTCTCTCTCTCAAAAAAAAAAAAAATTAGTCCTGGGACTAGGCCCCCAATTAAAAACTGTCGTGTTTGACAGTAGACAGAGGCTGAAACGAAGCCCGTTCCCTAAAGCCCATAAGTACCTGAGGAAGTTTTCTTGTAGTTCCTTCAGGTACTTGTCAAAATAATGCCATTCGTTCCAGTGGAGCCTCCTTAGCGCGCAGAAGTTTTCCTTCCTCTTCTTCATGTTCATCAGGGTCAGTTCGATGACCTCTGCATACGTCACCATGGACTCAGTGGCTTCCGCCGTCAAGGAAAACCCCACACTGCCGGTTGGTATTGAATCCGGGCCTTATCAGCGGGATGGCCTCATGCATGGGGAGGAGGGGGGGTGAGATGGCAGAGTGAGGAAAATGACCTGTTTCTAGACCAGATCACTGGAATCTGAGCAGGAAATGACTCCTGCTCTTTGACCATGGCCTTCTTTGGAAGGCAACTATCCTCCCCAATGGCCAGGCCATTCCCTGTCTCTTAATAAAGCCCTTCTTTCCTCCTGATGATGGAAAGGCTATGGAATGCTTTTTTTTTTTTTTTTTTTTTCCGACTGCCATCTAAAATTCTCACTCTGGCGGCCCCTGGGTGGCTCAGTCGGTTATGCGGCCAACTTCGGCTCCGGTCATAATCTCATGGTTCACGAGCTCGGAGCCTGGAACTTGCTTCAGATTCTGTGTTTCTGTCTCTCTCTGCCCCTGCTCATGCTCTCACAAATAAATTTTAAAACGTTAAAAAAATAAAAATAAAAATAAATAAAACAAAATTCTCATTCTGTATGGTGACAGATGGTAACTACACTTATTGTGGGAAGTACTTCATAATGTATAGAATTGTCAGATCACTGTGGGGTACACATGAAATGGATACAGTGTTGTAAGTCAAGTACGCTTCAAGAAAAAATAAATGAATACAATTCTTACTCTACTATCACAGTGGTGAAGAAGGGAATTCCGACTTTCCTTTCCTTTTGGTCCCAAGGCCTCATCACCCACACCATGTGTGCATGTAGAAAAATCCTCCGTTGCTTTCCCCACTCTCTCCGCCCCTTCTGGATCTATAAGCATCTCACAAGTTTGGGATTTCAAGACAAGATATGTCATTCCTCACGTCTCCATGTTCTTCTCTATAAAATGGGGATAATAATTCCTACCTTAGATGATGTTAATAATAAGTATGATAGTTATTATTTGTTCAGAACCAGCCATCTGCCACATAATACTGGCCACAATGCTACTGGTTTGGCATAATTATCCCTATTTTAGGAAGGGGTTGATAAAGACACGGAGCTCAGAAGTTAAGTGTGCACATGAGCTCTTAAGGCAGGCGGGTTGCTGAGCTGGGACTCCAATCTGGGGCTGTGTATCCCCAGGCTCCTTCTGCTATATTCCACTGTCTACAGAGTAATGACACACTACATGGGAAAGCACTTTATAAATAATAAAGTGCTACATAATGTGAGCTGTTATTCTCTGCCTAGAGGCCTATAAATAATTTGGGGGATATGAGCTCTACAGAGCAAGCGCTACCTAGTCCTTTCTGAAAGCTCCTGACGGGAAGCCATGTGTAGACAGGTAACATTCAAGCACTTGTTATGAGCCAGGCACAGGGGACGAAAATGACCCTTAGGCTCATATCGATGGCTACCCTTGATGGGCACCTACTATGTGTCAGACACTGCGCTAAGGGTTGGGTGCCTCTCCACACCCAGGCAGAGGCCTGGAGTACTGTGAGCCCTGCCCATGGAGGAAAGGATATGGGATGCTTTTGGTTTTTTCCCTTCTGACTATCAACACGTCTTTGCCGTGCTGCCGCAGAGTGGCATAGTTTTGGAGGAAGTACACAATCAGCGGGCTCTTCCCGTAGGTGTTGAAGAAGTTTAAAGTCAGCTCAGGGCTTTTGCAGGCTGGGTAAGACTGAATGGGAAAGAGAGAGGGAAAAATAAGATATTGTCATTTTTATAGCCTGCATTAAGAAATGTAAAGGCATGCATCATATTCTTTGTCCAGGACTTCCAGATTTAGGATGCCATCCTAAAGAAATGACCCAAATTATAATGAAAAAAACATTTAGGTACTAAATCAAGTATTTACAACAGCAAACAATTAGAATAACTTGAGTGTTCAAGAAGATATTGATATCTCTACCCTAAGAAACAGTTATGCCACTATTAAAATGTGTATGAAGAGTCAGTACTAAGGAACTGTTTCACATCTAGCAATAGATTAAAAAATCAAGATGCACTGGGGTGCCTGGGGGGCTCAGTCAGTTAAGTGTCCAACTTCCGCTCTGGTCATGATCTCACAGTTTGTGAGTTCAAGCCCCATGTTGGGCTCCGTGCTGACAGCTCAGAGGCTGGAGTCTACTTTGGATTCTGTGTCTCCCTCTCTCTCTGACCCTCTCCCTCTTATGCTCTGACTCTCTGTCTCTCTCTCAAAAAATAAATAAACATTTAAAAAATTTTTAAAAACAAAAAAATTAAGATGTGGGGGTGCCTGGGTGGCTCAGTCAGCTGACCATCTGACTCTTGATTTAGGCTCAGGTCATGACCGTAGTGTCGTGGGATTGAGCCTCATGTCAGGCTCCACACTCAGTGCGAGAGTCTCTCTCCCTCTGCCCCTCTACTCTGCTTACGTGCTCTCTCTCTCTCTCTAAAATAAAATTTAAAAAAATCAAGAGGCAAAATTGGGTAGATGGTGTTATGTACTTTCTTTTTTTAAATATTTATTTATTTACTTTAAGGAAAGCGGGGCAGAGAGAAAAGAGACAGAGAGAGATGGAGAGAGAGGGAGAGAGATGGAGAGAGAGACTCTCTAGCAGGCTCCATGTTCAACACAGAGCCCAATGCAGGGCTTGATCCCGTGATGGTGGGATCATGACCCGAGCTGAAATCAAGAGTTGGACACTTAACTGACCGAGCCACCCAGGCGCCCCTGTATCTTTTCCATGAAATAAATCAGTCAAAAACAAGACAGATGGGAGACTGGAAGCACAGTTGCCAAAATGTTAATGATTCATTGAGCAAATATTATTAGGTCACTACCACGTGTATACAGTGTTTTAGGTGCTGGGGATTCAGCCGAGAAGAAAAATTCTAATGGCGTGAGCATTACAGTTGAGACAAAGACAGTCAACAAGAACAAGTCAACAAATAAAAGAATAACATGACATTGGGGAATAATAAGTGCTTTAGATAAGGGATCAAGCAGCGCAGGACGCCTGGGAAGCTCAGTCGGTGGAGCATGTGACCCTTGACCCCTGATCCCGGAGTTGTGAGTACAAGCCCCACACTGGGTGTAGAGATTACTTAAAAATCTAAAAACAGAAGTGGGGCAAAGGGTGGAGGGTGGTGGGAAGGGAGACAGAGGAGGGGAGGAATCTTTTCCATGAAGTGGTCAGGGGACGCTGTGGAAAGGTGAGGAGCTACAATCCTCTGTGAGTGTGACGGAAGCCACCAGAAGGTTTGAGCTGTGGCTCAGAGTAATCGGATTAATTTTTCTGCAGATCCCTAGGACTGCTAGGTAGAGAAATTCGTGCAGTGGGTGAGAGGGGATGTGAGGAGTGGTAAAGAGGCCTCTGCAGTGGTGGTGGTGGGGGGTGTTGGGCTGGGAAGAGGAGTGGCGGAGAGGGGTGAGAAGTGAAGGAATGTGCGACAGGCTCTGAAAGCAGAATTGGCAGGATTTGCTAGAGGGCTCGATGTGGGCGTGAGAAAGAGAGAGGACTGGGATGACCCCAAAGGGTAGAGGTGCCAGTTACTCAGGTGGGAAGACCCCAGGAAGGAACAGGTTAGTGAAGTGGGAAAATCAAGAGGTCTGCTTTGGATGCTCTCTATTTGATGTGCTAAGAGACAATCAAGAGGAAATACCTCAGGGAAGGGAATGGGGGTAGAGGAGCGCGGGCAAGAGGGATTTGCCTTCCTTGTAAATGTTCCCCTGCCTTTTCCCAATAACGTTAAATAACGATTATGTGCTGCTTTTGTGTGTAGAGAAACAATACATTTTATTCCAAGAAGCAGTTATAATTTCACTAGAAAACTCTGCCTCATGAGTAAGGACTGTGACAGCACCTGGGCGCACCGTTCTCTAACCCTTTCTGGATCTGAATTGCTTCCTGTGATTTTGTTTTTCTATCTATAACACAGTCTCTGAACCTCGTCACTTTGACATCTGGAGCCAGATCATCGTTTGTGGTGGGAGCTGCCCCGTGCATCGTAGGAGGTTGGGTGGCAGCCCTGGATTCCTAGATGCCAGCAGAAATCCATCTTCTCCTTCACTACCGGCTGTGACAGCCAGAAGTGGCTCCAGGCAGAGGCCAAGTCCCCAGGAAGCAAACTTGACCACCCCCTCCCCGCACTGTCCCTCGTGGAGAATCACTATTCAACAGCAAGATCCCACTGGGATCACAGAAGCTTGGGGCTCGTAAGAAAGCTACAGACCCCTTAGCCCCACGATTCCTAAACCCTACTGCCTAATAGGGGGCCAGTCTGTGGTCACTGGTCTCCAGTGAAATGAGGGCAAGAAGGAAAAAAAAACCTATTGTAGTAAATATGACATGAAGTGAATATATACTTACTTTCAGGACGTTCTTTGATTCTGAGATTGCTTTTTCCGCTGTTTTGTATTAATACCCTTCCTTCTACGAAATGATGGTGGTGGCAGATAAGGGGTCATTTTGCTTTAGTAAAGTTATTTAGTTACAAACAAATTGTTTCTCAGTCTAGAAAATTCCAAAGTGGACCCAGGATCCGCGAATCTCGTTCCACATTTGTCCTAGACTTGTTCCTGTGGCTGCCTGGAGGCTGTCCTTTCCGATAGTCCCGGGTTTTTGTGCTGGAGGGAGCTCACCCGCCCTCTACTGCATTCAGGCTGGAGGGGACTTTAAGTCAAAAGTCTTGCTTCCCTGTGGGGGCCACCCAGGGGGTCTTCCGAGGCTTCCCAGATTCCGCCAGAGCCTGCCTGTCACCCACCCAGCTAGAGCCAGGGTATGAGCCATAAGCTTGGTCAGTCAAAATTCCCGCTCCTCAGATTTTGAGTCTTGACAGTGGTAAACTATAGACTGAAAACATGTGGGGGTCACCCATTCCAGACATGTCACCTTGAAGAGACGGTTCAAGGGTTGAAAAGTGCCATGATTCTTCCCCTGGTCCCTGGACTCATCTTCAGACTTTCTAGCTACTCGATGTTCTTCCGGTCTCTGCTCAAGTCGGCCAAGGCCAGCTTTTGGTGCTTATAAGCCAAGAATTCCAATGAATATACCTCCTTTTGATACTATTATCAACAGGTAATGGTCCATTTTTGCTTCCCTAACTTTGGAAGCAAGGAACATACTACTTTCAGAAACATCCAGTTCCACTGTTGGTAAGGATCTGATTTCTCCCCACAGGTGGGAGGCAGGGGAGGGGCCCTGGGTACCGGGACCTGGGGATGGGGAAGGGCTGGCTCCCAGCCACGGCACCGGGCAAAGACGGGCCAGTGTGCAAGAGGAGACAAGTTCGGAAGCATCCCGTCCAAGGGGCCGGGAGAAAGCAGAGTAGGAGCTAGAGCAAAGGGCTGGCCTCAGAGACCTGGCCTCAGAGCTCCTGGGTGGGTCTGGGAGCCCGAGCTGGAACAGGACCAGCAGACGGTGTCTGCAGCAGAGCCAGGGGGTAAAGCTGGTTTAAAATGACAACTTGGACCCTTAGGAAGTTCTTTCTTACCCCCGAGAAAAATCTGACGCTCTATAATTCCAATCCCTGTTCTTCCAGAACCACGGGTTACAGAAGGGTCCTTAAAATGTTTGGGGAGAGCCCATGATCTTCTCTAATTCTTGCCTTCTCCAACCTAAACATCCTTAGTGTTTTCGATAACTCCTGACAGGGGTACCTGGGGGGCTCAGTTGGTGAAGCGTCTGACTTTGCCTTGGGTCATGATCTCACGGTTTCTGAGTTCAAGCCCGGCATCAGGGTTGCTGCTGTCAGCTCAGAGCCTGCTTGGGATCCTCTGTCTCTCTCTCTTTCTCTCTCTCTGCTCCTCCCCCGCTTGCACATGTGTCTCCCCCCCCCCTTTCAAAAAGAAAGAGAGGGGAGTGGAGAGTGGGTCCAACTGGTGGGGCAACTAAAAGGTTTCTAAGAAGGAGAACTCACATTATTGTTCTTGGCACCACCATGATGAGGTCTCCCTTCTTCTCACCTCTTTAAACTTAGTGATACCTTCTGTCTACACAGCACACACACAGGCCTGTGTGGGTGGTTTTTGGAAAATGAAGAGAACAGGGGAGCCACACATCGGGGCCGATGTGGTCAGTGCACAGCACACGCAGGACAGAAGAGGGGTTGGTAGCCAGAAAGCACGTAAGCCCCCAGACTTCACAGACGTTTGCGGAGAAGACGTGGGCTTCAAACAAATCATGTAACAAATGCTGGAGCCGATCTTCCGACAAATTCAAAGGAGCAGAGTGACCCTTGGTGACATTCGGTTATGTGAGTAAAGTTTTTGTATTGTGAACCGGTGATAATATAAAAATATTGGGGAAACATTGGGAGAATATTTCATAGAATCTTAGAGTGATAAAGATATTTCTTAAGAAGAAATGAAATCAAGAAACCATACAACGGAAGACCAATAAATATGGCTCCTAAAAAATTACAATTTTCTCCCCCCAAATCACATTTTCTCACATAAGATACCATAAAGTAAAAAGATTAAACAGTAAACATTTTTGCCAAACATATGATGAAGAATTGAACTTCTACAAGCAAATAATAAACAAAACACTAAGAACCTCAGAAGTAGAAATATTTCTATTTAGAAAAAACAAAAACAGGGGTGCCTGGGTGCCTCAGTCAGTTAAGCACATGACTTTGGCTCAGGTCATGATCTCACGGTTCGTGGGTTTGAGCTCCACGTCAGGCTCTGTGCTGACAGCTTGGAACCTGGAGCCTACTTCTGATTCTGTGTCTCCCTCTTTCTCTGCCTCTCCCCTGCTTGCGCTCTGTCTCTCTCTCTCAAAAATTAAATAAACAATGGGGCACCTGGGTGGCTTAGTCGGTTGAGCGTCCGACTTTCGCTTAGGTCGTGATCTCGCGGTTCGTGGGTTCGAGCCCCACGTCGGGCTCTGTGCTGACTGCCAGCTCAGAGCCTGGAGCCTGTTTCAGTCTGTGACTCCCTCTCTCTATCTGGCCCTCCCCTGCTCACGCTGTCTCTCTCTCTCTCTCCTAGAAATAAATAAAACATTAAAAAAAAATTAAATAAACACTTACAAAAAAATTAAAAGAAAAAAGAAGAAACAAAAACAAAGGACTTAGGCCTTTCACAGAAATAGAAGTTCCAAAGGATTATAAATATCAAAAAATAGACCGAATTTCACTCGTAACAAAAGCATTAATACTGAAACAATGAGTAAGTACCATTTCCACCTTAGAACAGCAACAAAAAATCTGATAATGCACAACACCGGCAAAGGTACGTGGAAAGTCTCTCGTGTGCTGCTGGTGGGCATACAAATTGGCACAACTTCATCAGAGAGCAAGTTCAGATGTACAAACTCTGATTTAGCAATTCCCTTCTAGGAATTCCTACACGTGTACTTGGATGTGAAGAAACACACAAACACTCAGATGAACAAGGCAACAGTATTTACAACGGCAAAGACCAGGAAGTGCCGACATGTTTTCAACAGGAGAACGGTGTAATGATTTACACTCTGCATTATGGACCGCATGGTGTGATAGATTTCTAGGAGCTCTCATATGGAACATCACACATGATATACTGAAGTCAGAATAGAGTTATTCGGACCATAGCATCTGGGGTCAGATTTGCTGGCATTAAAATCCCAGCTCCGCTGTTAACAACTCAACAAGAAAAATAAAAACAACTCAGTGTAAAAATGGGCAACAGATTTGAACAAACATTTTTCCAGTACAACTGCCGACAAACCCATGAAAAGATGCTCGATATCATTAGTCATTAGAGAAATGGAAGTCAAAACCACAATGGGATACTTCTGGACACCAACTGGGATAACTGTAACGAAAGAATGGAAAATAAGTGTTGGCAAGGACATGGAGAGATTGAAACCCTCACACATTGCTGGTGAGAACGTAAATAGTACAGGTGCTGTGGGAAAGTGGCAGTTCCTCAAGAAGTTAGACACAGAGTGGGGCGCCTGGCTGGTTCAGTCAGTTAAGTGTCTGCCTTCAGCTCAGGTCATGATCTCACGGTTTGTGAGTTCGAACCCTGCATCGGGCTCTGTTCTGACAGCTCAGAGCCTGGAGCCTGCTTCGGATTCTTTGTCTCTCCCTCTCTCTGTCCCTCCCCCGTTCACACTCTGTCTCTCTCTCTCTCAAAAATGAATAAACATTAAAAAAATTTTTTTTAAAGAAGTTAGACACAGAGTTACCATGTGACCCAACCATGCCATTCCTAGGTATATATTCGAGAGAATAGAAAAAATATGTACACACATAAACTGGTCCATGAATGTTCATAGAAGCAGTGTTATTCATGGCATCAAATGATGGAAACAACCCAAATGTCCATCAACTGGTAGATGGATAAACACAGTGTGGTCTATTCATACATGGAATATTATTCAGCCATAAAAAGAAACGATGTACTGATACACGGTGCCACATGGATAAAGTTTGGAAACATTACGCTAAATGACGGAAAACAGTGAGAGAAGCCCACTGAATGTAAGGTTCCATTTATACGGAATGTCCAGAACAGGCAATTCTGTACAGAGAAGTATTTTGGCTGCTGAAGAGCCTGGGGGGAGAGGGGACCGGGGGGTCCTGCTAATGAGTATGCAGCTTCTTTTCGCGGCAATAAAAATGTCCTGGAATCACGTAGTGGTGGTGATCACACAACTAAACTAAAACCCGCTAAGTTGTACATTAAAATGCTGAATTGGGGGCGCCTGGGTGGCTTAGTCGGTTAAGCGTCTGACTTTCGCTTAGGTCATGATCTCGCGGTTCGTGGGTTCGAGCCCCGCGTCGGGCTCTGTGCTGACTGCCAGCTCAGAGCCTGGAGCCTGTTTCAGTCTGTGACTCCCTCTCTCTCTGACCCTCCCCTGCTCACGCTGTCTCTCTCTCTCTCCTAGAAATAAATAAAACATTAAAAAATTTTAAAAATAAAATGCTGAATTGTATGGTGTGTAAATTGTATCTTTTGAAAAATCTTGGCTCTATCACCTCCTAGCCCTTTGGCTTTAAGCAAAATACTTGATATTTCTGAGCCTTGGTTTTCTCATCTATAAAATGGGGATAATAAATAAACTACTTTTCCCAGGGTTGTGTGAAGATTAAATGAGTCAATACACATGATGTGTTTAGAATGATGTTTGGTATACAGTAAGCACTCAATAAATGTTAGCCATTTTGTGTTAGGTTGAAAAAGCAAAGTGCAAAATAGCATATATTCTAGTGCAGTTCGTATATGCAAAAAAAAAAAAGGTTTATATTCCTTGACATCAGAAATCAGATATTTCTGGAAGGGTCTATGGGAAAATAGTGTTTGCCTCTAGGTCAGGGGCATAGGGCCTGGCGTGAAAGAGAAATTTACTTTTTATTACAAATCCTTTAATGTTGCAAAGAACAGGCGGCAGCTTACATCCAAGCTGTGCTCTTCCGGTGATAGGATCACGTCAGCTCCTGGGTCAGGGGTGCCCAGCGGGCCCCCGGGGAATAGCTCACTGAGCTGCCTCTCCTCTGGCACCCCTTCCGCTTGTCTCTCCCAGGCCATTGGCTCTCAGCTGCTTTCCATTCCTGATAAAATCTACCACCGTCCACTCTAACTGCTTGGCCTCCCCTCCCCACCAAGGTGGGGGTCACAGAGTAGGAGCCAATTGCTCATCACCCCCCACCAGCCCTGTCAGCAGTAAGAGCAGTAACCGCTGCTGGACTTCAGTTTCCCCATTTGATGGAAGGAGGTCCGAAAAGTCAAGTAACCTGGCAAGACACACAGCCAGAAAGACGCAGCACCAAGATCTGAACCCAGGTCTGTCATCATGCCCGGCGACTTCACGGAACGTCACAGCTAAATGCTGAGGGGCAACAGGCAGCGGGAAAGTATGGAGAAATGAAGAAGGTTCAAGAACTCTGAAGGTGCCCTCGACGTAAACTGCCATCCGCAGAGGTGTGTGGGGAGGAGTTAGGGGAGAGGAGGAGGAGCGGACAGGACACCCATTAATGCAGGGACTGTCGGGTTCGGGGGACTTGGCTAGCGACAAAGCTCACTGATGAACAGCTCGGGCTCAGAGGCAGACAGACCTGCATGCAGCTCTTGGCTCTAACGCTTATCTGCTCTGTGAATTTAGACAATGCTCATGAGCATCACTTTCCTCACTAATAAACTGAAGACGAGCAGGAGTAATTCTCTCAGAGGACTGTGACGGTAAAATAAAATACACCGCCTGTACAGGTTTAGCTTAATGTCTGACATGTAGTAAATGTTCAATATCACTTTGGGTAAACCTCATAAGAACACCACGACCTAGGAACTGCTGTCCCATTTTCTAGAGTAGGACAAGGCGGCTCAGGGCTCTCTTTCCATTACACGAAGGCTCCTGAATTTCAAGCAGGTAATTCAAATCCCTGAAGAAATCCAGATAAAACGCTCAGTCGACTGGTACCTACCTCTGCCAGGAATTACCCTCGGGAGATTTCCTGACTGTATCACCTGCGTCTATAAGAAATATCCCCATTTTTATTTGACATTGTCACAGGGCTGGCTTTTCTCACCAGATCTCCCAGCCCCTCTTAAATCATTGTCTCTACTATTAAATTTCCAATCATGTGCTCACCTTCTTGGGAAGCATATTCTCATATTCTCTGGCTTCCGATATCTTCTTGACTTGTTTCGCAGCTTTCCTCAGGACCAGAGTCTGACAGTGATACTCTGTCAATACAATGTTAGCAAAAACAAACAAACAAAAAGGATCATTGGAGCTCGCCAGCTGTGATAAGAAAGCATGTATGGCAGACCTCAGCTTCCTATCAGTGCGAATATACCTGCGTGTACTCAGGTCATTGGGAGATGCTAGAGGAAGTAGATCAGGTAAATTCACACAATCTTATTTGCATTTTAACCAGCTATATATCTGTGGCCACACACTTGTCCCTCTACTTATCTGTCTATCCATCCATCCATCCATCCATCTATCCATCCATCCATCCATCCATCCAACTAACATCTATTGAGCATTTACTACATGTTAGGTCCATGGATGATGCTGGAAGTAGACTGTCTTCAAGGAACTCACAGCTTAGTGAGAAAAAAAAAAAAAAAGACATGCAAATAACAAGTGTAACACCAACTCATGCCATACATACCGTTCTCAACAAGTTACACCGTGGCCAGAGAATAAGGAAGGAGAGGCCAGATGACTTTATTTTTTTTTTTAATTTTTTTTAATGTTTTATTTATTTCTAGGAGAGAGAGAGAGAGAGACAGCGTGAGCAGGGGAGGGTCAGAGAGAGAGGGAGTCACAGACTGAAACAGGCTCCAGGCTCTGAGCTGGCAGTCAGCACAGAGCCCGATGCGGGGCTCGAACCCACGAACCGCGAGATCATGACCTAAGCGAAAGTCGGACGCTTAACCGACTAAGCCACCCAGGCGCCCCAGAGGCCAGATGACTTTAAACATGCTAAGTAGAGGGGTGCCTAGCTGGCTCAGTCAGCAGAGCATGGAACTCTTGATCTTGGGGTTGTGAATTCAAACCCCCCATTGGGTATAGAGCTTACTTTAAATAAATAGATGATAGATAGATAGATAGATTGCTAAGCAGAATCAGGGAGGGTGTTGAGAATAAAAGACCCAACTCTTGCATAAAATTATAGCTTTTCTGTGGGAGAAGGTTAACACAGACTATCTTAAAGATGGGCAGAGAGAAACAAGAGACCATCTCTTAAGGGATAAGGGAATGACCGCAGAGTTGCTGATAGTAACAACAGAAGGCAGAAGACAATGGAATCAAATCACCAAAGCATTTAGGTAGCCTTGTGTACCCATCAGAACTATCTTCAAGAACAAAGGTGAAATAGGGGTGCCTGTGTGCTCAGTCGGTTAGGCGACTGACCCTTGGTTTTGGCTCAGGTCACGATCTCACAGGTTCATGAGTTCTGGCGTCAGGCTCTGCAATGGTGTGGAGCCTGCCTGGGATTCTCTCTCTTCTTCTCCCTCTCTCTGCCCTCCCACGCATGTGCTCTCTCGCTCTCAAAATAAATGAAAAAACTAAAAAAAAGACCAAAGATGAAATAAAGATATTCATAGAAAAATTAAAACTGAGGGAACTTAACCAAGATGGTTGTGATAAAGGAACTGCTAAAAATTCTTTTTCTCATTCTCTCTTTCTAAAATATCTACCTATTTATCTGTCCACCTAATATTTTTTTCCAGGAAATGTGATCCCAGAAAGATGGTCTGAGCACCAGGAAGCAGGCAAATAAATGGACAGTTTAAGATCAAACAAAAATGATCTGCTATCATAAGTATAATATGTAATTTGTGAGATTTTAAAATAGAACAAAACTCTAGACAAAACAGCATTTAAGTCTGGAGAGAAGAGGCTGGAGTTAAATTCGTCCAAGTCCTTGCTTTGTTCAGGAAAGGAAGTGGGTTAAGATATTATTTAACTTTACGAAAAGCTAAGTATGCATGAGAGAATTTCAAATGCACACAATAAAGCAAGGTTTCTCAATCTTGGCATCACGGACATTTCAGCCAGATGATTCTTTGTTGTGGGACACGCCTTGTGCATCATAGGATGTTTAGCAGTAACTCTGACCTCTACCCACTAGATGCCAGTGGCAATCTCTCCCCAAGACATTTATAGCCCAAAATGTCTCCAGACATTGCTAAACGTTCCTCAGCTGAAGTGGAGAGTGGTTGTGCCTGTTTGAGATACACTGCAATGAAGAATAATCTGCAGTGAGGAACATAGAAGATATAGCTTCTGAAAAATTAGAATGAAATAATAAAATGGAGTCAGAAAAAAGAACCAAAATAATTCTATCAGGATTCCAGGTCTGGTTAAGATGGAGGGAGCACTCCCTACCCCATCTCCCACTGGTTGGAAAACTAGATGCTGGCAGGTGACTTGGAGAAGGAAACCAGAACTCGAAATAAGAACCATATGGCCGTGAACTTCCTGGATTTATTATTTTTTTCCACTTATATGTCCCAGCTCAAAGGCAACATGAATCCCAGAATTCATTGCCAGCAGGCCTATAGGAAATGAATTAATGAAGGAAGGTTTTTTTTCCTTCAGGTCAAAGGAAAATGGTATGAGAAGAAAACTTGGAACTTCAAGAAAAATGGAGGGGCAGGAAACCAACTTGAAAATAAACTATTAAAAAAAAAAAAGAATAATGGAGGGGCGCCTGGGTGGCTCAGTCAGTTAAGCGTCTGACTTCATCTCAGGTCATGATCTCAACGGTTTGTGGGTTTGAGCCCCGTGTCGGGCTCTATGCTGACAGCTCAGAGCCTCGAGCCTGTTTCAGATTCTGTGTCTCCCTCTCTCTCTCTGCCTCCCCTCCCCCACTCATGCTCTGCCTCTCTCTGTCTCAAAAATAAATAAACTAAAAAAAAAAAAGGAAGAAAAAATAATGAAAAAAATATGAGGCGATTGTCGGGCTCAGTCAGAAGAGCATGTAACTCTTGATCTTTGGGTTGTGAGTTGAGGCCCCATGTTGGGTGTGGAGATTACTTAAAAATAAAAGAAAAGAAAAAAGAATGGAAAAACAAGAGGAATTATAAATATTTGGGTATGTACAGCAAATATGTATTAAAAATAGTAAGTGTATAATATAAATAGTATATCTCGGTAGTTATATACAGTAAATATAGACTGTTTCTCCTCTTACGTTCTTCAAAATATGTGGGATGATCGCTTTGGAGTACAGTTTGGCAGCTCCTCAAAATGTTGATCATATGACCCAGCAGCTCTACCCCTATGTTTACATGAGAGAAATGAAAACATATGCCTACACAGCATCTTCTATGTGGGTGGCCATACCAGCATTCTTTATAATAGCTGCAAAGTGGACAATCTGAACTGAATAAAAATTAAAAGACGATATCCAAAACGTTTGTGAGATGCCTCCGTGTGCAGAGGGAAATCTGTAGCATTAAATGTTGATATTAAAAAACACAGATTTTATTTTCAGTTCAAAATATTTTCTTAAAAAAATTTTTTTTTAATGTTTGTTTACTTTTGAGAGAAAGAGACAGAGACAGAGTGTGAGTGGGGGAGCGGAGAGAGAGAGGGAGACACAGAATCCGAAGCAGGCTCCAGGCTCCGAGCTGTCAGCATGACAGCCCTAGCCTGACGCGGGGCTCGAACCCACGGACCATGAGATCATAATTTGAGCCAAAGTTGAATGCTGAACTACCCAGGTGCCCCCAAAATATTTTCTAGTTCCCTTTGGTACTTCCTCTTTGACTCATGGGTCTTCATGAATTTCAATGTGCAGTTGACCCTCAAACAATATGGGTTGGAAATGGACCAGTCCACTTATATGTGGACTTTTACAGGACAGGACTGTAAATATATATATACATATATTTTCTCCTCCTTATGAGTTTCTTAATAGCATTTCTTTTCTCTAGCTTACTTTATTATAAGAATACAGTATAGAATCCGTATAACATACAAAATGCGTGTTAATCACCTGTTTATGTTGTTGGTGAGACTTGTAGTCAATAGTAGGCTATTAGTACTTACGTTTCAGGGGGAAGTCAAAAGTTATACACGGATTTTCGACTGTGTGGCGGGATCAGGGTCCTTAACCCCTGTGTTGTTCAAAGGCCAACTGTATGTTTATATTTTGAGGACTCACAAAGTTTCCTACAAATATTTACCTCTGTTTGGAACCTGGCTGTACCTCTCAATGAGTGCTTCCCAAGTTGTTCTTTTTTTTTTTTTTTTTTAATAACAGCTTGATTGAGATATAATTCAGATACTAACTTCTAAACACTAAATACTTCATGTACTAAATTCACTTCTCAGAGCTTCCATTTCTCCATAAAGAAAAGAGGATTGGTTAATTTTGGGGGATAATGATCGCATGTGTGAAATTGTCTGCAATGATATTTATGAGTTCCTGCCCTGTGTTTTCTGAGAGTCTGTATTTGTCTATTTGGCAGCCAATAATTACTGGGCCAAACTGATGGCCAGAGCTGTTTACGCCTCCCCTGTGACCCACAGCCCATGCTCTGAACCACCGACTTCTCAAACTCCCACACACCAAGGCAGTATTCCCCTTGCCCTAAATCACCCCAAGGCCAGGTGCCAACCGGGGACAGCGCCTCCGCCCCGAAGCCCACCGGAGACTCAAACTAGATAATCCCAACCTGTTTACCTTTCATGCCTTGTCTTTTCCAAAGAAATCCCAGTAAAGCCAGTGGCCCAAGCCTTTTCCTTATTCCATTCTGTCTCCTGGCCAACACGGGTGATTCCTCCCATGGCCCTGTGTTTCTAGGATGGCTGTGAGGAGCCAACTTTTCTTTCAATGGCATTGGCCTCTCTGTGTGGTCACTCAGCCTCCTTCATAAATTAACACCTGGACACAAATCAGTTCTTACCTCAACGAATGCTGGGTTTTGTGGGGAGAGGAAGTGGATGGGAGCAGTAATCATGTCTTAGGTCTCTTTTTCTTCCACTGCGAACAACCTCTCTTCCCCACAGGTATCAGCACTGTGCTGAACTCATCATAGCGAAAGTGGAACTTAATCAGTGTGTGTTAAACTGACAAGATAATTATGTCTTCTCCAAAGACGTCCCGTGGTGTCAAGGTCCAGGCTAGAGCCACACGTGTAGACCAGGGTGGCATGTTATGTCTGGACAAACCCAAGGATCTAGGGCTTGTGAGCTCATAACTAAGTCAAACGCCTACATCTCCCTTTTAAGGCAGCTTCTGTACCTTTTTTTTTTTTAATGTTTTATTTATTTCTAGGAGAGAGAGAGAGAGAGAGAGACAGCATGAGCAGGGGAGGGTCAGAGAGAGAGGGAGACACAGATTCTGAATCAGGCTCCAGGCTCTGAGCTGGCAGTCAGCACAGAGCCCGACGCGGGGCTCGAACCCACGAACTGTGAGATCATGACCTAAGCGAAAGTCGGACGCTTAACCGACCAAGCCACCCAGGCGCCCCGCTTCTGTACCTTTTGTGGCATTCTGTGTTTGTGAGCCAACCTTCTTTGCCACAGGGCCTTTCTCCGTGGTCAAAGTTATACAGGAAGACTTCAGGGGAGGAAAAAGAAAAAAAAAAAAGAACAAATTGAGTAAAATTGGCTGGGAGAGGAACTAACCATGGTCATGCAACTTCCCAGACATTTCTCCTTGTTCTTAACAATGTCACACGTGGAGGGAGACCATGCAGCACAGCCTGGGCGCTCAGCCCGCTAACCAGGGCACGCGGCCAAGAGGTGACTGATGCTGCAAACGCAGGTGCTGGGGGCTGAGCAGACTGCGGTGCCAGTCCCGGCCCTGTCCCTCAGCAGCCGCTAAGCTTGGACAAGTCCCTGGACGTCTCGGTAGCCTCGGTTTCCTCTTCTGCTAATGGTGCAAAGCGTGTGAGTGACTGCTCGTGGGAAGTGCTCGGTGAGCATCTCCACCATTGTTCATGCAATCACTCACCGCACCTCCCTCTGGGGACATTTCACTGAGCAACTACTACTGTGCCTATTACTGGGCAGACCCCGAAACCTAGCCCCTTGCCGGGAGGAGCTCCCAGTCTAGCAGGGGAGAGAAAAGAAAATAGATAATTACGCTCAGGGGTGGGCAGTATCACATATTTCTTGGAGAGGTAACGTAAGTTAGGATTAGGTTTGTGTATCAGTGACTCAAAATAACAGTGGCTCAAACTAGGTAGAAAATTTCCCTCCTACGTAACAGTGTGAAGGTATGCAATCCAGGGTCTATATGCTATTTCTACGGTGGTAAGTCCTTAGGGGCTCTGACTTCTTCCAGCTCATGCTTCCACCTTTCCTGAGATAGGACACTGGGTCTTAGGGTCCAAAATGGTGGCAAGAGCTCCAGCCATCACATTCACATTCCAGGAAGCAGAATAGGGAAAAGGAAGCAGAGACAAAGGATTCATTCACATGCACTGTTTTTTAAGGAAGATTCCTAGAAACTGCCACATGGCATATCCACTTCTATTTCATTAACTGGATCTTAGTCCCATTGCTACACGTGAATCTAGGGAAGACTAGGAAACACCATCTTTATTCTGGCCGTGTATGTGTGCAGCTATGATTCCAAGGTTCTCTTTCTACAGGGGAGGGGAATGACAGATAATGGGGAACAACGAATAGTCGGCCACAGGCTGAAAGAGCAGACTAGCCGAAAGAGCAGACTACTCACGGGAAGCCAGAGTGGGGAATGCTTGATCCTTCCCCGGGGGAGAGCTGGAGGCGACATTAAACAGCCCACCGAGAGGCAGACAAGCAGTCCACCAGCCTCAACAACCACTTTGCTTTATGTAAATACAATATTTGAATGGGAGACTGCTGAGAGGGCTTCCCGTGCCCCGTGCAGCCGGCCGGCCGACAGCTACCGAGTTTTACAGTGTCGAAGTAGTTCCCGGGGTGTGTTAGATGGAAAACACTCCTGGGCTCGATAAAGCATCACGTTCCTTGTTAACAGGCCTCAGGAAGCTCATGCTCTACATGCAAGGAGCTCCTCTTGGGAGGGGCTGGGGGGGTCGATGCAGAAAGAGCTGAAGTCAGCTGTGTGGCCTGGGGTAAGCTGTTCACCTCTCTGAGTCTATTGCTTCTGCTGTCAAATAAAGATAATAATTGCCTACCTTGTGAGGATGTCGTAAGGCCCAGAGAGGACACTTCCCCAGGCACTCTGTCGGGCTGTGACCAGCAACCACGCCCAAGTCCTGAGCCAAGGGGACTATTGTGCAGGTGGGAGTAGGCTAAGATTGCCCCAGGGCCCCTCCCCACCACGGTCCAGAGGAGATGGAACTGTTCTGTCCCACGTGGTCACCTGCAGTGACCTCAGATCGCAGGTGCTGAGGGTTCAGCTGTGGGGGGAGGGGGTGGCTGGGAGCCCATTTTTGAGCCAGGGTGAGATTCGATCTGGGGCTGCCCAGAAATGTCTGGGAGGGCAGCGGGCTTCACAGAGCTGGTATGAGCAGGTATGGGCATGAGCTGGAGGAGATGAGGTCATTACTGTTAATGACCTTCACTGTACCCATGCTCTGGAGCTTGGTAAGACTCCGGTTAAAGTGAGCGGACACTCTGACAGAACATGACTCACCTGGGCCATCCCCTGGCCCTGGACTAAATCTGCTCAGAGTTGCACAACTGAGAGGTGGCATCTCCTTAGAAGGAACTTGAGATCTGCTGGCACGAAGCCAGCGTGTTTTCTTGCCTTTGCCTATGACCCCACGGTGGTCATTCACTCCTAGCTCCCAGATTTTGTCACAGATGCGGACAACTTGGGTAGGACTTGATCTTTAGCCCAGACCTCTTCCTTTAAAGTCTAGCCTTGTAGCTTGAACTTCCCGGGTGACTTCTGCATTCAACGCTTCTCAAAGGCAACTTCAAGGTAACAAGTTCAAAACTGAGTTCTTGATAGCTCCCCCCTGCCCCAAATGCTATGGCTATGCTCTCCCTCTGATGTAAATGGCACCATTCAGATGCTTCTGTCACGTCCTGGAAAGCACTCTCGGCTCCTTCCTTTCTTCCTGACCCCTCCTCCGCACTCCCAAAGGCACTCATTGAAAGTCAGGCTCCAAAACACATTTCAGCTTCCTAACTGGCCCTCTGTCCCCTTCTGTTACATGCTCCATATTCAGACGACAGTGTGATCTTGTAAAAATATAAACAGGATGGTGTATTCCCTCTATGTTAATGGATTCCTGTGGCACTGAAATTATATCCACACTCCTTGCTATGACCCTCCCAACTGCCCAGGACCTGGCCGCTGCTACTTCCCTAGACTTGACTCCTGCCCCTCTTTCCCACATGGGCTGGTTGACTCCCACACAGGCTGGTTGACTCTCTGGCCTTCTCTCTGTCCTTGAATAGCTCAAGCTGGTGTTGTTGTTGTTGTCGTTGTTTTGGCATCAGGCTCTTTGCACACATGTTCCCTTTTTCCAGAAGCTTCTTCCGTTCACTCTTTTAATGGCTGACTCCTCGTCCTTCGGTTCTCAGCTCAAATGGCTCCTTCTGGGGGTGTTATCTTTCACATGTGTGCCCTTCCTTCTTCATATACACAAAACCCATGGCCTGAGGTGAAAGACGTAAGCGACTCCCCCAGCTTCTTTGGGGACTGGGATGCAGACATTCCAGCTACAGTCTACTCTTTAGATTTGCCACACTCACCTTCCAGGTGTAAATGACCAACGTGATGCAGCAATGCCGTGTGGAGTCCAAACATACTCCAGTTTGGGGAAGTCTGTTGACAGGAAAGCACAGCGGAGCTCTGAGCATCAAGCCCCGGGAACGCTGGCCGGGGCGCAGCAGGGTACCTCTGCTGGGGTGGGGTGGTTTGGGGCTCGTTCTTGGTGGCCTGGCCTTTGGAACTAACATGCTGGCCCTTCCTGGGGGCGGTGCATCACCGTTTCCCTTGAACACGTTTCTTCCTGAAGGAGACTACTGTTTGTAGGTAACATGATGACGATTTCTCCTTACAAAGACCTTTAACCGCCTTCTCTAATACTTGTTAAATGAATGAATGACCCTGCCTTTAAAAGGTAGGAGCCCTTATTTATAGCTGAGATTCACAGCAGAAGCCAGAGAAACAGTTTGTGCTTTTTCGTTCCCACTGTATAAACTCTTAACATTGAGAAAGAGGAGGCCAGACTTAAAGTAACGGAACTGTGGACTAGTAGACACACTGTCGCCATCGAAACACCTATTTTAGGGGCGCCTGGCTGGCTCAGTCGCAAGAGCATCTGACTCTTGATCTTGGGGTCGTCAGTTCGAGCCCCATGTTGGCAGCAGAGATTTAATAAATAAATAAACTTGGAAAACAGATTTTGAACACAGCCGGCTCTTTCCGCGAGCAGATGGGAAAGTGTGTCCGCCTAAAAACAAGAGAGGGCCTCCGTCCCCACCAGGGAATCCCACTCCTCCATCCTGGCTCACCCAGTAAGACGTCAGCTGCTTTCAAGGTTGGAAAGCCTTTGATTTTTCCTGTTTCTGGGGCAGAAGACTGAATTTTGAGCTGGGTTTCTGAAATAACTGTGAGAAGACTTTATGGATTTTGGTGCAAGGAAAATACATTTGTTTTACACAGTTGTGGCAGGCAGCGCAAAACCACTAAATGACATTTTGATCTTGGTCTCTGAGGGACAGCTACCCCTCTGCCGGGGACATACTTTGTCTCCCTTCTCGGGGGCTGGCACTCACAGGGCACCATCACACACCAAGGACAGGACCAAGGCTTCACCCGGATGACCTCATTCATGAAGTCAAGGGCTATCTGCTGGGTGTCTTCTTTGTGCTAGGTCTATTCTAGGAGCTGGAGCTAGAACAATAAGAAAAGGCCCTATTCTCATGGATTTTAAGTTCTTTTTTTTTTTTTTAATACTAAAAACTTTTTTAAACCTCTATTTATTTTGGTGGGGGGGAGGGGCAGAGAGAGAGGGAGGCACAGAATCCGAAGCAGGCTCCAGGCTCTGAGCTGTCGGCACAGAGCCCAACACGGGGCTTGAACTCAGGAACCGTGAGATCATGAACTGAGCTGAAGTCAGACGCTTAACCGACTGAGCCACCCAGATGCCCTGGAGTTTATAGAGGGAGACAGACACTGGACACTACAGAAGTCCCACAGGAAGAACAGCAGCCCATGGTAAGCACTGTACAGGGAATTCAATCAGCCACATGATGATGGAGAGTCCCTGGACAGTCAGGACTGGCCTCGCTAGGGCAATGTCCGTGAAACTGGAATCTGGGGGTCAAGAAGGAGCCAGCCATTCCCTAGAACTCTAAGGAAAGAGTGTTCCAGGCAAAGGTGACAGTTAGTGCGAAGGCCCAGCTGGATACAGGCCTGGAGGGCCCAAGGGCAGAAGGAAGTCCAGAGGGCTGACGTCTGGGGCCGAGGGAGGGAAAGGATGTGAAGAGGCTGGAGGGAGAGGGGGTGGCCGGATCCTGCGGGGGGTGGGGGGGGTGGGTATCCAACTCAGGCTCAGGGGTCTGGACGGGATTCCCAGTGCACTGGGGAAACCGCTGGAGGTTTGAGGCGGAGAGCGGCCTCATCTGGGGTCTGTGAGAAGGTCACACTGGTGGCCATGTGAAGAGGAGCCCGGGAAGAGGCCGCCGCAGTCAGCCAGGAGCGAAGTGACGCTGGGCGCTGGCCATCAGCAACCTTCTCGCCCCTCGCCAGGTGGAGATCCTCCTGGTGGGGCCTCAGGGGGCAGCTGGATACCCCAGGGTGGGGAGGGAGATTTGGGCGTTGCTGGCATTGGGTGGCATATAAACCCCGCGGGCCGGATGAGACCACATGGGGAGAATATGTAGGTGGAGGGGAAGGGGCCGGGACAGACTGACTGACAGACAGGACAGGGAGCCAGCAAAGAAGACCGAGAAGGGTCAGCCAGCCAGGAGGGAAGGCACCTGCAAAAGCCTGGCAACACAGAAGCCAAGCAGAAAAAGTGTTTCAAGAAGGTGGGAGTAGGCAACCATGTGACACAGACGAGCGCAGTGAACAGATCAGGGTCAGGGCCATGGCGGCAGGAGCCGCTGCAATGACACACTGAGGGCAGAAACCGACTAGAGGGCTGAGGCAAGGAGCTGCGGGTGTAGATGAGAGTTGGAGAAGTTCTGGCGGGGAAGGGCAGCAGGAAACGGCAGCGTAGAGGCAAACGCAGGGCGGGTGGATGATGGGAGTGATCAACAGAGTGGGAGAAAATGACGATGCAAGACAGAGGGGCTTCGTCCCGAGGGGGTGAGGTCCAGGCCACCAGCGTCGCAGGCACTGGGCAGGGGGTGAGGGTGCACACAGATGGGGGCAGGTGGGGCAGATGCCTTGTGGTAGGAAAGTGCGCGCCTTCCCGCTGACCGCTTCTCATTTCTCAATGGAGACGCTTCCTGGAAGGTGCTGGGGTGGAGGGCGAGCGAGGGAGGCTGTCCGTGGTGCAAAAATTCTGGAAAGGGAGCTCGAGTGACGTGCGGGTTTGGGAGTAAGGGCCCAGGTGAGATGCGTGGCTGTGGATTGACAGGGGACCTGGCCACACAGCGACGTGCGCTACGGTCTTCGTCATGGGAGGAAGACGTGCTCACGTCATGCCTGCGGGAACCAAGTCTCAGGGAGGGGAAGGAATTCGGAGGCTGCACAGCTACAATCTGAACCCGTGAGAGCGGGCTTCGAACCAGAGACCTGCAAGTGCCATGGGGATGTGGGGACTTTGCAAGGAGCGCTGCATTGCCAGTTTAAAGAACGTCCTTCTCCACATCCTTAAATATCCTTCCTGTCCTGTTTTCTAAAATTGATCATCCTGAGAATAGAGCCTTTATTCTGCTTTACAAAAGAAAGGCACACCCTTCCCCCACTCCAAACATTGGGTGAATGTTCCAGGGTGAAAACACCCCCAACTCTGTCCCAGGCAAAGGGGCAAGTCTGGTCTAACAATGAATCACGCCTCATATGCTACTTATTAAGAATGAAGGATGGCATTCGAAATGAGGATGTTGGTCTACAGCTTAAAGACTGGTTGGGGCGCCTGGATGGCTTAGTCGGTTAAGCATCCGACTTTTGCTTAGGTCATGATCTCGCGGTTTGTGGGTTCGAGCCCCGCATCGGGCTCTGTGCTGACTGCCAGCTCAGAGCCTGGAGCCTGTTTCAGAGTCTGTGTCTCCCTCTCTCTCTGACCCTCCCCTGCTCATGCTGTCTCTCTCTCTCTCCTAGAAATAAATAAAAATATTAAAAAAAAATGTTAAAAAAAAAAAAAAAGACTGGTAGCAGTGGGGGCGCCTGGGTGGCTCAGCTGGTTAAGCATCTGACTCCTGATTTCGGCTCAAGTCATGATCTTCCTGGGGTGAGCCTCTCTGCAGGCTCTGTGCTGACAGCAGGAAGCCTGCTTGGGAATCTCTCTCTCCTCCCTCCTCCCTCTCTCTGACACTTCCTTGCTCATGGTCTCCTTCTCTCAAAATAAATAAAAACTTAAAAAAAAAGATCAGTGGCAGAGACAGCCAGGATCATAGGAATGACTGCATAATTCTGTAAGTGTTCTGAAGGATGGAGCTCTGAGCACATAGAACAGGGAACCAAGTGCAGACCAAGGTCAAGACTGCTGACCCTGAGGACAAGGGCTTCAGCCGAGGTAGAAGGATGAGTGCATGTCCCCTGAATCACGGGGGCAACTCCTTGGACCAAGAGCCAGAGGGTAAATGTTTTCAGCTCTGCAGGCCACGAAGTCTATACCACAACTACTCAACTCAGCCATCACAAGTGCAAAGGCAGCTGAAGACAATAGTCAGCCAGGGACCATGGCTGTGTGCCAGTAATGTCTTACTTACAAAAACGGGCGGCAAAGGGCCTCATTCATTGTTTTCCCATTTTTCTGGAAAAAGTAGGCCTTGCTCAGTAGCGGCTGTGTTTGGTTGGTTTCGTGTTACCAGTGGGAGGAGAGGCTGACGGGGATGGTGGATGGTGGCGAGGGTGGAGGGGGCTGGCCTGGGACGAGAGGGACGACAGCTACAGAGGCCGGGGCTTGGGAGGGGCTGTGATGTCCACAAGGAACTGAGGGAACACCCCTGCAGCGGGAGCCGTGAGGGCCCTGGACGGTGGAGACGGGGCCGGGAGGGCGTGGCAGGGCTGCACACGTCAGTCTACTCCAAGGCAAGAGGAAGCCTTCTGCGGTTTGGGAGGTAGTTTTCCTTTGGGCTGGGGGAGGGTGTTTAAGGCAGGGGGGAGTAGGGTGGGGCCAGGGGGTGACATATGACATAATTAGGTCTGCGTTTTGAAAGGACTGCAGGGGATCCAGGCTCCTCCAGGGAGCCTGAGGGAGCAAGGAGCCTGCTGTAATATGAAGGAGCTCAAACCAGCGTGTAGGTAGGGAAGGGGAGAGGGGGGGAGAGAGGAGTGGTGCTGGAGCTGCCTAGGAGGGAACATCACAGGACACAGAGGGGCAAGCAGGTGTCGAGAGGACAGCCGGGTGCAGGTACGTGACAAGCACTGATAGGGAGGAAAAGACAGAAAGGCACCTTGAGCTGAACCGCCCACTTAGAGACCATTTCCTTACCCTTCACCTCCCAATCACTGCACTTCTGGGGTCACCCTTTGGTGCTCTGCTCCTGCCTGCAGATGTAGAGGGCCACCAGCACCCCTCCCCAAGATGATGGGTGGGGAGTGCAGAGATGTGGAACCAAGTGGAAGTCATTAAGCATTTGGGGTCTGGGTCTGTGCTCTACTCACCTTCGGGCCCTGGACTTCCTTTCTCTGGGTAGCCCTCTGAGAAGGGTATCTCTTAGAAGTGAACAAAGAAAAATCTCTTCCTAGGGAGGAGACAAAGTTGTGCTTCAGTTCCTTCTTGTCCTGGAGAGGACATCGTAGACCAGGAGTTTTGACACAGTCCCCTCCCTGGAGGACAATAGACCTCAGGCAAAGCAGAGGCCCCCAGAACCTCTCAGTCATTCCACCTGCTGAGTGACCGTGGACAAGTTACCTAACCTCTCTGATCCTGTTAAAGGCTTGAATACCAACTACCCTGCAGGGCTGGTGAGCCAGTTGAAGTAAATAATGTATGCAGAGCCCAGTACACAGGGCCAGCCCTCAACCCTTATGAAACAAAAAGTACTGGCTTCCAAAGAAAAACAAAAAGCTCAAAACAGCAACACGAATACATGTTAGAATAAACCCTGAAAAAAGCAACACTCTATCCACCTTGTAGAGTGTCATTAAATTTGAAGACAGTTTACAGGTTAGATGGTGTTCTCTCTGAAACTCCTGTGTGTCCACAGGGATTGATGGGGAAGCGGACATGTTGAGTGGGTCAGTGACTGTAAATACACTTCTCTGATGCCTGCCAGTCTCTGAGGCCTAGACCAGTGCTTTGCAGACTGGACAGCGCCTCTAGAGCCCTGGGGGGACCACCGCGGAGCCCACTGCCACCGGGCTAGAGACGCGGACACGGCTGGTCCTTCCAGGCGGCAAAGGAGCGGCTCTGCACAGACAGGAGGCCCCCCTGTGGTGGGGACTGTACTGCCTCTCAGGGGGCCCCTCTCCCCTGCTGAGGGGCCACACGGTTCACTGAAGGGGGTAGACTGAATGGGGAGAATGGTGTCACTGGCCAGAGTGGCCACAGGCCGAGGAAAGTAGGAGGCTGATTGGCCTGTCTGGGCGAAATTCTGGCCCCCAGCTGCGCAGGGGCGCCTTGGGCACATGAACCTCTCTGCCCCTCACCTCCTGCTGTGGGACGAGGGCAACAGGCTCTCTAGCAAGGGCAGAGGAGGGTGAAACAAAATAACACACGCTGGCTGGTGCAGAGGAGAGTCCGTATGCGATAGCATTATTTTCCCTGCTAATTGTGCCCAGACTCATATTCTTTACAGTATGAATGGTTTTCACCATATTTGAGGAAAAAATAATTGTCTCACTCTTATCCTCCACTTCCAAAGGGTCCTGGGTGTGTTTCATGAGTGGGATGTTGTCTACCCCCTGGGTCCTACTGACCTACTCAAGATAGGGCTTTTCTGCAACCCTGGGGTGCCCCGTGGAAAGGGGAGACCCCCCCCCCCACTGGAGAAAATCTCCGCCTAATCCAATAGTGTGTCTCTCTGGCTTTGCCGTCCTGTGTGTGAATCCTGCCTCGGCCACCTGTGGGCTGGTTACCCAATGTAGACCTATCTCAGCTGCCATGCATCTAAGTCTTCTCACATGCTGTTCCTTGTGCCTGGAACAGTAATTCTCCCCTTCACCTGTCTAAAATACACATCCTTCAAATCTCAGCTTCAATGCCACTTACTGACCCCTCAGGGCTGGACGGGGCGCTCTCCCCGTGCTGCCTCAGTGCGCTGTAAGCCCCACCACAGTGCCCCGTCCACGGCAGCGTCGCTGCGCTGCCTACACTCCCCCTAGACTCCGCTGCGGGGCTGCACTTGCCTGGCACACAGTGCTCTTTATGTGTCTGTTGCATGCAATACGAAAGTGGGCCTCAGGCAACTTGCTTCTCTGAACTGTACTTTCCTCATCTGTGAAATAGATTTAGCATGTACTTCAGCTGGTTGTTGTGAGGGGCCTGGCTCGGAGGCGACACCCAGTAACCGGCAGCCATCATTAGAATACAGAATTCTACCCCTGCATCCCAGCAATTATGTTGCGCTTACTGTAACTACACCCCGAACATTCGCATTTCAGTCTTTTGGTGGCCGGTTAGGGGGCGGAGGTGGGGGGAGCATGAAAGGGAACCTGGCCCGAGGACCTCAATACCTGCCCTGCCCCAACTAGATGACAGGCTGGATGTGGCAGGGCCACGGGGGCCTAAGTCCACAAGTGGTACCTTACTCTTTAACAGTCTTTTTCTCTGCAAAATTAATTCTTCTCTTCGGGATCGCTCTGGATCTAGTTCCGAGTAGTCCCAGCTGTTATAGCTCTGTAGGCAAGGGTATATACCTAATAGAGAATGAAGGAGGATCATGAAAACCTGCGTAAAAGAGAAAGGAAGCAGAAAACAGAGGCCAGAGCCCCTCTCCCAGGTGCCCCTGCTGGTCCTAGGGAGGCGGGGCTTCTAGCATTAGCCCCGCCCTACAGTGGCCCTGCCTTGGCTGAGCAACTTCCTCTGTAGGAGGCTTTGGTACCTGAAAACGGAGATGGTGGGGCACCTAGGTGGCTGGCTCAGTGGGTTAAGCATCTGGGTAAGCGTCCAACTGCGGCTCAGGTCATGATCTCATGGTTCGTGGGTTCGAGCCCCGCGTCTGGCTCTGTGCTGACAGCTCGAAGTCTGGAGCCTCCTTCTGATTCTGTCTCCCTTTCTCTCTGTAACCTTTCCCCCTTGTGTGTACTCTCGCTCTCAAACATAAATAAACATTAAAAAAAAAAGTAAAAAAAAAAAAGAAGCAAATGGAGATGGTGAAGTTCACCCTGCTTTCCAGACAGCATGAGTGTGAAGATCTGATCAGATCCTGTGTATACAGATGTGAAGGGTTTGTAGTCTTTGGTTTTTCTGCCTATCTCCTCTGCTCTTGCTGGACTAGGAGCTCCCTGAGCACAGGACCTGGGTCTTACTCACCTTTGCACCTCCAGGGCTGGGCACTGGACCGAGCACATAATAAAGAGGTGCTTCGAGCACATAATAAAGAGGTGCTTCATAAGTATTAGTTCAATATCTTATCACACTTAGCTAAATCCCAGAAATGGGTTCTCCCTAAATATTTGATGGTGACATTAATGGGGCTAATGCTTTTCTTGTAAGAAAACCATATGCTCAGAGTCTTGGCTTCTTGGAACCTGAATGGTAAGGCATTAGAGGGACTCTGCTTTCTCCCTCAGTTCTTTGGTTTAGGAAGGAAAAGACCAAGATCTACTTGAGGAAGTTTTGAACACCTGTGCACAGATGCCATCTCCATTGGACAAAGTAAGTGGACAGGGGGTTTATTGCTGGGAATGGATTAGGGGAAGGAGGCACACAGTCATGGACAAAATGGGGAATAGGAAGGAGGAACCGAAGAAAAGAGTCAGAAGATGAGAGGCCAGATGTCAGTGGTCAAGACCAGTGGGACAGCCTGGATCTGAATGCCTGCTCCTCCATTTGTTGGCTGCAGGACTTCTTTGAGTCTGCATATGCTAAGGGGATTAAATGGGTGTGCAGAAAAGACTGAGCAGGCCCGAGGCTGCTCTCCTTGGAAAAGCTTGCTTGTGAGGTAGGCCTCTGGCTAGTACCTGCAAGTTGTCTGGTAAACATTTCTTTACACTGATAGAACTTTCCCTAACTACCCAGAGGAAGTGGGTAAATCCCTGGAAGTGTACAACCTACTAAGACTGAATCATGAAGCAATATAAAATCAGAACAGACCGATAATGAGTAAGAAGATTGAATCAGGCAGCAAAACCCTCCCAAATAAAGAAAAGCCCAGAACCAGATGGCTTCACAAGTGAAATCTATGAAACACTTAAAGAATTCACTCCAATCTTTCTCAAACTCTTTCAAGAAATTGAAGAGGAGGGAACACTCCCAAACTCATTTTATGAGGTCAGCATTATCCTGATACCAAATCCAGATTAAGTATGCTACAAGAAAACTACAGACTAATATCCCTGATGCATATAGAGGCTAAAAGTCTCAAGAAGGTACTAGAAAACTGAATTCAGCATCATTTTAGGAGGATCATACACCACTATCCAGTGAGAGTAATCCCTGGAATGCAAAGATGGTTCAATAGCCACAAATCAATCAATCAATGTAATATGCCATGTTCATTGAAGGAAAGATAAAAATCATATGATCGTCTCAATCAATGCAGGAAAAGCATTTGTCACATTTCAACATCCTTCTGTGATAAAGACACTCAACCAAGTGGGTACAGAAGGAGCACACCTCAGTGTAATAAAGCCCCCATATGATAAGCCTGCAGCTAACATCATACTCAATGGTGAAGAAAAGCCTTTCCTCAAAAACCAGGAAGGAGACAAGGGTGGCCCACTCTCACTGCTCCTGTACAACATAGTACTGGAAGTACTAGCCAGAACAATTAGGAAAAAAGGCATCCAAATCAGAATGGAAGAAGTAAAATAATTTCTGTTTGCTGATGACATGATCTTGTATATAGAAAAATCTAGAGTCCACAAAAAAAACCCTGTTAGAATTAATAAATTCAGTACATTTTCAGGATACAAAATCAACATATGAAAGTCAGTTGGGTTTCTATACATTGACAATAACCTATGTGGAAAAAAAAATAAAGAAAACAACTTTACCCACAATAACATCAAAAGCAATGACATGCTTAGGAATAAATGTAACCAAGGAAGTGAAAAATCTGTACATTGAAAACAGTAAGACACTGATGAAAGAAATTGAAGAAGTCACAAATCAATGGAAAGATATGCTGTGTTCATAGATGGAAAGAATTAATACTGTGAAAACATCCATACTACCCAACCAAAGACATTTATAGATTCAGTGCAACCTCTATCAAAATTCCAATGGTATTTTTCAGGGAAGTAGAGAAAACCATCCTAAAATTTGTGTGGATCCATGGAAGACCCTGAATAGCCACAGCAATCTTGAAAAAGAACAAAGCTGGAGACATCACACTCTCTGATTTTAAACTCTATTACAAAGAGTTTACAGTAGGGGTGCCTGGGTGGCTCAGTCGGTTGGGCGGCCGACTTCGGCTCAGGTCATGATCTCATGGTTCATGGGTTTGGTTCCTGCATTGGGCTCTGTGCTCACAGCTAGCTCAGAGCCTGGAGCTTGCTTCGGATTCTGTGTCTCCCTCTCTCTCTGACCCTCCCCTGTTCACGCTGTGTGTCTGTCTGTCTGTCTCTCTCTCTCAGAAACAGACTAAACATTAAAAAAAAAATTAAAGAAAAAAAAGAGTTTACAGTAGAGTTTCCATTACAATAGAGTTTGTCTATTACAAAGAGAAATCAAAATAGTATGGTACTGGCATAAAAACAGACACATGGATCAATGAAACAGGACTGAGAACCCAGAAATAAACCTACACATATACGGCCAACTAACATTTGATAAGGGAGCCAAGAATATACAAAGGGGAAAAAAGTTTCTTCAATACATGGTGCAGGGAAAACTGGACAGGCCCATGCAAATGAATGAAACTGAACCCCCTATCTTACACCGCCTACAAAAATTAACTTGAAATGGATTAAGGACTTAAATGTATGATCTGAAACCATAAAACTCCTGGGAGAAAATATACAGAAAAGGCTCTCTGACATTGGTCTTGGCCATGACTTTTTGGCTATCAACAAATGGGACTACATGCAACTAAAAGGCTTCTGTGCAGCAGAACAAACAATAACATGAAAAAGCAACATATGGAATAGAAGAAAATATTTGCAAACCATATATTTGCTAAGAGGTTAAATATCCAAAGCATGTAAGGAACTCATAGACTCAATAGCAAAAATAATAATAAAAATAATGACAATCTGATTCAAACGGGCAAAGGACGGGGCACCTGGGTGGCTTAGTTGGTTGAGCGTCTGACTTCAGCTCAGGTCATGATCTCACGGTTCGTGGGTTCGAGCCCCACGTCTGGCTCTATGCTGACGGCCAGCTCAGAACCTGGAGCCTGTTCTGGATTCTGTATCTCCCTCTCTCTCTGACCCTTCCCTGCTCATGCTGTCTCTCTCTCTCTCTCTCTCTCTCTCTCTCTCTCTCAGAAATAAAACATTTTTTAAAAATGGGCAAAGGACCTGAACAGATATTTTTCTAAGGAAGACATGGCCAACAAGTATGTGAAAAGGCTCTCAACATCACTAACCAACAGGGAAATGTAAATCAGAACCCCACTGAGATATCACCTTACACTTACTAGGGTGGCTATGATCAAAAAGACCAGAGGTAACACATGATGGTAAGGATGTAGAAAAAGGGAAAGCCCGTGCACTGTTGGAAGGAATGTCAATTGGCACTGTCACTATGGAAAATGGTATGGAAAGTTCCTCAAACAATTAAAAATAGACCGGCCCTATGATTCAGGAATCCTACTCCAAAGGAAACGAAATCACAGCCTCCAAGAAATACCTGCGCTCCTGTGTTCCCTCCCGCATTTTTCACAATAGCCAAGCCACGGAAACAGTCTGAGTGTCTGCCAATGGAAGGATGGATAAAGAAAATGTGGCATCCATATACACAATGGAATATTACTCAGCCATAAAAAAGAAGGAAAACCAGACAGCACGGATGTACCTTGAGGGCATTATGCTAAGTGAAATTAGGCAGAGAGAGACAAACACTCTTACATGACCTCACTTACAGGTGGAAGCTAAAAAGCCAAACTCACAGAAGCAGAGAGTGGAATGGTGGTTGCCAGGGGCTGGGGGGATGGAGGGAATGAAGAGATGTTGCTCAAAGGGGGTGAAGTTGCAGCGAGAGGAGGAACGAGCCCCGGGGATCTCCCGCACCGATGGCTACAGTTAACAATACGGTGTTATGTATCCAAGCGCTGCCACCAGAGTAGCTTATGTGTTCTCACCGTAACAGCAACAGAATGGTAATTATGGGTGATGAAGGATGTGCTAACTGACCTTATTATGGTAACATTTCCCAACATATACACGCATCAAACCATCACTTTGTACCTCTTAAACATACACAATGTAATGCATCAATTATGCCAATAAGGCTGGGGAAAATTTTTGTCCTTAACTGGCAAGCATGGCTCCCTGTGTCTGGCCTGCCTGTAAAGCAATGCGGCTTCCACTGGACACCTGAATTTTGGTCCATGGTAGACAGAGATGCCCACGTGACCAGCCCCCAGTATGAAGCTTGGGTGCTGTGTCTCTAGTGGGCTGGGCAGACACATCACACACGTTGCCGTATTTTTGTTGCAGAAGGATGAGAGCGTCCGGCCTAACTGCTCTCGGAAGGGAGAGAGCATGAGGAAGCTTGCACATGAATTCCTCCAGACCCTGCCTGTCTTTTCCCTTAGGAATATTCCCTGGCTGGGGGCGCCTGGGTGGCTCAGTCAGTTGAGCATCTTCACTTCGGTTCAGGTCATGACCTCGCGGTCCGTGAGTTCAAGCCCTGCGATGGGCTCTGTGCTGACAGCTCAGAGCCTGGAGCCTGCTTCCCATTCTGTGTCTCCCTCTCTCTCTGCCCTTCCCCCGCTCCTGCTCTCTTTCTCTCAAGAATAATTAAACATTAAAAAAAATTTTAAAAATTCCTTGGCTGTATATCCTCATTACACTGCCATAATCATGGCTGTCAATACACTTGCATGCTGAGACACGTGAGTTTTCCTAGTAAATACCCTAATGCGGGAATGAACTTGGAGACCCCCAAAACAACAGGAAATGTAAAAGAGTGCTTGCTTAGCGCAGTACTTAGGACACAGGAACCTCTCAATAGGTAGGAGATTTTAAGGACCTTAGGAAACATCTAGGTTGAGAGGAGGGGAGTGAAAAGGCGTGAAAAGCAAACATCAGCCTGTGCCCTGTGTGTGCAGGAGGGACAAGGCGACGACAGCTGTGTCGCATGGAGTCACAGCGGGGAGGGAGGATGGGGTCGTCCAACCAGCACGCGCTTTGGGGTGGCGAGTTCTGCGTCCGTCAGCCCCCGGCACGAGGCCATCTAACGGGGCTCTGCTGAAGCCTGCTCCCTGCGGATGCACCGGGCACACAGAGGGGCCTCGGAACGTCCCAGAGCTGTTCTGCGGAAGCTCCTTGGGGCTCTAACCGTACACCTGTGAGAGGAAAGGATGGCTGCCTGACCCAGGCTGGGGGCGGAAATCATGCTCCCCAGGCCACGGCAGCCTCCCCTTACCCGAAATCCACAGGCTCATCGTGTTGCAGATGTCCGACTTGAATTCGTGCGTGTTGAACCAGGACTGCGGGAAGCAGCAACAGAAGCTGGTGTACAGGGCTTTACTCAGAAGTGATGGCAACTTCTGCGGGGGGGGGCAGGGGGGGGAGGGGGGATGGGCAGCAGGAATGGGGGAAGAGGAAGCGGAGCTCAGGCCACGTCCTGGACATTTCCACACCCAGAAATGAGCCCCTGACTGAGGAAAGGATCTGGGATAAAACTCTCTACCTGACACCGTGCTGTCTTCCATTCATGGGGGTTTCCATGTGTCATTGGCCCACAACTTGGTGGACTCCTTACCCTACCTGGGCACCCTACCTCAGACCTCAGGCCATGCTCGGGCCACCAAGCTCCCCCTCTCTCATCCCCTCTGCACGTGGTCTGTGGCTCAGTCCCTACTCTGCCACCTCCAAAGAGTAGCCCAGATGGCAAGATACATTTGACCCGCCCATCAGGGATTACAGGAAGTACTACTGTTCTTTTATTTTTTTCCCTTCCTGCGCGTGGAAGGGTTGTTCCCTCTTACCTATGGTTCAGTTCAAATTATACATTTCTGTCTGGCTTTGTTCATTTACCAGTATAGTAAAAGTGCTTCTTCAGGTTGTTATAAACTCCTTGGGATTTCTTTTCCCCCACCAGTGAACTTCATAATATTGTGCTGAATAGGCATATCAATATTTACTTCAACACCCCCCATCGGTGGATATTGTCTGTGTCTGGCACATAACAGGCATTTGTTGAATGTGTGAGTGAGTGGAAGCAGTTTTCCCTGAGTATTCGATGATGACCTCCAGAAGATGGAATCATGATAGTGGTTATGGCAGCTATGATACGTGGAGGAGCTTATCGTGTGCTGGGCAGTATGTCGGGTGCCTTACAAACATCATCTCATTTAATCCTTGGGACAACTCAGTGAGCGAGCGTGGTGTTACTATCTCCATTTATGGATGATGAAACCTGGGCACAGAAAATCTAAGTGACCGGTTAGGCAGACATTTAACTAGCGTAAGCGCCATGTAGCAAAAATATATCAATTCACTTCTCCCTCAGATTGTCAGAGTATCATTTCCCTAGATCCTTTACAACCCTGGGAATTAATTCTTTTCAATCCATGCAATCCAGCAGGTAAAAAGGGGCATCAAACGGTTTTTGTGTTAATTTGTATGTTTGACGATTGTTAAGGGAGAACTTTTTTTCCCATTTGTATTTCTTCCCTGATGAATTTCTGGTTTATGTACTTTTGTCTGCTGGTCTACAGGGGGTTTCATTTTTTTCTTATCGATTTGTAAGAGTTCTTTTTTTTAAAGTGTTTATTTATTTATGCAATTTCCACACCCAATGCGGGGCTCGAACTCATGACCCCGAGATTGAGAGTAGAATACTCCTCCAACTGATCCAGCCAGGCATCCCCGATTTGTAAGAGTTCTTCACATTGCGTGACATATATGCTCCATGATTTCTGCAGTTTCTCGTTTGCCTTTTGACTGTGGTAATTTACTTGTGGAGTTAAATCAGTCTTTGTGAATATATGTATATTCATACTTTTTAATTTTAAAATCACATGCTTATTTAAATACTACAGGAATATTTAAAGTAGAAAAGGAAGTCTCTTACAACCTCATTCCCCAGAGATAATCATTGCTAAGAGATGGATAAGTATTTTTCAAGATTTTTTTTTCTATTCATAGGCACACATACATATATACATATACATGTTTAAATACAGAGTTCTATAAATTTCTTTGCTTTCTACTTAAGTAAAATATACCATATATAGATCTACCTTATTTTTTTTATAACTGCGGCATTACAAGTCTGTGTAGGAATATAGCACCGCTTACTGATTATTCCCTCATGGAAAGAACGTTAAGGGCATTCCACTGGCATTAGAAGTGAGGCAATACCTAGCGTGATTTTTCCCCCTCCAAACAGGGGATGATGCTCACTTTTAAGAGAGCCTCTTCATAGTGGGACTTGGACTCCTGCAACAAGAGAGAGGCGTAGTGTTGGGATATCCGATCAAACAGCTCATTCTGGATCTCCCTGTTCGGCTACCAAGAATGAGAATGGAGAAGGAATTGCTGGAGCCTCCTGATGAAATGGTCAAGGGCTGAGATTCTTTAAATACGTACTCCCCTCATGTTTTGGAATCTTATTCTAGAGATGTTTAACCTCCCATTATTAATGAAACAGTACACAGATCTTTATAGAATTTATAAAAAAGATATATACATAGGGGCAGATTGTTGAAGAAAGCGTCCAAACTCTGGGGTCGGAAGTCCCAACTCCGCCCTCGGCCCTGTGCTTGACCAGCCCTGTGTCAGGGACCAGTTCCTGAGGCTCAGGGCACCATGGGAGCATTGTGCAGTGTCTGAGGCACAGTGTGGATGGGCGAGGCACGGGTGGGGAAGGGAAAGGGTGGCAGACGGGGCTGCAGGGGTGCTCCGGAGAATCAGAGAGTCTTGCAGCCCCCGTTAGAGAGGGTAGGGTTTATTCCATCAGAAAAATAATTTAAGCAAGGGAGAGAAGCAGGCTGATTTGCATTTACCTGGTACCTTTCATGAAAAATCCACCAGAAGCTATCCAGCCACATGGCTTTTGGAGATGGAGAAGAGAGAAACTTCTTTAATTCTCTATCTGAACAGAAAGACTTGAAGAAAAAAAAACACAACAAAATTCACATGATTATTGCTGCTGTTTTTGAAAAAACAACTTTTCGTTGTTTCATTGTGGCTGCGGAGCCACAACCAGATTCATAATCCTCTCCATTCAAAAAACCCGTCTTTCCTCCTACATTCCACAGCTTGTTACTGTTATTAATCACACATCTCTCCCCCGCCCTCCCACCTCCCCCCCGCATCTTTGAAGTCAACTTAAAAAAAACAAACAAACCACTTACCTTTTGAGCGAGTGCAAGCTTTTTGCCTTTCCTTCTACACATACTCATTTAACCACTACGATAATCATACAAGACGTGTGTTACTACTCTCTCCATTTTAAAGATGGGCAAACTGAGGACCAAAGAGCTGGAGTCTCTTGCCCAAAGTGATACAACCAGCCAGTGGCAGAGCAGGCACAGAAATCTGTGACTGTAGGCAGCTGCCCTGTGCTGTCCCCTGCTCCAATCAGCAGCGATCACCAAACACATATGATACAGTGGCAAGTCACAGGACCGGAAGATTCTACTAGGTTCGTGGTGAGTACATGCAATTCCAAAATTAGAATTATCAGTGAACTCTGAGGGGCAGGAAATTCAGACTTCGTTGTAATGCAACACGGTAACCTGACTCTGATTCCAGAGCTACTGTCTTAATAATATAATAATATGTACTGTTGGTTGAATGTTCACCATGTGCACTGGGCTGTGCCCTTCACTCCTTATCTCATTTCGTTTGTCACAAGCTAGGTGAAAGCTACTACAGGTATCCCCAGTTTAAAGAAGAGGAAAGTGAGGATCGGAAAGCTTGGGATTCTTGCCTAAGCTCACAAGGACCGGGGACACCACACAGGCTACCTCTTAGCATGATGAAGAGCAAAGAGATCCCACTCCTGCCCCCTGTTGGACATAAAGGGAGAGACTCCTTGGCTCTCCCTTCAGGCCTCTGGAAGCCTCTGGTAAGTGGATAAGTCTCCCTCATCAGCAGGGAGCTCTCTGAGCCCAGCTCTCTGCTTTGTCTTTTTCACTGTTCCTCACGTTTTCCTCAGAGAAAAAGTACATTCGGAGCAGTTCAGAGCCCAGACTTCAGTACCAGACGGCCTGGATTCAAATCCAGCTCTTACGCTAATAAACTGCGTGACCTTGAGCAACATATTGAACCTGTTTGTGCTCAGCTTCCTCATCCAGATGCCAGAGGGAACCGGAAGGGCTCCTTGAGAATCTGCCTTTCGCGGGGCGCCCGGGGGTGGGGGGGCTCAGTCGGTTAAGCGTCCGACTCTGGATTTTGGTTCCGGTCATGAGCTTTCAGTTTGTGGGTTCGAGCCTGGTTGGGATTCTCTCTCTCTGCCCCTCCCCAGCTAACATGCTCTCTCTCTCTCAAAATAAATAAACTTTTTTTTTTTTTAAACCTGCTTCTTTCTCCTTTTTCCGCTTCTACTCTTGCTAGGACCTGCATGTCCCACTTTACACACGCCTCATAATGCAAATAGTGCCTGTCTTCCTTGTAAAGGACAAGGAGCTGATGATTTCTTTAGAAGAGACAGCATCTAGGGGAGGACGGGGTGAGAATGACCGGACAAGCCGTCATATGTGTGTTCCAGCCCACAGGTGCTACACATCTTGATGCCAAGGCCTCCTGGCTCCAAGGAATCACACTGGGGCCTCTGTCTTTGTTCTAACCATTCCTGGCTGTCTGAGAGGACCCCCCCCCACCAGAACACCCTCTTCAGGAAAATCCCCAGACTCTAAACATAGACAACATTCATACCTCTTTCCTTTCTGGGCCTCCCAGACACTCCATCTCCACCTGCCCTCTCTCTATACCGTCAATAACCTCTGTTTTCACCTCCTGCTGGCCTGTGTTTGGCTTCTACCCTGCATGCAGCCGGGGACCCTTGGACCAGCCTGCCGGCATCACGGAGAATAGAGAGGACAGCAATCGACCCTGCCTCTGTGACTGCTGTGATCATTACATGAGTGACGCATACAAAGGGCTTAGAACAGTGCCAGGCACTTAGGAGACAGTCACTAAAGGTGTGTCAGCTCTTCTTTATTTATCCATGCTCTTGCTTCCTTCCAAAAAGTTCATTCCAGCCCCTTCCACAGCTATTTACTGAGCACCTGCTAGGTGCTGGGACAGTGATGGAGAGTCCCTGCCCCAGAGATGTTCACAGGTAAGCAGACATTCATAACATAGTATGATGGGTGCCTTGTGAGAAGGAATCCCAGGGGCACACAGAGGGGCTGTGGAGCCCAGAGGGGCAGCTAACCTGTGCCTGGCGTACTGGGGACAGTCAAAATGACCGGATGGGGGTGCCTGGATGGCTCAGTTGAGCATCTGACTTCAGCTCAGGTCATGATCTCACAGTTCGTGGGTTCGAGCCCCACATCGGGCTCACCGCTATCAGCAAGGAGCCTGCTTCAGATCTTCTCTCTCTCTCTTTCAAAAATAAATCAATGTTTTTAAAAAAAAAAAAGACTGGAGGAAGAAGGGAGAAGATACATCAGAGGGGACTGAGACGGTAAGGCAGACAGCATGCCAAGCGGCCGGTGCGGTGATCCAGACAGGAAGGTGTGGGGCCTGAACTTGGCAGCGGCATCAGGAAGGAGAAGGAGATACACGAAAGACAGCAGTTGAATCTCAGTGACTGCTCAGCTGCAGGGGTGAGGGCCAGGGAGGAGCCTGGCTGCTGCTTGCCTGGGAGGCTGTGGTTTCCAACCAGACAGGAGGAGAAGCAGGTATGATGGGTCTGGGGGCCCTCGGGGCAGGAGGCGGGGAAAGATGGGAGTTGGGAGCGCCGCTCGGGGTTTGCAGGTGGTGTCCCCACCCCTCGGGTCTGTGCAGAGGGAGAAGACGGAGCAGAGGCAGGGGTCTTGAAGAATGGGGGCTTGGAAGGCCAAAGCGTGCTACCTGCATAGACGGAGAAGCTGCCACGGAGACCAAGGAAGGACAGAACTGCCGAGCGCAGGGAGTCGCCCTCTGGGCCAGTTCTACAGCGAGGTCATCTAACGGAACAACAGAAACACACCCTGTGGACTTGGCCTTCTGAGAGCCAAGGGTGAGCAGAAACGGCCACTTTCAGGGATGGGAAGGCGGGCGGGTTGCAGCAGCAGCGAGGGGAGAACGGCAGGGAGAGTGTGAGGGCAGCAAATAGGGGCAGCTCTCGGCATCCCGGGCGAGGCTCTGGCTGGGCTGGGGCCGCCACTGACCGAGGGAGACGAGCCCTTTGTCCTCATGCAGCCCACGGTCTAGCGATGGCCTCCAGATTCTCTGGAGCAGAGGCAATGTCGCTGCCAAGAGGGAAGGGGAGGTGACAGAGGAGAGGGTCCGAGGAGGCAAGGAAGGGTTTGCGAGGGCCCCTGAACAGGCTGCAACAGGGTCCTTTGAAAGGTAAGACACAGCGGGGTGCCTGGGTGGCTCACTGGGTTAAGCCTCTGACTCTTGATTGCAGCTCAGCTCATGATCTCACAGTTTCATAGGATTGAACCCCGTCTGGCTTTGTGTGGACAGTGCCGGGCTTGGTTAGGAATCTCTCTCCCTCTCTGCTCCATCCCTGCTTGTGCTCTCTTGGTCTCTCTCAAAATAGATAAGCTTAAAAAAAAATAAAGGTAATGGGGCACCTGTGTGCTTAATCAGTTCAGCATCCAACTTTGGCTCAGGTCATGATCTCACATGAGTTTGAGCCCCACATCATCAGGCTCTGTGCTGACAGCTCAGAGTCTGGAGCCTGCTTCGGATTCTTTGTGTCCCTCTCTCTCTCTGCCCCTTCCCAGCTCATACTGTCTCTCTCTGACTCTCAAAAATCAGTAAATGTTAAAAAAATGTTTTTTCAATACATGAAAATAAAGGTAAGACACAGGGGAGCCTGGCTGGCTCAGTCAGTGGAGCGTGTGACTCTTGGTCTCAGGGTTGTGAGTTCAAGCCCCGAATTGGGTGTAGAAATTACTTAAATAAATAAAATATTTTAACTTTAATTTTTTAAATTAAAATTGGAAAGGCAAAAGGTTTACGCGATCTGGAGAGAAACCAGAGTATTTTTTTAAATTAAAATTTAATGTTTATTTGTATGGGGCAGTCTGAGGGGGGAGGGGCAGAGAGAGAGGGAGATAGGGGACCTGAACCAGGCTCTGGGCTGATGGCAGAGAGCCCAATATAGGGCTTGAACTCAAACTGTGAGATCATGACTTGAGCTGAAGTCAGATGCTTAACAGACTGAGCCACCCAGGTGCCGCAATAACATCTTTAAAAAAAATAAAATTAAAATGAAGCTAAAGCACAAATTTGCCTTCGGTTTGCTGGGAGCCAAAGGAAAGCTTCAGTTACAAGACTCAAATCATGTCAGGAGATGTGCAGTTTTCCTGGGGATTAAGTACTTAGGAGAACATCCCCCTTGGGAACCTCAAAAATGGGACATTAAGTAACAGCAGTCACTGTCTTTGGGGCTACCCACACAGCAAATGGAACGTGAATACGTGGGGCTGCACCAGTGGGCCTGTGCAGGGCAAGGTGATGGGCTGGAAGGTCACACAGGGACCCACAAAACACAATCTGTTTGTTCTCGTCTTTCTCCTATCTACCTGTCTGTGTGTCTGTCTGTGTGTCTGTCTGTGTGTCTGTCTGTCTGTCTATCTATCTATCTATCTATCTATCATCTATCTTTAAAGTTTTTTTAGGGGTGCCTGGGTGGCTCAGTCGGTTAAGCGTCCGACTTCAGCTCAGGTCATGATCTCACGATTCGTGGGTTCGAGCCCCGCATCGGGCTCTGTGCTGACTGCCAGCTCAGAGCCTGGAGCCTGCTTCAGATTCTGTGTGTGTGTCTCTCTCTCAGACCCTCCCCTGCTCACGCTGTCTCTCTCTCCCCCTAAAAAATAAAATAAACATTAAAAATAATTAAAGTTTTTTTTTTTTTTTATTTTACTATTTAAGTAATCTCTACACCCCATGTGGAATTTGAACTCATGACCCTGAGATCAAGAGTCACATGCTCTTCTGACCGAGCCAGCCTGGTGCCTCTTTCTTGTTTTTGAAGTCCAGGCAAAGGAGGAGGAAAAAACTAGAACCTTTTCACTCAGTGAACATCGGTGAAATCTACTATGGTTTCATCCCCAGATTTTCCTGTGTGTGCTTATATGACATCATATTGTGGAGTTTTATATGCTGATATTTTTCATTTGACACCATAGCATACAGAAATACACTCTTTATAAATAGTCGTTGTAATGGCAAAGTAGTCCATGATACATATGCCCCCAAATGACTGCACTAGTCTTCTATTATTCATCATTAAGCTGTATAACACTGATAATAAAAACTACCAGTTTTTGAGAACTTCTGATCTACTAAGCACTGTTCTAAGTGCTTTTTATACACTTAAATAAGATCCTTAGCTTTTTAAATTTTACAATAATACCCCCATGCCTCCATGTAGAGACTGCTTTTATCCTTATTTTACAGAAGAAACTAGAGCCCAGAGAGCTACTTAGCCACCAAGATATACTACCTTCCTTCTGGTTCCTTGCTATCCCAATTAAGGGGAACATCTTACACTGTCCTGGAGGGAATGTGATGCTGTGAGTGCCTGCCGCCCCTCCACCTCACAGACAGCAGGGGATCAGGTGCCCCAGCCCAGAGCACAACCCTCCCCCCCCCGCCCCCCTCCCCCGCCCCCCACATCCCCATGTGGTCCAAGGCAGCTGTCCACTTGCTGACTGCAGTCCGTGCTGGAGCCGGGCGCTGAACTCTAGCAAATAAATACCACTCTCACCCTGGGCAGTGACTGGCCCAAACAGACCATGGCTCTTAGAAACTCTGAACGCAAGACGCAGAGGAAAGAGATGGACGGAGCTGATGTAGAAACATCGCTGGGGAGAAGGCAGCAGGGAGGAATCATGAAGAGAGGAGGGAGTGAAGGAAGGGGGGTGGGCAGAGGGAGAGAAGAAGAGAGGGAAAGAGGGACAGAGGGACAGAGGGAGGAGGAGGAAAGGGAGAGAGAGATGGGGCAGTACGTGGTTTGAACAGCAGTGGGACACGCAGGTAGAACAGACTAAGAAGCTGCCTTAGTCCCGGGAGGCGATGATGATCACGGTGCCTTGGGGACACCATGAAGGGCAATGAGGCACAGCTATAGGGCACCAGATGCCATTTCCTGGGCTTCCTCCCCTCCCCACACCTCTCTGCACTCATCCCCACCTCCTCAGTGGTCTCACACATATTCTAGGCCTTGGGATACTCCCTCCTGCTTCCCAAGGAACCCAGTGTACCCCAAAACACCGCTCTCCAAGTGGCTGTTCTCCCCAAGGGGCACCAGGGGCCGTGGGAGGAAAATATTCTAACTAATGTCTAAAAAAAGCAAGAAATTAATATACAATATAGCTGTTGACAACAGAACGTGTATCTATAAAGAAACTTACATCCCGAGGCTGCATGCTCAAAATTTTTTACTGATAAGATACAGGATCAAAACAGGCTGGGGGTGCCTGGGTGGCTCAGTCGGTTAAGCGTCTGACTTCAGTTCAGGTCATGATCTCACGGTTTGTGAGTTCGAGCCCTGCGTTGCACTCTGTGCTGACAGCTCAGAGCCTGGAGTCTGTTTCAGATTCTGTATCTCCCTCTCCCTCTGCCCCTCCCCTGCTTGCTCTCTCTCTCTCGCTCTCAAAAATAAATGAACATTAAAAAATGTTTTCAATTAAAAATTAAATTTATAAAAAAACAGTCTGGAAATGAGTGCTCAGGGAGGAAGAATCTAGGCTTTGGAGGGAACGCGCACCTGGGTTCTAATCTCGTCTCAGTCACTTGCAAACTGTCTGGCCATGGGTGACTTACTTAGTGACCCTGACTCAGTTTCTCGGGGTGTGAAACAGCTGTGTCCGCCTGCCACATGGGCTGCTGCAAAGCTGGGGTACCAGTCGTCTGAGGCCCCTGCTGTGGGCCCAGCCGCACCCCAGCACTCGTTTCCAGACTGTTCCTTACCTTGCCACTGAGGCGGTTTCTCTCAGCCCGGACCACATTGCCCACCACGTCACAGAAGTTCACCCCATTTGGAAGCCTGTTCGGCACAGCGCTGTTAAATTTCTGTGGGTGCTGGTACAGCTCCGCCAGCAGATTTTTATCTGCTGTTTTCTGAAACAAAAAGCAGAGTATGAAAATGAGGTCTGTCATTTGACGGTTTAAAAGTAAAAACTAGGGGGGGCACCTGGGTGGCTCAGTTGGTTAAGCATCAGACTTTGGCTCCGGTCATGATCTCGCGGTTCGTGGGTTCGAGCCCTGCGTCGGGCTCTGTGCTGACAGCTAGCTCAGAGCCTGGAGCCTGCTTCGGATTCTGTGTCTCCCTCTCTCTCTGACACTCCCTTGCTCATGCTGTCTCTCTCTCTCTCTCAGAAAAAAATAAACATTAAGAAAAAACCTAGGATGCCTTCCCATTTTTATCATGAAGACACTGTAACAATCTTAGAGAAAATGGACAAAATGGGGGCACATTCATGACCCAGAACCTCTTACCAAACTGTTTACATTATTTCTATCTTCCCTTTCAGGCTCTGAGCACATGTACACAAATATGCAGATGTAACTTCACTCATGTTACAACACATAAATACACACACACACACATACACACATAAACACACACACATGCAGTACATCTTGCTTTCTTCACCTTAGATTTTCCACATTACTTCATTGTCTCCAACTTTATCATTTCAGATAATAAATAGATGCTGTTAGGAAGATGGTCTATTATTTAACTACTCACTCATTACCTCCAATTAATATTACTGTCATTAATAATTTGGAGCATAGAGTGTCCCCCTTGGGTTTATTTATTTATTATGAATTTCTGGAAGAGGTAATATAATAACTCTTTAAAAAACCGTGAAAATACAGAAAAGTGGAAAGAGAAAACCAATTATCATCACCCAAGGTGCCTGCTGGAAACATTTTGAGGGACTGAATTTCTTTCTTTCTTTTAAAAAAATTTTTTTTTAATTTTTTTTTCCTTTTTTTTTTTTTTTTAATGTTTTATTTATTTCTAGGAGAGATAGAGAGAGACAGCGTGAGCAGGGGAGGGTCAGAGAGAGAGGGAGTCACAGACTGAAACAGGCTCCAGGCTCTGAGCTGGCAGTCAGTACAGAGCCCGACGCGGGGCTCGAACCCACGAACCGCGAGATCATGACCTAAGTGAAAGTCGGACGCTTAACCGACTAAGCCACCCAGGCGCCCCTCTAAGCTAATTCTTGAATTAAAGGAGAAATAAAAATGAAATAAAAGACCTTTGAAATGAACGCCAGTGAAAATGCTGTGTGTCAAAATCTTCAGGGCATTGCAAATTTATAACCCAGAGAAAGCTTTATGGTTTTAAAATTNGAGAGAGGGAGTCACAGACTGAAACAGGCTCCAGGCTCTGAGCTGGCAGTCAGCACAGAGCCTGACGCGGGGCTCGAACCCACGAACCGCGAGATCATGACCCCAGCGAAAGTCGGACGCTTAACCAACTACGCCACCCGGGCGCCCCTAAAAAATTTTTTAAAAGGTTTTATTTATTTCTGAGAGAGACAGAGACAGAGACAGAGAGACAGAGTGAGCAGGGGAGGGTCAGAGAGAGAGAGAGATACAGAATCTGAAACAGGCTCCACGCTCTGAGCTAGCTGTCAACACAGAACCTGACGCGGGGCTTGAACCCACGAACCATGAGATCATGACCTGAGCCGAAGTTGGACACTTAACCGACTGAGTCACCCAGGCGCCCCTCTTTCTTTTTTTTAATTGTCTTTATTATTTATTTATTTTGAGACAGAGACAGCGAACTACTTTAAGGTCCTCTAAAAAGGGCACTGGGCGGATTCCTGCACAACCGCCATTCCGGTGCCAGGTGTCCCCTCCCAGGGACTAGAATCTATTCCATGCCCAGCAGAAACCCGACAGAAAGAAACCCGGTAATAGATCCCTTACCCTTTTATTAACGAAAGATTTGACATTCCTAGATTCCAAGCCTTTGCAAATATCCTGTGAGTTTCTTCGACTCTTGTCTGCAGAAGAATGGAAGGAGAGAAACGGGGTGTGAGCAACCACGAGGTGTGTCCATCGCCACCCAGTAATTATAGCTGCGATTGTTCACTCAGCCTGAGCTGCCAGAAGACAGTCACACTCATAGTCTCACTGGCTCCCCACCCTGAGTTGCTGGCTGGGACCTGGATCCAGGACCCACTGCAGACAAGCTGTCCCCTTGCCTTGAGCCTGTTCCCTCATCTGTAACCTACAGTCAGTGGCACCTACCCCACGGTAGGGGGCACTACGAAGATTTAACAGGCGAATCTGCATGAAAGCAGTGGTGCAGTGTGCCACGTAGCGGGCCGTCTCTAAGTGCGCTGTCCTTCCCTCCTAACTTGCCAGATGCCGGCAAGTCAGATGTTAGGCTCCTTTGGAAGAGGGCAAAACTATCCTCAGCTGAAACGCTGGATTCCTGCTTAACTGCATTTGAGATACTAACGAAAGCCAAACCCCAAACCCCACAGAAACACCGTCAAAGCTATGAGAAAGGATTTTTGCCTCTGTCTCCCAGGCCGCTGCGACTTTTCTCTCTCAAAGCCTTCTTCTCCAACTCAAATCTCTCAATTGCCTTCAAAAACCAAAAAGAAATGGGGCATTAGGGATTCGTGCAGATCTCAGTGCGGGATGAGGGTTGGAGATCAGGTCATTTCTCGAGTTGGTGCCCAAAAGGCCTGGAGCAAAGTTTGTGGCAGTGCCTCCGTGTCCTTCCCATAGGTGCCAGGGCCTCAGTGGCCACCGTTGTCACTGACCTCATTCCCACCCCACCCTCGCCCCCACCAAGTGTCACCACCGATTCATCACCCACCTCTCCTCCCACACTGCCCCTCCTCCTGGCTATGCCTCCTCTGAAGGGGTACAGGATATGGAATGGGGTTCCAAGCAAGCTCCATGGGCTGAAAGCTATTGTTTAAATTCTCTGGGGGGGGTGGTCAATGATACCTACCTTCTAGAATCCTTGTAAGGATCAGATATACAGTATTGAGTGCATCTTAAAACCACTAGTGAGAGGCTACTATCAGATAGGAGCTGCTCAATAAAGGGTAATTATTATTATTATTATTATTATTAATCCCCATACCCTTGACTTCTCAAGATATTTCTCTTGGTCTCTGACTCCTCTTCCCCCATCCCCACATCCCCTCCTGAAGAAACAAAAGGAAAGAAAAATGAATGTCAGTGACCCAAGTCGTATGGATCATCAGCCATGAGCCCGGCACTGCTCTTGGACGACAAAGTCAACGAAGGATTAGGCGTCTGTTCTTGCCCTTAGGAATCTGCAATCTGTTCGGACAGTTATCAGCACACATGGGCCAATGAAGTCCTAAATGGCTACATTTGGTGTTGAAGCAGCTGAGAGTAGTGTAAGCTGGGGGAGTCACGGAGGGGCGCGTGTGAACGCTGGGGGAAACGATGAGGCATCTGTCGTGCTTGATAAACTGTGAGACACCCCCTCCAGTCTTCTACCACCTTCGACAGCATGTGCCCAGGTGTACGTAGATGGAGAAAGGGCTCACACGGGTAGGTTTACATATCAACACTGTCGCTCCAAAAACATGGGCCAAGATAAGGCAAGATGAGTGAATGTGAGGGGTACGAGCCAGTGCAGCAAAACAGCGGTGTCTCTGATCCTTACCAGATGCCACTCTAGCCAGCACTGTGATGGCCTTGGATGGATGGATGAGATTTGGACACAGAGAGAGCAGAATGGATAGGCGAGAGCAGAACAGATAGGCGAACATTGGGAGAAAAGCAAGTGTTAGGGGTCAGCGATGAGACCAGCACTGGGCTGTGTGCATCTGAGATGACCACGGTACCTGCACATGGGGCTGTCCCCCGACTTGGGGAGTTTTACAGATATTCCAACTCATTAGAGAAGCTCGTTCCTTGCATCTGCCATGGCTCATGAGTTGCTTATTTACTGTGGCCCCTGAGTAGTTCTCTACTTAAAACCAGTAAATAATTCACTAGGTACAAAATCAAGTAGTAGAGGAAAAAGTCTCCCTCCTGCCTCCCTCCGCCCAATACCCTTAATTTCTTGCGTAGCCTCTCGGAGGCATCCTGTTCGGATGCAAACACGCAGAACACACAGTCCCGAACGATGCTCTTTTCACTTTTAGGTTTGTGTTTTTTAATGTTCATTTATTTATTTACTTATTTTTTGAGAGGGAGAGAGACAGAGACAGAGACAGAGACAGAGCATGAGTGGGGGCAGGGCAGAGAGAGAGGGAGACACAGAATCCAAAGCAGGCTCCAGGCTCTGAGCTGTCAGCTCGACACGGGGCTCAAACTCACAAACTGCAAGATCATGACCTGAGCTGAAGTCAGGCCCTTAACTGACTGAGCCACCCAGGCGTCCCTCACTTTTAGTTTAAAAAAAAACAAAAAACCTCCCCGGAGAGTCTGATGATCACTCAGGTTTAGGTGTCACTCTGCTCCAGGTAGCTGGGAATATGAGGCTGAAACACAGGAGAGAAGCTAGGGTTTGCAACCATCTCATTCATTCCACAAATATTTCCTGAGCACCTGCTCAAGGCCAGTGCTGTGCCCATATCGGGGATGTAGCAGAGTGGCGAACCCTGTCCCTGCCCTCTGAGGGATCAGAGATTTTGGGGAGAAGCCAGTGATTTTGAGGTGACCAGTGTTGCAGCAGGGAGGTACAGGATGCCAGAAACATGCCCAGAAGGGGCACCTCCACTAGTCTTGGCATACGGGATGCAGAAAAGTCCTTTCCAGAGTGAGGCCATTCAGGCAGAGAGTGGAAGGAACGTGTGTGCCGCTAGGTGAATGGTGAAGCTGTGGTGTGAGCGGAGCTTTGAGGGAAAGGGGGGCTGGAAAGAAGAGCCAAGCAAGGGGCGCGCCAGTGGCTCAGTAGGTTTAATGTCTGGCTCTTTATTTCGGCTAAAGTCATGATCTCACGCTTCGTGAGTTCGAGCCCTGCATCAGGCTCTGCACTCAATGCAAAGCCAGCTTGGGATTCTCTCTCTTTCTCTCTGCCCCTCTCCCATGCTCTCTCGCTGATTCTCTCTCTCTCTCAAGAAGTAAATAAACTTAAAAAAAGATGAAGAAGGGCTAAGCAAGGTTCATGGCCAGAGGGGAAAGAAGCCCACACTTGGGGCATGGAAGAAGGAACAGAGATAGGACGTGGTGATGCAGGATGTGGGGAGGAGGCTCTGGGCCGCATTGGCTCATTAGCAAACACCGATGAAGCACCTCTTATGCACCAGGCCCTGCGCTAGGTGCCAGCCAGCAGGGCAGCGTGGAGGCTGGAGAGGCCGGCCTGGCTGTGGTCCTGACAAGGGGGACGTGGCCACACAGTCAAGGCTGGGTGGGCATAGGGTGGGGCAAACCGCAGCCAACAGAGGGTGGGCAGGGTAGCCTAGGGGTGGGCCCTGGCGGCCGAAGGCAGTCGGCATCTGACATATCTGACCCGCCGCTTGGGCAGAAGATGGGAAGCACATCAAGGGGGCCCTTCCTCCAGGTCACTGGGGGCCCAGGCTTGCTCCCGCCAGCCGCTTCCTGGTTCTGACTGGCCATGAAAAGCACCTGGGACGCATGCCAATGCTAGGCAGTCTTTTTCTTTCTTTCTTTTTTTTTTTTAATGTTCACTTATTTTGAGACTGAGAGAGTGAGAAAGCGAGAGCGAGAAACAGAGAGAATGAGCGGGAGAAGGGCAGAGAGAGGGGGAGACATAGAATCCCAAGCAGGTTCTGCACTGTGAACACAGAGCCGGACGTGGGCCTTTATGCCATAAATTGTGAGATCATGACCTGAGCCAAAATCAAGACTCAGATGGCGTAACTGACTGAGCTATCAAAGTGCCCCAATGCTGGGCAGTCTTGAAAAGCCACCAGATCCTGTGTCTGGGAGCAAAACACACTTCCTCTTGGTTTTAAAATTATCATGCAAAAATCACAGAGCTGACATGCAAATACATTCCTTTTGGAAACAACGGTACAGAAGTATATAGAGTGAAAAACGTTGACCCACCGTCCGTCCCACCCCCTTTCCAGAAACGACCGCACTGACTGGTGTGTATCCTTCCAGACTTTTCTCCTATATGTTTATACATATAGAATGTCCTTCCTGGGAGCCACTCTTCTCGGGCCTGATTTAAGGGTCTTCATGAATTTTAACTCCTCTAATTCTTGCAACAACCCTATGAGGTAGCTACATTATTCTTGTTATCGTCTTTTTCCAGAAGACAGAGATTCATAAAGGTCAAATACTTTACCTAATTTCACAATATGAGAAAATGTGGGGCAGGAATTCAAACCCGAACCATCTTATTCCGGGACCTATGTTTCTAGTGCTTTACCTCTCCTGCCTACACAGCCACACACATAGAGACAAGGTTTCGTAACTTACATGGAATCACTCCAAGTTGTGTGTGTGTGTGTGTGTGTGTGTGTGTATGTGTTGCCTTTATTCACAATTTAATTCTTTTTTTTTTAATGTTTTTTATTTATTTCTAGGAGAGAGAGAGAGAGAGAGAGAGACAGCATGAGCAGGGGAGGGTCAGAGAGAGAGGGAGATACAGAATCTGAAGCAGGCTCCAGGCCCTGAGCTGTCAGCATGGAGCCCGACGCGGGGCTCGAACCCACGAACCACGAGATCATGACCTGAGCCGAAGTCGGACGCTTAACCGACTGAGCCACCCAGGCACATCTCACAATTTAATTCTAAGCCCTACTCAACAGTGGGCTAGGCAGGGGCAATTGAAACTCACGGTCTTGTTGCTGTATGAGTAAAAAATGGCTGAGCCTCTGGGAAAGGCAATTCGACTGTATTTACCAAAATTGGAAATATCACGTTTAGGACTCTAGCCTGCAGAAATACATGCAAAGGAGCCCCAAGATGCAAAGACAGAAATATTCACATGTTCACTGCCATGAAAACACCACTGAAATATTTGTCGGTAGGGAATAGTTAAATTAATTATGCCGCATCCAACATATAGGATATTATGCAGTCATGAAAATGCCAGGACAGGTCAACAGTGACTTTGAAGAATCTGCGGGAGTTATTTATGCTAAAAATAAATAAATGTATGAATAAATAAGAAAAAAAGGAGGTTACAAAAATAATATTTATGGTATGAGCCTACTCACATTAAAAATAGGAAACAATAACTCTAAATATGTGTGTTCTATATTTCTAAATGTATAGAAAAAGTTCTGGGGCACCTGGCTGGCTCATTTGTTGGAGCATGTGACTTTTGATCTCAGGGTTGTGAGTTCAAGCCCCATGTAGAAATTACTTAAAAAATCAAATATTTAAAAAAAATCTAGAAGGATATAAAACCAACAGTTAGCAATGGTTACTTCTCAGGAGGAAATAAAGGGCGGGAGTGAAACAACTTTCACAGTTTACTTCTATACTTATAGATGGCTTGGATATTTTAGAATAAGGATGCATTGCTTTGGCATTTACGTTTTATTTTATTTTAATGTTTATTTATTTATTTTGGGGGTGGGGAGCAGAGAGATGGAGAGAGAATCCCAAGCAGGCTCTGTATTGTCAGTGCAAAGTCCAATGCAGGGCTCCATCTCACAACTGACTGTGAGATCATAGCCTGAACTGAAATCGGGAGGCAGATGCTTAACCCATTGAGCCACCCAGGCACCCTTACATTTTAAAACATAAGTCAGAAAGACTGACTCAAGAGATGAACTGACCCCCAAAGGTCAGTACCAGAAAAGTTGGGGTAAGGGTGAGGCTAAAACCTGCGGACGCAGTCAGCAGGTCAAGGCCCTGGGGACAGAGGAACTTGGTGGAAAGCAAGATGCCTGGCGTGATGGGGTTAAGAGATTTAGTTGGAGTGAAGTGGCAGAAAATATTTGCAAAATATACAGCTGGTAAAGGACTGTTATCCAAAATACATCAAGAATTCTTAAAACCCAGCAATAAGAGAACAAACAGCTCAATCAAAAAATGGGGTAAAGACTTCAACAGATACCCCACTTAAGGAGAGAGACAGATGGCGAGTAGGCATATGGAAAGATGTTCAATGTCAATAGAGAATCACAACTTCAAACCACAAGGAGATACCGCAATGTCCTGATTAGAAATGGCCCAAACCCGGAACAGAGATACCACCACATGCTGGTGAGGCTGTGGAGCGCCAGGAGCTCTCATTCACGGCTGCTGCAAATGCAAAAAGGTGCAGCCACTTTGGGAGACCGTTTGGCAGTTTCTTACAAAATGAAACATACTCTTACCAGATGGTCCAGGAATCACGCTCCTCACTATTTTCCCAAATGAACTGAAAATACATGTCCACGCAAAACCCTGGACATAGATGGTCACAGCAGCCTTATCTAGAATTGCCAAAACTTGGAAGCCACCGAGGGGTCTTCCCGTAGTTGAACAGATAAATGAACTGTGGCGCATCCAGACAAAGGAATATTATTCAGCCCTGAAAAGAAACGAACTATCGAGCCATGAAAAGACATGGAGGAACCTTAAATGCCTATGACTAAGTGAAAGAAACCAATCTGAAAAGGCTGCATACTGTATGGTTCTAACTCTGCCATTCTGGAAAAGGCAAAATTACAGAGACAGCAGAAAAGTTCAGGGCTTGCCAGGAGACGGGGGGCGCAGAGAGTAGGAGCAACACAGAGGATTTTCAGGGCGGTGAGACTATTCTGTAGGATACTACAAAGGTGGATACAGGTCATTACACATTTGTCCAAACTCATAGAACGTACAGCACAGAGAACGCTGATGTGAACATCGAACTTGGGGTGATAATGATGCGTCAGTGAGGGTTCATCACTTGTAGCAAATGTACCACTATGGCGACGGGCAGCTTGCCCATGCATGGGGACAGGGAAACGGGGGAACTCTGTACGTTCAGCTCGGTTTTGCTGTGAACCTAAAACTGCTCCCCAAAAGAAAGTTTGCTAAGTAATAAAACATATCTCTGAGACCTCTATTGCGCAAATGTGCTTTCAAATAAAGGGGAGGGGCTCCCAGGGCCCCTCCTGCCCCGAAGCCTTAAGTCAGCACCCGTAACTCACCAGGTCGTTGGCCAACGGCTTGGGACTCAGATCTACCTCCCCAATCATTTCGTTCACCTGGTGGATGGAGCCAATAAGACAGGCTGGGAGGGGAGTCTGCTAAGGAAATTTTCTGGGTGCTGATCACGCAAGGAACAGGACGGGGCTAGGCTGGCAAGGACAGCGGCTCACTCCCTTTCAGTCTCTCCACTCAACTACTTTCTTTGCAAACATTCACACTTCTTTTTTATCATTTTAAATGAGTGGCTTTATAAATCCTAAATGAAAACTAACCATATCCTAGACACTTGGAAAAACATAAAAAAGAAGCATCCAATCTGCTAACACCCTAACAACTTCTGTTAGGATTCGGGGAGATAGCCTTCCAGTGTTTTCTACACACATACCTTTTGACATAATTGTAATCTCAGGGAAGGCCTATTTTAGGACTCTGACTTCTCTTCCACTCATTATCATGATCATTTTCTGTAGAGCCAAAGAATCTTCATAATATTTTAAATGCCATTGTGCTTGCTTCGGCAGCACATATACTAAATGCCATTATATGCATCCATTTAGAGAATGTACCATAATGCACTCAACTGTTCCGTGGCTGTTGACTACTTAAGTTGCTCACCATTTTTTGTGATTATAAATAATGCTGTGACGCACACAGAGAGCTGTTTCTATATTCTGGATTATTCGTTTAAGAGAGATTTTCCGGGGAGGCATGGCTAGGGCAGACGGTATCTCAGCCATGTTTATCCCTGTTGAAATCTCTGCTCCGTTCAATGGCCTCTCTTGTTGCCCTCTCTAGGTCTGCATTTCTTTCCATCTTAGCGTCAATCGGTCTAGGATATATCCTTTGCAAAAGCTCTGTAATCCTAACACTCCTCCGTGCCTTCATGAAAAGCAGGGTTCGCTCTTACTTCCATTACCCTCAAGGGTTCTTCTAAACTGGAGAATACTTGACCAATGAAGACGCCAAGGAGGGACATGACAAATCATAGGAAGTGAAATGGGTTAGTTAGGTTGAGAGGAGTGTGGGATTAAGGAGGAAGAGGGGACATTAGAAAAAGGGCCAGGAAAGTGAGTCCCTGAAGCAGCCCCTGATGGGATCGCTTGTGCTCAACCCGAGGGTTTCGAGAGGTGTAGAAGGCGAGGGGATGCAGAGGGACATGTGCAGTTTGGCTGGCAGCAGCGGGATTTAAAGATCAACAGCTCCTTATGAGATGTGACGACCTGGTGGTATTTATAACCTGAGAGGGTTATTTGCCAGATGAGCTTTAAGGTCCTCCAGAGATGGGATTGTGTGGGTCCTTGGCATAGAGTGCAGAGTCATAAGTGAGATGAGGATCAACGAAGGAAGGGCTAGAGACTAGAAGAGTCCGGGTGATGCCAGAGATGGCAAACTCTCAGGTAAGAGGAGCCCTGGTAGAAGGCCTGGCTGGTGAGAAGAAGTGAGGTCAACTGGAGTGAGAACAACAAAGTTGGGTCTTTTTTTCTTTATGTTTCTTTATTTTTGAGAGAGAGGGACAGAATGAGAGCAGGGGAGGGTCAGAGAGGGAGACACAGAATCCGAAGCAGGCTCCAGGCTCTGAGCTGTCAGTGCAGAGCCCAACGCGGGGCTCGAACTCATGAACCGTGAGATTGTGACCTGGGCCAAAGTTGGACACTTAACCAAATGAGCCACCCAGGCATCCCAACAAAGTTGGGTCTCAAGCTTGCCTATCTGAGAAGCAGAGGGCTTCACCGTGACTTCTTACTTGCTCCCTATAACTATAATTCTTTGGAAGACAGAGGAGAAATAACAAGACACTGAAAAAAAATGAACTTGTTTTTCTCTTCTTTCCCATTTTTTCAACAAATATTTCCAGTCCTTCTTCCTTTGGGGCTCTTTCCGATAATCCTAGTAAAACAAATTCAAACTAAACAATCCTTCGCAATCTCAAATTCTTTTAGAGGAGAGGTAGGGCTTAACTCATTGAAAAAAAAATTAATGAGCAAATAAGGAAAGGAGCTAATAACATGGGTCACAGACACAAGCCCTGGTTACAAGTCCACGGCAGGTGTCTTTGGCCTGGACTCTAGAGAGCACCATAAAAGGATACAGGGTGGATTGTCCTTCAGACTCTTCCACACGGTATTTTTCATCGCATTCCGTGCAACGAGGGAGACAGTCAGGTGCTCATCCACTGGTATCATTGGCAAGGCCGTGACATTGATGATATCCATGTTCCTGAAATCAGCCACAGTCCAGTTTCTTGCAAACAGTACGTTTCCACTTAAGAATCTCTCATTGCCCACTCCAATCTTGTTTTCTGTGCAGCCAGCCTCCTGGAAGTCACAAATAGCATAGAACCGCTAAGAAAGCATGACCATGCCCGTCTGTTACTCAGGGCTGATGGCAAGGTCCATGCTGCGTGCGACATGGGGAATAAAGGCCTTTGTCTGACAAGCCCTTCCAGACAGAGGGTGTCAGACACACAAACTTTTTCTCGTCTGCTGATGCTCCCCCTGTCTGCCAAGAAAGCCATTCTAGTTTTTACATTAAGGAGACTGGGGTGCTGGAAAGTCCAGGGCTCCAGACCACCTGGCAAACCAGTTTCCAGATTAGAAAGGAAATCACCTTCCTGTCTCTCTGACACTCATCTGCAAAGTCAGAGATTTGGATTCGATTCCTAAAACCCTTTCTAGCTCTCAGCTGCTGTGACTCTCTGATCCTGGGTCCTCCTCAGCACAGGGCTCCTGATCTACCTGCGGTTTCCCGCTCCCTCCCAGTTATACTGGCCCCATCACCACCTCTTCCTCTTGGTTTTGGAATGATCCAGCTGGACTGCTCCCCTCGGTCCTTGCTTATGAACCAGGAGACCCTACCATTTATGGGTCTTCTATGTCCAGAGCCTGGTGGCATAAGCCTGCTTCTAAGGAAGTAAAAGACTCAAATCAGCCCTTAAGAAGCTCATATGTAATGGAAGGAGACAGAAAAGGTAGTTTAGTGGGAAAATTAACCAAGGGCCCTTTCATCACATTCTCTCTTCCTCTCCTTCAGGTCATGCCTTCTGCTCTGCCCTCTGCTCCCCCATATCCTATATGCCTCCCCCGCTGAACTTGCTCCTGGTCCCTGCTGTGCTGTGCTCCTGGGGCCTCCATGCCTTTACACATGCAATTCTGTCTAGTCGATGCTCATCCCAGGTGATAGATCTTTTAGAAAACCTTCTTGGGGCACCTGGGTGGCTTAGTCGGTTGAGCATCCGAGTTCGGCTCAGGTCATGATCTGGCACTTCGTGGGTTCGAGCCCCGCGTTGGGCTCTGTGCTGACAGCTAGCTTAGAGCCTGGAGCCCTTCTTCGAATTCTCTATCTCCCTCTCTCTCTGACCCTCCCCTGCTCTCACTGTCTCTCTCTCAAAAATAAATTTAAAAATAACACTAAAAAAAAAAAGGAAGAAAACCTTCTTGAATTACTTCAGGCCATTAGTGACCGCCCCTCCTCTGGGAAGTTCAGGATTCTGCCTTCGTCTCTCCATTACAGCACTTACAATTCTGAACTGGAATGATTTCCTTCCACACCGATTTCCATTAGGCAAGTTACTCACTCCCTAGGGATTAGGGACACTCACTATTTGATTCCATTTTAGACTCCTTCACCATGCTTCTTTCTAGTCCAGAGAAGCTATCCATTAGGGCTTGGGGCTGTCCCAAACCAGCTGGAATGCAGGCCAGGCTGACCGAGGCCCAGGTCAATACTATTTCCTCCTTCCTGCTCTTAGCCTTCAGCCATATAGGCAAGGGGAAGAGGGTAAGGCGGAGGCAGGCGCACTGCAGTGCCTCTCACTTTCCTCCTACTCACTCCTCAGCATGACTGGGAAACTATAGAATGTTCTCTGAAAAGCAGGCTTTTAGGGCAACCCTGTCAAGAAGCCTCTTGCTTTAGCTTAATATTCTTACTCATGCCTAATGGAAGAATCGACTATTATTAATATGCTCCTTAAAAGAGATGTTTAAGATACACACGCCATTCTCTTCCGAATTTTTCATCATACCCTTTTCGGTATTCTCTGAAATATGACACGTTTTACCTTCACTACTTGTGGAGGAAAAAAGGATGGGGGAGAAAAGGAAGTTCGCTGACTATCTACCCCACATCCCACACTGTGAGGTGTTGGGGGAAGGATGAGCAAGAGAATCGCAAACATTGTGCTCTCATGTGGCGCGTATCCTCACAGCCGAAATGTGAATGTCCTCTGTTTAAAGTTAACATGTTAGGGGCGCCTGGGTGGCTCAGTCGGTTGAGTGCCCGACTTTGGCTCAGGTCATGATCTCGCAGTTCATAGATTCAGGCTCAGCGTCAGGCTCTGTGCTGACAGCTCAGAGGCTGGAGCCTACTTTGAGTTCTGTCTCCCTCCTTCTCTCTCTCTCTCTCTGCCCCTCCCCCACTCATCTCTGTTTCTCAAAAATAAACATTAAAAAAAGTTTTTAAAGTTAACATGTTAACAATTTTAAGCATGTTAAATACATTGAAACAATGCTGACTTTGGAATCTGACTTTTGTTCAGTTTTGCCTTCAGCAATGACTACCTACTGACACAAGCCAACAGTACGCTCCTGCTGGAGACAGGGTGGTGACCTAACCCGACTCGTTCCCTGCTCTAATGGACTTATGTCTGCTAGGGGAGACATGCAGTGATCAAACAATTATAGAAATAATTGTGATTTATAACTGTGGTACACGCAGCGCTGTGAGGTGAGCTGATATTTCATATGGATTGTAGCCAAGGCTTGAAGCAAGAGCAGGAGTTAACTAGATAAAGGGAACGGGGACATACCATCCAAGCAGAGGGGAGAAAGTGTAGGAAAAGGCGAGACCTGGGCATGACAGTAGCCACTAGCCACATGGGACAACTGAGCCCTTGGAATCTGGGTGGTGTGACTGAGGCATCGCAATTTTAATTTTAATTAAAACTTAAAAGCTGAAGTAGTATAAATGTAAAAGCATGGATCGTATGTTGAAATGATAATATTTGGGATACATGAGTTAAATAAAATATTCGAATTAATGTAACCCGATTTTTAAAAATCTTTAAAATATGGCTACTAGAAAATTCTAAATTACATATGTGGCCCACGTTATGTTTCCATTGGCTAGTGCTGGATGAGACTGTGCAAGTCTTGGTTCTCTCTCCCCTTTCCAACACCCTGAGGTGTAGTTGGAAGAAAATTGCACTTGGAGCCAGAGACCCATGGGTTCTGTCCCTCATTGGATGGATAAGCTGGTGCACTCACGAGGCACCCAATAAATATCCCCTGAATGGTTCTGAGTTTCTTTATTTTTCAAATGGAACCAATAATGCACACTGCTAGGATTTCAGGAAATCTGGAGTTGATTCTCGAGTAGTTCTCTGCCCTTGCTCACTGTGCCACCTAGAAGTGGTGGTCCCTGGGCCTCAGTTTCTCTTGCTTGCAAAAGCTGATAAGAGTCGGGGAGTGGGGAGACGGCAGTCTGCGGAAGCGGGCAGGGCGGGTCATCTTCCTTCTGTACGTCTTACCTGAAGACATCGGCGGAATCCGACGAACTGGGGGGCGGTTCCGCCACGGGTCCCTCAGGGGACCCTGCAAAGTTCTGGATGGGACACCCGACATCCACCAGGAAGGGGCGCCCTTTGCTTTGTGGTCGGGGAGGAGGCAGAGGAGGGCGGGCGTCGGGGAGGGGCCCATTTTGCTACTGTGAGTCCTGGCGTTCCCCCGGCAACGCCAGCCGCAGCCACCACCGCCACCCTTCCCACAACAATAGAACGGTGGTGAGCCGCCTCGGCGTCCGCGAGACGCCGTTACCACAGTGACGGGGCGCGGTGGTTGGGGAGACCAGACCAATGGGCTCGTGGAGGGGAGAGTGTAGTCTCTCGTCCCAGCCTACAGCACGGTGAACAGAAACGACTCCAAGAGACATTGCCCCCGCGGAGTGTCCTTACTATATCGAGGGCAGTCCTCAAGTGTTTCTGGTGCTTCGCAGAGGCTCCCTTGGACACCCCGCCGCGCCGGGCACTCCCACTTCCCGCGGTGGTAGAGGCCGGGGCGGGGCTGCGCGTGCGCACGCGGGCGGAGGGGGGCGGAGCCTCCCGGGAGCCGCGTCGCGGTGGGTGACGAGGACCTCTGCAGGCCGTTCCCGGCAGGTATCTGGCTGCGGTGGGTTCCTGCGGTGGCTCGTTTCTGAGCCCAGCGTCGCCCCAGGGCCCGAGGAAGGGTGGGACGCCCGGGCGGACCTCAGGGGACGACCCAGGGCTTCCCCGCCGCTGGAGCGGCCGTAGGACGCAGGACAGGGGGCGGAGGCTGGCTTCATCCCAGGCGGGTCACCGCACTTCTCGAAGCGGGTTTCTTCGATTCGAAACCGGGGTGATGGTTTCTCGGCTGTGAAGAGAGTTAGATGAAGGCGTGCGTGTGAACGTTTGTTCTCTACGGGTAGCCGAGTCCAGCAGCCCCGGGTGGCGGAGTATCTGCGCGGCTCTGAAATCTTTGAGGGACGCGTATCTCTTTGAGAATCCAGTGAAAGTCAAAAACTGCTCCCTCGCCTTCTTCTTACGTTAAAATAGGGTAATGTGTGCTGTGGTCCATTGCAAGCTGTAAAGCATTGGTAAATGCTGTATTTGAAACCGAGTTAATTCCACCGCCTTCCCACCGTGTGATTGGGAACCAGTTAACTTCTCTAAGCCTCCGTTTCCTGATCTGTAGACTGGGACAGACTTAACTTCATCTATTTCTCGGGGCTGTCGTGAGCATCAAATGCCACAGCTTTTTATAAACACTAGCAGTATAACAACCTGTAAGGGGGTACTGTCGTTCTCCCTGGTTACAAATACAGAAGCCGGAGGCCCAGAGAAGATAAGGTCTGGGGTCCCACGGGGGCTGAGTGGCAGAGCCATGATTGGAAGCCATAGGCTCTCCCTTCACTACCTTAGAAGCTGGGCTCTCTCTCGCCAGGGAGTTTCACTAGAGAGACAGCTGCCTTGGGCCAAGTGGGGGGTCAGCTGGGACTTCTGGGTCCTGTTCCAGGATCCTAGGGACTCAGCCAAAGTTGTTTGTGGATTATGGTACAGACTTAAAAGGCAGCTCGTCCAGACCCTTCCTTTTCCTCATCTGTAATCTATTGATGATCGTTCTCTGCCTCAGGGTTATGAGAATTGATGAAGTCATGAGGGATGTGCTCTTGTTAAAATTCTGAGAAATAGGGGCCCCTGGGTGGCTCAGTCAGGGAAGCATCTGACTTCCGGCTCAGGTCATGATCTTGCGGTTTGTGAGTTCGAGCCCCGCATCGGGCTCTGTGCTGACAGTTCCGAGCCTGGAGCCTGCTTCGGATTCTGTCTCCCTCTCTCTGCCCCACCCCTCTCACACTCTGTCTCTCAAAAGTGAAAAAACAGTTTAAAAATTAAAAAAAGAAAAAAATGGGGCGCCTGGGTGGCTTAGTCGGTTAAGCGTCAGACTTTCGCTTAGGTCATGATCTCGCTGTTCGTGGGTTCGAGCCCGGCGTCGGGCTCTGTGCTGACTGCCAGCTTAGAGCCTGGAGCCTGTTTCAGAGTCTGTGACTCCCTCTCTCTCTGACCCTCCCCTGCTCACACGCTCTCTCTCTCTCTCTCTCCCCCCTAGAAATAAATAAAAATATTAAAAAGAAAACAAAAACAAACAAAAAAAAACCCTGATGAAATAAAGTAACTTGGCTAAGGTTTAGCAGGCAATTGAGGGACAGAGCCAGACCCGGAATTCAGTCTGTTGTGTCCAAGTGATACACTCTGAGCACATTGGAGGCTTTGCAAGAACAACTTGACTAAGTACTTTTCCTTCTTCAGATGTCTCCAGATGCTTGGAAGGGCAGGTGTTTTTTTTCAGCTGGGTTTTTTTTTTTTTCATAATTAACACATGAATATATTATCATTGTAACTTATTAAATCCAGAAGTATATTCTTTAATATAGTTTGATATCGTAACATGGAATTGCCACCACTTGACAATTTTTTTACCTATAAAATGACCATGTCACTTAAGCCAGCCATCCCATTCCCCTTCCCACATTAAGCACAGTGAGCAGTTTGCTGTATCCAGATTTTATTTTATTTTTATTTTTTTTACTTAAAAAAATTTTTTTTAGAGAGAGAGAAAGTGCACAAGCAGGGGGAGGGGAGAGAGACAGAGAGAGAGAATCCTTAAGCAGGCTCCATGCCCAGCGTAGAGGCACACATGGGGCTCGATTTCATGATCCTGACATCATGACCTGAGCAGAAATCAAGAGTTGGGCAATTAACCGAGTGAGCCACCCAGGTGCCCCCAATTTTCTTCTATTTTTTAATGTGCACACCTGCACTCTTGCCTTTTTTAAATTTCTATTTTTATTTTTGAATGTTTATTTATTTTTGAGAGAGAGAGAGAGAGAGCATGTGAGCAAGGAAGGGACAGAGAGAGAGGGAGTCACAGAATCCGAAGCAGGCTCCAGGCTCCGAGCTGTCAGCACAGAGCCTGACACAGGACTCGAACTCACAAACCGTGAGTTCATGACCTGAGCTGAAGTCAGACACTCAACCAACTGAGCCACCCAGGTGCCCCGCCTTTTAAAAATTTCTGTCTTCTCTTATACCATTATAGTATACACCTTGTTCTGTAGCTTGCTTTTTTTTTTTAATGTTTATTTTTGAGGCAGTGCAAGCAGGGGAGGGGCAAAGAGAGGGGGATAGAGGATCCAAAGTGGGCTCCCCGCTGACAGCACAGAGCCCAATGTGGGGCCCGAACCCACAAACCATGAGATCATGACCTGAGCCAAAGTCAGATGCTCAACCTACTGAGTCACCCAGGCGCCCCTGCAGCTTGCTTGCTTAATGTTAGAGTGTGTCAGAGTCTTTCCAGATCAGTCTGCATACGGCCACCTCCTTGTTTTTACTTGCCGTATAGAATTCTACAGCTTATAAAGCTGCTCCATAAGCTACATAAGAATGCTACAACGTATTTTACTAAGCCAACCTTTGGTAGACATCTTGGATTGTTTCTTTTTTTTCATGGCTATCAACAGTAGGGATTTTTTTTTTTTAAGTTTTTTAACTTATTTTGAGAGAGAGAGAGAGTGGGAGAGGGGCAGAGAGGGAGAGAGCATTCACAGCAGGCTCCAGGTTGCCAGTGAGCCATGAGACCATGACCTGAGCTGAAATCAAGAGTCAGATGCTTATCCAGCTGAGTTACACGGGGGCCCCAGCATTTATGTGAGAACACTTGTGTGTACGTGTCCAATTCTTTCTGGAGGATAAATTTTTAGAAGTAAATTTGGTGGCCAAAAAGTATACACATTTGAAATTTGGCTAGGTTGGAGCACCTGGGTGGCTCAGTGGGTTAAGCATTTGACTCTTGACTTTGCAGGTCATGACCTCAGAGTTGTGAGACTGAGACCCATGTTGGGCTCTGTGCTGAGATGGAGCCTGCTTGGGATTCTCTCTTCCTCTCTCTCTGCCTCTACCTTGCTTGTGCACGCATCCTCTCTCTCTTTTTTTCTCTCTCTTTCTCTCTCTCTCTCTCTCTCTCTCTCACACACACACACAATAAATAAATAAACTCTAAAAAAAAAATAAAATTTTCCTAGGTTTTACCTAACTCAGAATATTATAGCATCATCTGTTTCCACCTAGAGAAAATGAAAAGTATGGGTGCCTGTGTGGCTCGAAGTGTTGAACGTCCGACTCTTGATTTGGGTTCAGGTCATGATCCCAGAGTCGTGGGATAGAGCCCCGCGTCGGGCTCCACAGTGGCATAAGGTCATTGACTCACCTGTTTGTACCCGTGACTTTTCTGACCCTAGGAGAGGGGAGCGGTGACCTTCCCTTCATCAGACCAAAGATGCCTCTCTTTGGAAATACGTTCAGTCCCAAGAAGACGCCCCCTCGGAAATCTGCTTCTCTCTCCAATCTGCATAACGTGAGTATCACTACCGGGCCCGTCCTGGCATGCAGTGTGGCTGAAACGTCAGGCCTGGTCTCTGATGGAAAGTGGCATTCCCCAGAGGCATCCTTGTAAGGAGGACATCCTTCTAATTCATGTTATTACTGTTGCTAAAAACATTGTTAACTCTTGGGGCTCCTGGCTGGCTCGGTCAGAAGAGCATGCAACTCTTGATCTCAAGGCCTTGAGTTTGAGCCCCATGTTGGATGTAGGGATTACTTAAAGAAATAAACTTTTGTTCTTGTTGTTGTTTTAATTTTATTTTTTTTATTTTTTTATTTTTTTAATATATATTTTTATTTATTTCTAGGAGAGAGAGAGAGACAGCGTGAGCAGGGGAGGGTCAGAGAGAGAGGGAGTCACAGACTCTGAAACAGGCTCCAGGCTCTGAGCTGGCAGTCAGCACAGAGCCCAGCGCGGGGCTTGAACCCATGAACCGCGAGATCATGACCCAAGCGAAAGTCGGACGCTTAACCGACTAAGCCATCCAGGCGCCCCATTGTTGTTTTAATTTTAGAAAGAGAGAGGGCAAGCAAGGGAGAGGGGCAGAGGGAGAGAGGAGAGAGAATCCCAATCAGACTCCATGCTCAGTGTGGAGCCCAAGAGGGGACTCGATGCCACAACCCTGGGATCATGACCCCAGCTGAAATCAAGAGTCAGATGCTCAACCAACCGAGCCACCCAGGCGTCCCAAATAAATAAACTTTTTTTCTTTTTTTTACATTTGTTTATATTTGAAAGAGTGAGACAGTGCATGAGTGGGGAGGAGCAGAGAGAGAAGGAGACACAGAATCCGAAGCAGGCTCCAGGCTTTGAGCTGTCAGCACAGAGCCTGACGCAGGGCTTGAACCCATGAACTGTGAGATCATGACCTGAGCTGAAGTTGGATGCTCAACCGACTGAGCCACCCAGGCACCCCCAAATAAATAAAAACAAAAACAAAACCGGGGCACCTGGGTGGCTGCGTCTTAGGTTAAGCATCCAACTTTGGCTCAGATCATGATCTCGAGGTTTATGAGTTCGAGCCCCCCGTCACGCCCTGTGCTGACAGCTCAGAGCCTGGAACTTGCTTCGGATTCTGTGTCTCCCTCTCTCTCTGCCCCTCCTCCACTTGTGCTCTGTTTCTCTCAAAAATAAATAAACATTAAAAAAAAAAATTTTAAAAACAAAACCAAGAACAAAAGCATTTTTAACTCCTGCTTGGCAGTCCTTGTCAAAGCACGTTCAAGAACCTGGTAAGACAGTCGGTCTCGTCATGAGTTTTGGCTCCAGTGACCCTACCCAGCTTGCCTTCCGTTTACTCCCCAGACTTAGCCAAGAATCAGTTTTAATTGTGTCTGGGAATCAAACCCATTCCCAAAGGATGTTGTTTTGCTCCTGGTCGTGGCATTCAAGGCTGGGTTGAAGCTCGAGACACAGCTCAAGGGCGGGGCTGGTCCCATTCATCTTGGAGTCCCTTGGCCGAGTCCTGGTGCGAATGGCTGCTGAGGGGGTTGTGGGGACTTTACATTCCAGACCAGCTACGACCGCTGATCGGGTGTTAGCATTTCATGTCTCTTCTGTGACCTGAAGAGCTTCGTGGTAAGTAGGTGATCACTGCGGGGCTTATTGCCTTTAAAAAGGATTCTGTGCGGCACCTGGGTGACTCAGTCGGTTGACTACCTGACTTTGGCTCAGGTCACGATCTCACAGTTCGTGAGTTTGAGCCCCACAACAGGCTCTGCGCTGACAGCTCAGAGCCTGGAGTCCGTTTTAGATTCTGTGTCTCCCTTGTCTCTCTGCTCTCCCTCCCTTGCTGGTGCTCCCTCTTTCTCTCTCTCTCTCTCTCAAATAAATAACATAAAAAATTTTTTTTAAAAAAAGGATTTTCTACTTTATTAAACATTTATAATAGGATTTCTTAAACTGATAAGTGACAAGGAGATGTCAAATAATTCAAATTTTGGTGTATGTAGTTTTTCTGGAAAACATGTATTTCATAGTAAAGTGGGACATTTCTCCCCTCTTAGAGTTTAAAAAGTTTTTGTTGCCGGGTACCTTGATGGCTTGGTCGGTTAAGCGTCTGACTTCGGCTCAGGTCACGATCTCATGGGTTCGTGAGTTCGAGTCCCATGTAGGGCTCTGTGCTGCCAGTGAGGAGCCTGCTTCGGATCTTAAGTCTCCCTGTCTCTGTCCCTCCCCCGCGCACGCAACTTGCTGTCTCTCTATCAAAAATAATAAAAAATAAATAAAAAAAGAGAGGAGCTCCTGGGTGGCTCAGTCAGTTGAGTGTCCAACTTTAGTTCAGGTCATGATCTTGTGGTTCGTGAGTTCAAGCCCCGCATCAGACTCACTGCTGTCAGCCTGTCAGTGCAGAGCCCCCTTTGGATCCTCTGTCCCCCTCTCTCTGTCTGCCCCCCTCCCCCCGCTTACATTCTTTTTTCTCAAAAAAATTTTTTTTTAATTTATTAAAAAGATAAATACAAGTTTTCGTTGTGCCTCATCTGATTTTCTGACTTGTAACAAAAAGTTACAAAGTGTGCCAGGTAAGGATTAGAAAAAAGAAACAAGTTGCTGGGGCCGTACAGTTAGCAGGGGAGGCCCTGGGCCTGGGGTCCCTCTGCCTCCCGAGGCCTCCATGCACTGTCTCGTCCACAGCTGGATCGGTCAACCCGGGAGGTGGAGCTGGGCCTTGACTACGGAACCCCCACCATGAACCTGGCCGGGCAAAGCCTGAAGTTTGAAAACGGCCAGTGGATAGCAGGTGGGCCGATTTCCTGCGGTCCGTCCAACGGGGCCTGCGGGAGGGAAGCCCCCGCGTAACTGCTGGTTCTGCCCTCCCACCAGACACGGGGATTAGTGGAGGCGTGGACAGGCGGGAGGCTCAGCGCCTGCGCAGGCGGAACCAGCAGTTGGAGGAAGAGAACAATCTCTTGCGGCTGAAGGTGGACATCCTGCTGGACATGGTAAGGAGGGTGACGGGGAAGAGGCGCTGGGGCTTTCCTGTTGGGGGGGACACCCCCGGGAGTCATTCCATCCAGCTGGTACCTCGGAGTGCCAGTTTGCCCAGCTGAGTTGCTTTGGATCCAAAGATACAGATGAGACAGAGTCCCCACTCTCAGGGGCTAGTCTAGCAGAGAGAAGGACAAGATACAAAGTGACACAAAATGATAGTGCCTTGTGGCAAGGGTAACAGTTAGAGTCTACCTAGGGCCTGGCGGCAGCACGTGACACAGAAAGGAATTCTGTCCAGTCAGGAGGGTGTCACAGAGAGGAACGGAGGGTGGGAAGAGGGCATTCCGGGAAGGGCTGTCTGCTCGTGGCCTGGAGGTGTCCCGTATCAAGCTGGCATTAGTCAGCGCCGGGCACAGACCTGCCGAGGGGCCCGCTCTGTGCCGGTGTCGGTTTCCTGTGGCTGCTAAAAGCCCCGCAGGCCGTCAGGACTCGGGGTGCAGGTGAAAGTTGGCCAGGAGCCTCTGCTGTCACGGTTAAGAGCGTGTATTCTGGAGCTAACCTGCCTGGTCTCCTGTTCAGCTCCACCCCTGGCCTGGGGACCTTAGACTGTAACAAGTTATTTAACTGCCCTGCGTGAAGAGACGTAGTTTCTTCGTCAGTCAGATGGGCACGGGAGTCGCATCTGCCTCATGCCGAGTGCCCGGTACCAGTGCAGCTCCTGAAGCAATGTTTTGCTCAGAAGGGAGCTCTTCTTTCACAGTGAGCTGCCCTCTACCTCGGGGAGTAAAGCTTCTGTCCCCATCTTGAATATCTTCCACCTTCTACTCTAATGTCCCCTGAAGGACCCTAATAAGAAAAGTGGCATTCTTTTTCCCCTGATCACCATTATGGGAGCCACAGCTCAGAAGTGACTCAGACTTCATTTCTTTAGCCTTAGAATGCCCGTTTTGTGCCTTTTTCATCCCCTGAGGCCTCCTGTCTTCAAGGCACTGAACTCGGTGCAATCCTAGGTGACCAAAATGTTGAGAGGGTAGATCGCGATTTTTCTTTAAGTACCGGAAGCCCTGGGTTGTCAGGGGGTTGCATTCTGCCTGGGTACAAAGGGGTTCCCCTCCTGGGGGCCATCGGTGGTGTGTGAGAGAGGCCAGGGTCGGGGGGCCACACCCCAGCGCACAGAGCTGCCCTCGCGAACCTGAAACAGCCCAGAAAGGTCCTTCTTTGTTAACGGTCTGCTGCCTCACTTCTAGCTCTCTGAGACCACCGCTGAGTCCCACTTAATGGAGAAGGAATTGGAGGAACTGAAGAGTGTCAGCCGCAGGAGGAAATGAGGACCCTGATGACGCTGGCTGGGAGGAAAGGGAGAAACTCACCCATCAGAGGAGGTGGCTGCGGCTGAGGGGTTTTTCTGGCCCAACTAGTGGACTAGGTCCTGGGAGAGAGTGTCATATAAAGGGGCCAAAAGGCACTGGCCCCCTTGGTTTGGCAGCCGGCACATACTGCTGGCAGCCAGGACTCCAGGCCAGGGCAGTCAGTAGGAATGAGCCCTGGGGTGCTGTCCGGTCACCCCACGTATGAACGCACCTTCCCAGGTTCACCTTTACCGGACTGATGCTGTGGCCAAAGCAGCCGGAGTTCATTGTTTCCCCCCTCAGGCCGGTGGCCCCAGTGCTAAAGAGCCCTGCCTCAGGGGCCCCGGATGAGCGGCTCTCCTGGTCCTCCGCCCCCTCCCGGGGCTACTCTCTCTGTCCTTTAAAGAATATTCGGTCCCCAGATCCGCAGCCTCTTCTGGCTTCAGCTTCTCAGTGGCAAGCGCCAGCCTTCCACGGCAACACTTATTTCTGTGCAACTTTCCTGTTTACACTTTTTTTTGAAAATTAAATGCTGGTGTGTAATCTGTGTGTGGCCAAGTGACTGAAAAATGAAAGCAGCAGTTCCTGCGGAAGCATGCAGAGCCTGGAGTGGAGGCTTCCGTTTCGCCATCCAGAGACCAGAGCTGTGGATCGTGGGTGCACGCCACCGCGACAGGAGAAGCGCTCCGGCTTCCCTGGAACAGAAAGTGTCCCTGCCCAAATTCTGCCGCAGCCCTTCAGAGATTTGGGAGCAGCCCGGACCCGGCAGGGACCGCACGGTCGGGGTGGGAGGCCGCATTCCTAGAGTGGGAGTTTGCGCTGAGTCGGTGTGAGCAGGTGTGAGCCGAGCAGGTGTGAGCCAAGCTGCTGTGGCTGGAGGAGGGTGCCGGTGAGAGGGAACCCAGCCCCGCAGTTAAGGGGGAGGGCGCTGAGACAGGGACAGAGAGCCCAGGGCTTTTGACTGGGGACGGCCATGTGGTCAGTAGCTTCTGAAAGCCTGGGACTTGCCGGGGACAGGCCTCGGCACCTTGCCCCCAATCATTTCCCCCTTGGCTCAGCGCTGCGGAGCAGGGACCGGCAGCATGTGTCCTTGCAGGTAAGGAGCCAGACTCCGGGAGGGTCAGAAGCCGGTCCAGGATCGCACAGCAGACGTTTGGGAGCCTGTGGACTCCTAGCTCCTGGGTGGGGGACAGCGTCTGTTGGGGGCTGCTGTCCACAGCCCACCTGTAGGGGCAGCTTTAGGGGAGATGGATAGAAGCTCCAGCCCATAACCCTCACTTTCCGATCCAGGAGAGAATAACTCCGAAAATAATTAGAGGAGGTCACAAATACGGGCAGGACGTGAATCTCCAGGTGCAGAAAACTGAAGCAGTTGAGAGCTGGCTATTCCTAGACTGGCATTGTAAGCAACCATTTATTGGGTGCCCTTGACACCAGACACCTATTGCTAATCCTCAGAATTCAGGTGTGTTATTGATTGCCCCCTGCTCTTAGATGAAGAAACGAGCCTGGCAAGGTGACAACAGCTGGAAGGGACAGAGCCCAGACTGAAACCTTAGGAATCATGAGGGGCAGGTTTGGGTCTCACACTGATGTGGGGCCCCCTCTGAACCGCCACTGGCACCGGGAGGGGCTGGAGCCACTATGCGGGACAGTTCTGCAGTGAAGAAGGGCTTCTATTTTAATTTTTTTAATGTTTATTTATTTTTGAGAAAAAGAGCGCAAGTGGGTGAAGGGCAGAGAGAGGGAGACAGAATCCAGAGCAGGCTCCAGGCTCTGAGCTGTCAGTCCAGAGCCCGGTGCGGGGCTCGAACCCACAAACCGTGAGATCATGACCTGAGTCGAAGTCGGACGCTTAACCAACTGAGCCGCCCAGGCGCCCCAAGAAGGACTTTTATTTTGAGTGATAAGGCAAATAGGTCACTGGTGGGTTTGAGCAGAGGAGTGTTATGATCAATTCTTGTTTTTAATCCTCTGGCCAGATCCTTGGCCTTCTGTGTGGAGAGAACAGACTGAAGGGGGCCAGGCTCAGGGGCAAGGCAGGTGGCGGGAGAGAAGGTGAAGTGGTCAGATTCTGGCCCGAATCGAAGGCGGCGCCACCCAGTGTTTGGTGTTTTTCCTCGTCGAGATGCTATATTCTTTCAAGTTCCTACCTATCTCATTTTTTGAAGATTTTATTTTGAAATAATCTATACCCAACGTGGAGCTTGAACTCCCAGCCCCGAGCTCAAGAGTTGCACGCTGCACCGACTGAGCAAGTCAGGCACCCCCTCAAGTTCTTCCGTTTCTAGCCAGTTACATCCTTCAGGTTCTGGTTAAAACTCTTCCTCCTCCAAAGCCTTTATTAACCAACCCCGCCACTCGGGGGACATGCAGGGAAGTAGTGCTATCTACTTGACCGTGTCCCTTGTGATACGAGAATAACTTGGGTGACTTTCTGTGCTGCATGTGCAGTTAGCGGGAGCTGTTACCGAGGAGCTTCGGGAAAGCTCTGGGGCCGTGAGGAAGCAGGTGCAGGACGAGGGGCAACCAGAGGAAGTCGTGCAGTTCGAGGCCTCCCAAGGGGACGCAGCTGCACTATTGCACAGATAGGCGCTAATGTGTGTTTTTTTATGGGCGGGGCTTATAGCTTGTCTAAGATTCTCAGAGGGATCTGTGCCCACCCATTGGCCCACATCAAAAAAAACTCTTACCGGTTTCAAATTCTTTTCTCTTTAATGTTTTATTTATTTCTGAGAGACAGAGAGAGAGAGAGAGACAGTGCGAGAGAGACAGGAGGGTCAGACAGAGAGGGAGACACAGAATCTGAAGCAGGCTCCAGGTTCTGAGCTGTCAGCACAGAGCCTGACGCAGGGCTCGAACCCACCAACCCAGAGATCATGACCTGAGCCGAAGTCCGACCGACTGAGCCACCCAGGCGCCCCTACCGGTTTCATATTCTGATGGGACGGACACAGGAAAGGTGGAAATCATGGACTTGAGGGATGGGGTAGGAGAGGACCCAGAGGCCGGGGTTCTAGAACACCCCGTCTCCATCTCCATCTCGAGCAGCAGAGTCCCCTTGTGCCTGCATGGGGCATCCACACTCACTCGTTACACCTTTCCTTGTCCCTTATTCTTCGATGGTGACCCCTGGCCTGGCATCATCCTCACCTTAGGTCTTCTTTGCTGCCTCGGGGCATTCCTCCTCGAACCCTCCAGGGAAGCCACCCTTCTCCGACCTTCCTTCTCCTTCCTCTCCAGCAGCACCTCCTTCAACCTCACCTCAAGGTGGAGGAAGAAGGTTCCCTTCGCCGCCCCTACCTTTTTTTTCCCCTGATAGTTCTGATTTTCTTTCTTTTTAATTGACCTTTTTCCCTATCGTGGCAAAATACACAACCCATAAAAGTCACCATCTGAACCATGTCTAAGCCTACACTTCAGCGGTGCTGAATGCATCCGTAACGTGCAACCTCGCCACTGTCCGTCTCGATGCTTCATCCTGTAAAGCTGAAACTCTGTTCCCATCAGACAGTAACTCCGTCTTGTAAATGAACCCAAATCCGTGTCCCCATGTGCAGCAAAGCTGATCACCGAGCAAGAGCCCTATTGAGTAGCAAGGCCAGAGCTTATTCCCGAGGCAGCCAGATGAGGAGGGGAGAGATGGAGCCTTAGGTCCGCCTCCCTGAAGCAGGAGGGCCCGGGGTTTTTAAAGGCAAGCAGAAAAGGGTCTGGGTAAGGGGTGAGGCGCTTCGTGACTCGAAGTCACATAAAGGCAGTCAGGAAGGGGGGGGAGGTTAATTTCATTTTGTCGGGCTCGAAGGGGAGGTCAGTGTCCTGACGGGTTCCAGCTGGCTTCTTGATAACCCTAAGTCCCTGCCAAACAACAAAATGAATACTCGGTTAACTGTGGCAGGAATATTATGTGGCATGAATATTATCGGACCGACACACGGGGGCAGCCAGCATTCTGAGCATCCCCAAGCAGGTCTGGGGAGAAGTTGCAGTCGCCTTCGCTCCTCCCTGCCCCGCCCCCCCCGCCCCTGTCTACTGTCTGTGATTTCGCTGTACCTTTAAATGTCTGATTCCACGGGATCCTGGCCTTTGTTTTCCCTTCCCACTCTGCCTCTCCTAGACCATCTCATCTACTCCCAGGGCTTTGACTACTCTGCACGCATGCTTCCTTTTTTTCTTATCCCTTTGCAAAGATAAAATTACTCCAAGTTTTTTTAGTCTTAAACTAGGTGTTTTTAAAAAAATTTTTTTAAGTTTATTTATTGTGTGAGAGAGAGAGTGAGCGAGTACGTGGGCAGAGAGAGAGAGATCAGGCAGGCTCCATCCACACTGTCAGCACAGAGCACGTGGGGCTCGAACTCAAGAACCGTGAGATCACGACCTGAGTGAAATCAAGAGTCGGAAGGTTAACTGACTGAGCCAACCAGGCGCCCCACGTAGGTGGTTTTTTTTTTTTTTTTAAATCATGTATTGCTCTTGTGAATATAATTAGTTGGTTAAAGTTTTCCTAAAACTTCTCTACATTAGCATTGTGACTTTCCACTTGGAGGCATTGATGCCTGTACCTTCCACACAAGATTGCCTTCTCAAGGGGTGCCTGGTGAGCTCAGTTGGTAGAGCATGCAACTCTTGATTGCAGGGTCATGAGTTCAAGCCCCAGGTCGGGTGTTGAGCCTACTTAAAAAAAAAAAAAAAAAAGCCTTCAAAAAAAAAAAGCCTTCTCTGCCTTCAAGAGCATTGGGTCTACCAGCATTTCCTAAAGAGCCCACAAGAGAATCATAAGCCGTTGGTGCTGAGCTCTTAAGCTGCCCTTGCATTTATATAGTGCCAGCCAACTTAAAATAATTTTAACAAATGCAAAAGAGCATACTTCCTAAGTGTAGACTATACAAAATAAAAATACTCATGTAAACACCACCCTGGCCAAGAAATGGAATTTCACCAGCACCCCAGAAGCCACACTCCTGCCCCTTACCAAATATCCCCCCACTCTGAGCTAATCAAAGAGAATCACTAATCCTCACCATAGATTGGTTCTGCCTGCTTTTGAACTTTATGTAATGGAGTAATCGAGTAAGCACCCTTTTGAGACATGAAAAATTTTGTAGTCAGTGCTGCCCTTGTTCAAAGATGAAAAGGACCGACTCCTGTTACAGGAGGAGGTGGCAACCTACCTGCCCCTCATGTAAGCACAGGACAAAGGACAATGTCATGCATCAGACAGAGATTTGGACTGTCGAGTCCTGAGATTCTCTGCTTCCATGGTCAGCTGATTAAAGTGTGTATCAAATTACTACCCTTGTATTTAAGGCGCAGCACATTATAAAAAGAAGCATTTACTCCATTATAAAGACATAAAAAATTAAAATATGGATAATACCTAATGCTGGGGACATTGTGGGGAAAAGGACACTTCCATTTACAATAATGTAAGTATATATGATCTAATTTTGAGGCCAGTTATCTAATACCTAGCAAAATGCTACATGTTCATACTTTTTGGTGGGCAAACTTCCTCCTAGAAATCTATCCTCAAGAAAGACTTGGAGCAATTCTGTACTGTGCCCCAACTTTCTCATTTCTAAAACAGGGATGACAATACATAGCTCAGTGGGTGGTTGTGCCCAGTAAATGAACTCGCGCATACACACACACACACACACACACACACACACACACACACTGCATGATACTCAAGTATTTAAGTGGTAACTCTTGCCTTTGTCTTAGTACATTGATTGGTACCATTCACTTGGACGTTTTCACAAAAGACCAATGAACCTTCAAATATCTAACTCCTACCAAACAAATAACACACCCCTTAGGGAAACGAAACTGGACTTTTTGTCTCAGTGTGAGAGCTGGGAGCTTATTGAAGTGCAGGTTTCTGGGCCCACCCGAAACTGAAGAGAATTACCGCGGAAGCACCATCATTCATTCTGTCCTTGAACGAGTCTCCCGGGTATTTCTTAGGAAGCCGCAGCCGCCTCACCACCTGGCTGAAAGCCGGTAGAGTCCGCCGGCCACATGGTGTCGCTCTTCGCCAGCACTTCAGCCTCCGGCTCCCGGAAGAGCAGCTCTGTCCGCCAGGGGTGCTGCACTCGCCTCCTCTCTTCCGCTTCCGGTGTCCCCCTGCAGCCATGGCCGCCGCCGTTGCCGCTGGCGGCCCTGGGGCGCCGCTGTCCCCGGACGAATTGCTTCCGAAAGGCGATGCCGAGAAGACTGAGGAGGAACTGGAGGAGGAAGACGACGAGGAGGTACTGGGACCCTGCGACGCGAGGCGGAGCGCAAGGTTGCGGGCCGGGAGCGGCCCGCACGGGGGTGTGAGCTCCGCGTGCTGCGGGATCCGGGCGAAGGCGCGTCGCGGAGCCCGGGGAGGTCGGAGGGGAGGTGTCTTCTCCGGGAGGCGGGGTTAGGGCCCCCACTGGGCCGGAGAGGGATGCCCCAGGCCCGGGGGTGGTTGCAGTTGCTTCGATCAATATCCGCGCCGCCTCCACCACAGCTAGATGAGACCCTGTCGGAGAGACTGTGGGGCCTGACGGAGATGTTCCCAGAGAGGGTCCGGTCCGCGGCTGGAGCCACTTTTGATCTCTCCGTCTTTGTGGCTCAGAAAATGTACAGGTAAGGCCCGAGGGCAAAGACGTTGCGGTGTTCCTGGGGCGACTGAAGTGCTGTGCATGAACATGGGCTTTGGAAGTAGCCGGGCGGGGGTGGAGGCCAGCCTGCCACCTAGATCACCGAGTGACCTTGGACTGGTCTCTTAACCTTTCTTGATCTCAATCAACTTTTCCGTAAAGTGGCGATGCCTTTGGGGCAGGGTCGTTGTGAGGATCGTTTTTACATTATATGAGGCAATTAACGTGTTGTGTAAGTAGCTTTGTAAGAACTCAGGAGAATGTAAGAACTGCTGGCGCTAGACCAACAGCCAGCAGAACTGCTCCTTCTGTTCCTGGTAGGAGAATGGCCCAAGGGTTGGGTAGAACGTGCCTTTCAAAAACACTGGATCAGGAGAGGTTCGGTTACTGGGCCGTTCTGGGTGAAGAAGGACACATCTGTTTGTGTGTCCCGCTGTCGTGCTCACACCCCCTCTACAGGTTTTCCAGGGCAGCCTTGTGGATCGGGACCACTTCCTTCATGATCCTCGTCCTTCCCGTTGTCTTTGAAACCGAGAAGTTGCAAATGGAGCAGCAGCAACAGCTGCAGCAACGGCAGGTGAGCCCGGACTCTGGGCCTTTTGCCTGCGGTGCAGATGCAAGTTGGTGGTTTTCCCCACCCCTGGGTAGGCCAGCAGTTAACGTGTGGGTAGAGATTGGGATCCGACCCACGCTTTTAGGTACCCATATGCTCAGCAGTTTTTATAGACCTCGTCTGCCCCATCAGGTACAGGGAAAATGCTATCCGTGGGCTCGTACGATGCCTTACACCTCTCCCTTTCTTTTCCAGATACTTCTAGGGCCTAACACAGGGCTCTCAGGAGGAATGCCAGGGGCTCTACCTTCACTTCCTGGAAAGATCTAGAATGTTACTGCTATCTGACTTGTCCTGGTGGGACGAGTTTGAAAATCCAATAGTGTTTGAACTGCTGATTATTTGGATTCTTCTTTCTTTTCTTTTCCTTTTCTGTTTTTAACTTTGGCACATTGGTTTATCTAAACCTGGCGGAGAGTTCTCCCCAGTGTGTCACGGAGACTCCCAACTTGCAGCTGTGCCCTCCACACTGTCCCGTTTCTTCTGTCCTCACTCTGATAGCAGAGTGCGGCAGTGCAGACGGTTACTCCAGCTCTGGCCATCGCACCCCTTTCACTAAATAACTTATGACCGGAAGATCTCCGCAACTACCTGATCGCGGCCTAGGAACTGATGCCACTGGGAACGATATACCCCTGGCCATTTTTGTTTGTAATCATGGAGATGTTGGGAAGGGACATGCACCCAGTACGAAATCCATAATGCGTTGCAGCTGCAGCGTTAAGGGAGCCACTGTGAATTTCTGTGTTGGAAAGGAGGGAGGGCTGGGCAGCAGCTTCGACCCCAGGATGCAGGCTGTGGAGGACAGAGCGGGAGCTCCGTTCCTCTGCCCATTTTGGCTATTAGAGACCTGAGTGTGTGTGTGTCCAAAACAGGAAAAAGTGCTCACTTTTTGTATTTAAATATTAAAAATGATCCCAACGGAAGGTGTCATCCATGTGCTTGTGATACACACCTCGAAACCACTTACTTAGACCGGCCCTCTCATTTCCTCTGTCCTAGGCTGACGCCACTGTTTAACACTGTTTGACACCTTAGGCCCTACAGGACTCCGTTTCGGCTAGGAACCTTTTTTTTTTTTTTTTTTTTTTTAAAGGAATCTATACCCAATGGGGGGGGCTTGAACTTAACCCCAAGATTAAGAGTCACTTGCTCTTCTGACTGAGCCAGCCAGGTACCCCAGAAACCTCTTAAAAGTAATCTTTGCCCCTGAATTCAGGCAGTCCTGTTCGGATCCACCAACAAAGGATTGGAGCTACATACTTGTACAGTCTGCAGTAAGCAAGGATTTGTAGAGAATAGCCTAGTAGTAAGTTCTGGTCTGGGGGGGAATGGCAAAACAGAACCTTTTTGGTTCTTTTAAAAATAATTGCCGAGATGAGCTGATTATGAATTTCAGCTGTGGCCCTGCCTTTGAACTTGGCAGTTTTTCCGTTCAACATACATTCTTGTTAGCAGTGTGTTATTAACAATACTGAGCCTTTTAAGTGTGTTATATTAATCAGAATGATCCTATACAATTGAGGGTGTAGTAGTGTTTCTGTTTTATAGAGGAGGAAACTCAGGTTAAATCTGTACCAGACCACATGGGAAACGCTGGATCCGAATTCAAATCTAGCCGGGCCCTTTGCTATGTGATCTTGACCTTGTTAACCAGAGAAAAACAAGTCACTTGTCAGGGCTGGTAAAGAAAACTTGTTCTTGGATTCAGATTGTTGAGCCTCGTTTCTGTCAAGTGAAAAGTGCCTCAGGCTCTTGAACCAGATCCTGCTCAGTATTTTGTCTGGATTTTTGAGGCAAAAGGTTGGACCAAAGCACAACACAGCTCTAAAAGGTGGCTTAGGGTGGTAGGGAGTTTTCTTCTGAAGCATCATCACACTAATGTTTACTCTTTATGTACGTAATTTCAGAATTCAGGCAGACACAGATGTACGGAGTTTTCCATTTTTAATATTTGGTTAAACAAAATACATCTTTTGTAAACAAACCCAGCACAAGGCCAACAAAAAAAAGGAATAAAAGCAAGAAAAACAAAAAGCCTAGGGTTGCCCCTTACTGGGCGTCAGGGTCAGGCCTGCCCCTTTCCATCAAGGACACGGGGCTTTGTGCCCTTGGGCGTCAGCATGGGTCCCTGTTCCTAAGCACCAGAATCGGATATGAACAGAGAAACCAGCCCTGAAATGTGGAAGCGTCTTTGCATATCCCATTGGCTCATGGACTCCAGGTGCCCCGGGGACTCCTCTGAAGTGCCATGTGCACAGGCCCAAGCAGACTGGTGGAGAGGAGTCGCCGTGCCCCCCCCTCCTCCCAGGAAATGGCTTACTATCACGGACAGTGCCCATGGACCCAAGGTCCTGCTTGTGACAATCATGTTGGCTGTAACTTCAGGCTGGTGGTGGTTGGAATGTCATTGTGCAGTGGGGTCAGGAGCTCCCTGTGGTGCCAAGCAGGTCTGGTATGGAACCCGGTGCAGAAGAGACTGCAGCCCGTTGCCGAGAGGGTATGACGCAGTAGCCGCTTGGTAGCCTCTGTTACTCAGCATTAAAAACGGCCTTGTTGGATTGAAGATAACGTGTGCAGAAAAAGTGCTGGTGTAAACATGCACTCCAGTCACAGTGGGGAGAAAGCCTCCGCTTCATCCTGTCAAGCGTGCTCAGGCTTGACACGCGGGCCCCAGGGCTGGCCAGTGGGCGGCTCTCAGACCTGCCGAGACCGGTGGCACACAGGCTGTCCCTACCCCGAGGCAACTATGACCACTTCGGTGACACACTGTGTGGTACGCTTCCCCTCCTCTTCTGTTTTCCAAAGTTACGGGAGAAAAGTGGCCTCCAACTAGTTCAAGAGGTAGGGGGTATAGATCGATATTCAGCTGATTTGTAAAGGAAACTAAAGATGTGACAGATCAGGGCCTATAACATGATGCGCATGGACACCCAACTTGAGGGCTCGGATTCCTGTCACTACGGGCGACTCCGAGCCTAGGACTTCTACCGACTCCAGCTGCTCTCAATCTTTGAGAAGCCTGGTCTTCACAGCACTTTCCTCCCCCAACGGTGTCTCAAACTAGTGGAATGTGCTATCAAAAGCCGACTCGGTTTCCGGACTTTGCCAGAGTGTGTCAACTGGGAAAACTGCCCCTCTGCCCGCCTTGTGCCCAGAGCCCCCTCAATCAATGTAGTGAGGTGGCAGGGATGACGCTGGAGCGAGGCGGACAGGCCACCCCGGCCTGGCTCCCGCCACGTCCCCTTAGGTATCTAGCTCACCCTGTCACACTAGAATATTGCGGGATTCAACCACCTGGCGGGGGCACTACAGAGCTTTTCAGTATACAACATCAAGGATGGCCATAAACTGCCCTTAACGATGGGGGTGACGGGGTGGCATTAGGGGTAGGAGATGGCCAAGCTGTACCACTGCTGGCGTTTCCTGAGAGGCCCTTCTGCGCTGGGTCTGTGAAGCCTGTCACCTGGGCTTTGCAGGTACTGTGTCTTCAGACCCACCGGCCGCCGGGGAAGGGGAAGGGGGGCGGGGGCACATCTCTGGGTGAGTCAGAGCAGCAGTGAACTCCAAAGGAGCCTCGGTCAAGTTCTCACGGGGACAGGGAAGATTAGCCAGGACCCACCTTTCTGTTTCCTAAATAAAACAAGGGTCTTCCGCGGCCGGCTCTAAGCATGCCGAGCTCCTACCTTCCTTTCCCAGGAGTGAGGACCGTTCGGCGGTCCCTGCACCAGTCCGCACGTCTGTCCCATTGCACTGTCCAATCTGAGGGGGAAACCCAGTGAGATGTTTGGGGAAGCGGCGGGGGCACAGCCACTGTAGAGGCCACAGCACATTACAGACGATTCCGGGGCTGAGCTGAGGGAAGGACGGGTACAAGTGCGTTACACATCAGCCCTCCAGCTCTGACGGGCCTCCACCTCTTCCGGTACCACCAGCAGGAGTTCACAGTTCTTTCCTCGCAAGTGATGTTTTAGAAATTTCCTGTGGGAACAGAGGGCAGATGAAGGAGAAAACGAAATGGCTGGCAGAGCCGCAAATCGCAGTCTCTGGGGCGGGGGTGCGCGCACTTACTGGTGGCCTCCTCGCATATACCTTAGGCAGTCCCCAAATGCTCTGTTTGGGGTCTCTTCTCGCAGCTTCTGCAACTGGCTACCCCTCAATCTGGCCAGTTGACTTCCACTGAAATTACTGAATTTTCGCTCCTCCTCATCTAGAACTGCTAACACCGTCCAGTCCTGTGAGGAATGGAGCCAGTCCAAAGTACTTGACAGTGAGGGGCTTCTCAGTGTCTAAAAATGAAAGTTCTGGGGCGCCTGGGTGGCTCAGTTGTTAAGCATCCAGCTTCAGCTCAGGTCATGATCTCGCGGTCCGTGGGTTCAAGCCCCACGTCGGGCTCTGTGCTGACAGCCAGCTCAGAGCCTGGAGCCTGCTTCAGATTCTGTGTCTCCTTCCCTCTCTGACCCTCCCCTGCTCACGCTGTCTCTCTCTCTCAGAAATAGATAAAACATTAAAATATATATACATATTTAAAGAAAAAAAAAAAGAAAGTTTCTTCTTTGGTCTCTGGGAAACTTAGCCCTCTCTGGCCTGAATGTGTCTGCCGTCTTCTGAACTGGTATCTGAGTACAGAGAATGCTACGCTGCCAGCCCTACCAGCCCGGAGGGCCGGCGTGCCAGGGGCTGGGGCTTCTCTACCAAAGGGACTTCCCGTCCTCACGAGCCATCAAAGACATAGGTCTTCCAAGCCTGAGACCCCGTGATCCTAAGGCGGGGGATCCCAGGAGCTGGGAATTTCATCTCCTTCATCAAGTACAAAAGAGACGGGCTCAACTTCCCCAGCACACCCACGGGAGGAGCCCGGCGCCTTCCCAACAGGTACCTGAGCTCGCTCTCGCCTCCAATCCACTCGGGCATCTTCAGCTTGGAGTCGAGGTTGTAGTAGGCCCCTCCCACCTCTCGAACACAGATCCAGTGCTGCCTTTTGAGGGGCAGCTTCAGCGGACCCCAGCACAGGCTGGAGGGCAGGTTCATGATGAAGCCCATGACGTTAGTGAGAGCAATGGCACTGACATCCCTGCGGAGGAAGAGCGGCGTTGGGCTCCGGGGCGGCCCCCTCCCCGAGGTCCCCCCGCACCCCAGCGCCAGCACTCCCACCGAGTCAGGCCTGGCGCGGGTTACCTGCGCTTGTCCCACCAGACGGCTTCGTAGCCTTTGGTTTGAAGTGCTGCCATGATGACGTTCACATCGTAGTTCCCGTTTCCCAGCATGCTCTTCTTGTGGGGCGTCACCATGGTGTTTGGAGATAACCTGCACAGGTGCGAGGAGGCGGCGGGCTGAGACTTGAGGGAGGGGCTGCCCGACCTCCACGCCCCGCACGCCTGTTTCCCCCACTCAAGTACAAGGTAACCCAATAATTGTACGGTTGGGGCCCCTACTGCACTAGGCATCGCCTCTCTTCTTATGCAAAACATGAATTCAGTGGTGGTGGGGCCTCGTTGTCATCCAGAAGGTCACTGGACACAGACCACGCTCCGTTACAGTCTCATTTGTGACCCCCCCCCATCCCTGTCTGCTGCCTTTTTCACTGAGGACCTTCCTGCCTTAATACAGCCATTTTTTCTAAACATTAAAGAGTAATTGATATTTTCATGTGCATCAGTGGTATCTGCTGCTACTCTTGTTTTTTTTGGGGTTGTTTTTTTTTTACAGTGTAAATGCTTTATATTTAAGACTTGCACACTTGGTAATCATTAATCCTTAAATACTCCAAGGGCTCCAGGGGCCCAGGCACGAAACAGGAATGTGTGACCTGGAGCCACACGTAAAGCACTAGGAACTAGTACGGCCTGTACTAAACTGGCACGCCTGAGCCACCAAAAGCATTTCAAATATACGTGTGTGTACATGTGTGTGTATGGACTTGAATAAAAAAATTTTTTTTAAGTTTATTTATTGTGAGAGAGAGAACCTGAGCAGGGGAGGGGCAGAGAGAGAGGGAGAGAGAGAATTCCAAGCAGGCTCTGCACGGTCAGTGCAGGGCCCAACACCGGGGCCGGATCTCACAGACTCTGAGATCATGACCTGCGCTGAGATCAAGAGCCGGAAGCTTAACTGACTGAGCCACCCAGGCGCCCCTTGAATAAAAAAAAATTTTTTTTAATTGAAACACAAAGAATCAACTGAAAACAATGTCTGTGCCAAACAAAACTCAACTATGGTCCGTGCGCCCACCCTGCTTCGGGCCATTTTTGGCCTGGGCCTCATTAGCTCACTCCTTTGTCTCCAGCAAGGTCAGCTCTGAAGGCATTTCCACTCCTATTATTTGGCTTTCACAGGCTGGTGGGGCCAGGACGCAAGGAAAGACCTTCTTGAAGGAAGGGCTGGATTCCTTCTGCCTGGGCGTGAAGGGAAGTGTGAGCTTCTCGGGAATGAACGCAGAGGCCAGTGTCCGGGAGGCTGCTAAGGGCCAGCTCCAGGGGAGAATCAGAACTCTGGGACAACTCTGGACACTCAACAACTCTTACAAAAAGTGGTGCGTGTGTGTTTTTTAAAACTTCTCTGCACACAGTGACCACACGACTATTTGTCAAACATAAGACATTCCTGGGGCGCGTGGGCGGCTCAATCGGTTAAGCGTCTTACTTCTGCTCAGGTCATGATCTCACAGTGAATCATTCACATGATTCTCACAGTGAATTCGAGCCCCGCGTCGGGCTGTGTGCTGACAGCTCAGAGCCTGGAGCCTGGTTTGGATTCTGTGTCTCCCTCCCTCTGCTCCTCCCCTGCTCGAGCTCTGTCTCCCTCTGTCTCTCAATAATAAATAAACATTAAAAAAAACAATTCCTTCCACTGCTTAAACCTTCCAATGGTTCCCAATGGTACTTAAGTACCATCTAAATGATTTGCTTTCCAGGCAAGGCCCTCAAGATACTGCTGACCTCATCCCTACCTCTGGGCAGAAAGGCCTTCTCTCTGCAACTTAAACACACACAACACCTTCTCACCGGAGGGCCCGCTGCACGCGCTAACGGTTTCTGCCGGCTGGAATGCTCTTCCCCTAGATCCGCACTTGGTTTGCTCCTTATTATTTGGGTCTCAGGCGTTAGTGCCTGAGAGGCCTTTTCTGACCACCCAACCCTCAGTTTCTTTCCAGGCACCAGCTCGTAGCCCACCTGCTTTAATCACAGCCCTCGTTACAGCCATACACAGCTGATTTTCCACCAATGAACCATGGGCTTCCCCATCCCCCCAGGGCTACCCGACTAGGAACTGGAACTGAAGTGTTCACCAGGTTGGTTTTGTTGCCCTATGTCTTTTGACATTAGCAGCAGGCCCTTCAAAAGAGCTTGTGTGCTTGTTCTCCGGAGCTAGCAAGAAGGCAGTTGGAGGACACTGACCTTCACTCTGCAACCAAACTGCATCTTACAGTCATAGTAACTGCTATGCGTTGAAAACTTCCGTGCCATACGCCACATGCTCTCATACATCCCTCACTTAATTTTCTTTCTTTCTTTCTTTTTTTTTTTTTACAAATAGTTTATTGTCAAATTAGTTTCCACATAACACCCAGTGCTCATTCCCACTAGTGCCCTCCTCCATGCCCATCACCCCTCTCCCCCCCACATCCATCAGTCCTCAGTTTTTGTCAGCATTCAAGAGTCTCTCATGGTTTGCCTCTCTCCCTCTCCCCCACTATTTCCCCCCTTCTTCTCCCCCATGGTCCTCAGTTAAGTTCCTCCTAATCCTCCTATACGTGCAAACTTATGATATTTGTCCTTTTCTGCCTGACTTATTTCGCTCAGCATAACACCCTCAAGGTCCATCCATGTTGCTACACATGGCCAGATTTCATGGTTTCTCATTGCCATGTAGTATTCCATGGTATAGATAAACCACATCTTCTTGATCCATTCGTCCGTTGATGGACACTTAGGCTCTTTCCATGTTTTGGCTATTGTTGAGAGTGCTGCTCTGAACATTGGGGTCCATGTGCTCCTATGCCTCAGCATTTCTGTATCCCTTGGGTAAATCCCTAGCAGAGCTATTGCTGGGTGCTAGGGGAGTTCTATTGTTAGTTTCCTGAGGAACCTCCACACTGTTTTCCAGAGGGGCTGCACCAGTTTACATTCCCACCAACAGTGTAGGAGGGTGCCCGTTTCTCCACATCCTCGCCAGCATCTAGAGTTCTCTGATTTGCTCATTTTAGCCATTCTGACTGGCGCCGTCACTTAATTTTCACAATAAACCCATGAGGCTAGAACTTATTTCCATCTTAGAGGCTCGGTGATTTAAAACAACTTGCCTGTGATCGCTTATCTTACCAGTGACAGCACTAGGATTCGTGCTTGGGTTTGTCGGACTCCAATGTTGTGCTTGCTGCCTTACTGTCGAAGACCCAAGAATCAGAGTGGGTGGCGGCAGCCAGTTGGTAAGAGGAAAGGCCAGCAGACTCTCTGGGGCCTGGGCCTAAAACGCAGCTTAAAAGGCCAAAGGCCCTCAGCGGGCTCTTGTACTAAATAAGAAAGCGTGTGGAAGCGAGCCTAGCTCAAGGTATATCAGGTTCCTTCCCCTTCACCAACCTTCCAGTACTTTCGGCGAAGTCTCTCGCCAGGAGATGCATGAAGGCTCCAACAAAGAAACTTCTGGGTCTTCTACCTCCTTCGCTATTTCACTCCCTACCGAAACTTAGAGCCACGCTTTCCCAAGTGTGTTCCCAGAGGATCACGGCAGGTGCTCAACACGATTGCGGCTGAATGAATCAAGTAAAAAGGTTTCATGCGGGAATTCTCAGAGCCCCTAATACGCTAATATTCACCTTCAGTCTTGAGGAGACGGGGTACATTTCAGTTCCCAGACATACCCCCCACATTGTTTTGAGGTGCACCTGACAGGAGAGTTCCTAGCATCTCTTGTCCTTGTCCCATACCTTCTATCTCGGATTCCAACCCCCTCCTGTCTGTCTATTCATATGGTCTCCGCCTGAACTGCGGCCTCCTTGCTCCGTATCCGGGCTTTGGACACAGGTTCCTAAACTGATCTCACTTCCAGACTCTCCTTCTACCAAGTCACTTATATGTTCCTGCCACGTTCACCAAGGTATCATCTCACGTTCATGGAAGAACCGTGCGCTGGCCGACTCCAACCCTCCGGGCCCTAATGGGCCTCCTGTGGCTCCCTCTTTGGGCTTTTTAGTCCACTTCAAACACCACAACCACACGGCCCCTATTCTTTCATCGCATTTCCTGTTCCAAGCCAAGTCTTGAAGCTTCTTCAAGGTCAATCTCACATCCTACCTTTTCCATGGAATCTTTCCTGGCTCCTGTGTAGCAGAATATACAGGGAGACGGGGAGGACTCACACATTAGTCTAGCAACCAGCACCAGTACTAATTGTGAGATTTAATCTCCATGCCTGTTGGCTTATCTGTAACGATGGGAACAATTCCCGTCTTACAAGACCGTTCAAGAATTCTGTTAGCTTCTACCTGTCCAACCAAACAGCGAATTCCTGAAGCAAAGCTCTCTTCTAGGGCTACGCAGTGGCAACTGAATAAACATGTGTTGCCCAAACGATCAACACAGGAAATGCCAAGAACGGCTTCCATCTCATCCCTCGAGTGGTCATTTGAGTAAGTGGGGTTCCATCCAGTGGGCCCATGATACCAGTACTTGTTTTTACTTTCACAATAATCAAATGCCCACTGTGTCAGCTACTCTGAGGAGGTTTATCTCATATTCCCTCCAACAGTCCGGAGGCAGAGGTTAATCTCACAGTGTAAATAAGGAAGCTGGGGTGTAGTGTGGTTACAGTGACTTGCACGGTCCTACGTACAGCTGGTGACTGGTACAGCTAAGAGCCAATCCCTACCCCTAAGACGACGCTCAACGGTGTCCTGGACAGTTCAACACCTTGGTCCCACCAAACTTCCTGGCACCCTGTTCTCTGATTGCTTTCTTGAGACTCCTTGGCAAGCTCCTGTTCAGGACGGTCTTAACGGCTTGGACAGAAGTTCTGGACTATAAAGCCAGCCTCTCCTTCCTGTCGTCATGGCCACAGGTTAGAGCCGTGAGATCTGACGTGAACGCCAAGTGACAAGATGGGCTCTTGCCACGTCTCACCGATGCCTAGGCCCTCGGGTGAGAGTTCCTGGTCTTCCCTCGCAGTCTGGCTATGGTGGTGATTTCAGATTTTAACAAAAAGAAGATGTGGAAACATTCGTTAGGATTTCTTTTCTCTCCTGATTATTGCTTTCCTTTTCATCAGGCCTGAAGAAAATGTGCCATTAAAAGATATGGCTCAGAACTTCATGATGTGTCTTTAAATTATGAAATATGTACAGCACAGATCACAGGGCCAGGCACACGGATGTACGCTCTGCAGGTGCTGGCGAAGACGATGTGTCCACCTGGCCCTTAGACGAGATAACTTCAATCTCTAGGGGCTAACACTCAACATCATTTCTGAATTTACCACCACCACACCTTTAAATGTGGCTTCTTCCACCTGCTCAGGGGCATTTTAATGGAGAGGCTGGGTTTCCTTGTGGTAGAAAATGCTGGCGGTTCACCAATATCTAAAATCTTTTTGTCCCTTTCAGCTTGTGTTAGATTTTTCGAGCAGTACCAGCCTGGTTTTGGTCTATTTCATTTTTTAACAGCTACTTCGCCTGGGGAAGGGATGCATGCTTAGCTGCAAGAACATTTAACCACTGAAAAAACTGAGGAGGGGGGGGTGTCTCATGAAGATGGCCTGAGGATTTTCCAAATAACTCTGCTCTATCTTTTGATTTCTCAGTCTTTCCTTTTGCGAAGCAGAGGAACACATACGGTGAGATGTTCGGATCAGACATCCACATCTGTACACGGGCACCCCCATTGCCTGCCAGGTTTCTGAGCTTTATCTCCAATTCTGCATGTTGGAAACGGATCCTTTTCAAACCAGTGACCTCTTTTGCCATCACCACGGCCATTACCACGATCTCCAAATCCTGGACAGAGACTCTGCCACCTGGACTCCTCTCTTCCCCGTCCCCAGGCTGCTGCTGAGCCACTGGCCTTAGCTCTAAGGCCCTGCTCGTTTGGATTCCAAACATGAGTCATCTCAAGTCCATAACTGTATCAAAACTCCACCCTGCTTTTGTATTCCTTTTGTATCTGGCTGAGAGTGAACTGCTCGGAGGAGCGAGGAGCTCCCTCTCAACACACAGTATTCATCACAATTTGTCTCCCATTTCTCCCCTTCATCAGCCACGTCTTTGAACAAGCACAGAACTTTGTATCTGGGAATTTCAAATGATCTCGTTAAACCTGCCAACATTACTACTGTGTCCGCTGAGACCCAAACAGATCATCTGCCTCCTCCCTGTCCCTGGTTTAAACAGCTCTAAATCCCGTGGTTCTAACTTCATTTGAGTCTGTTCCCAAGGCCTGGTCAATGGGTAGCACTAGGAGGCACTTGCTTGTTTATAAAATTCCATCTTCTTTCCCTCCTCTGGTCCCTTTCACACTTTGTTTCTATTTCTCCACACTGACTCTTTCCATATGAAATACACAGAATTTTGCCTCTGGAGAGGGAACAGAGTGTATTTTCTTATGTACTGGATTGCTGTTACTTTGAGATGGATCTTTACGTGGTGCTGATAGGGAACTGGGGAGGGCAGGACACATTTGTAAGAGCTTTAATAGCCAGGAATAGAATTCCGGTCCCATGTTGAGTGTTTAGGAAATATTTAGCATTCTTGCATTCAGGGAAAACACAAGTGAAGGAGCCCTGCAATCATCCACAAACCACTTATAATCACAGTCCACATCTCTGGGCCCGGGCCCAGCATGCTCGCAGGGCGAATGGAAACTGATGCTAAAACTACTCTGACATGCCTTTCCAGGATCCGGAAGCAGCAGTGCAGACAGACGTCCTGCGGTGTCCACCCAGACCCTGCAGCACTAATTCTCAAACCCTTTGATAAAAAGAACTTTGGAGGGGCGCCTGGGTGGCTTAGTCGGTTAGGCGTCCGACTTTCGCTTAGGTCATGATCTCGCGGTTCGTGGGTTCGAGCCCCGCGTCGGGCTCTGTGCTGACTGCCAGCTCAGAGCCTGGAGCCTGTTTCGGAGTCTGTGTCTCCCTCTTTCTCTGACCCTCCCCTGCTCACACGGTCTCTCTCTCTCCTATAAATAAATTAAAAAAAAAAAAAAAAAGAACTTGGGAACATCAAAGTAAAGAGAGAAGAAAAGGTGAATTTCTATCACCCTGTCAGGTAGCATTTAGCAATAAAATAAATAAATAAATAAATAAATAAATAAATAAAGGCCATCTAGCATAAAGTAGAAAGGGGAAGAGAGCTAGAGTCCAGTTTCAAATCACAGCTTTGCTACTTAGAAGCTGTTTGGACACATTACCTGACCTCTCTGTCTGCTTCTATCAGTAAAATATTGTCTGTAAAATGACTGCTGCGGAAGGCTATACAAAGCAATGTACGGAAAAGCACCCTGGCCAACACATGGCCTCATGGGAAAACTGAGCACTGCGTAAAGCTAGCCGAGCCCCTTCCTTATGAAACCCACAATATGCCACCTATGATGGCAGGTGACTGAGTCTGTACAGATCTTGTCCCCCTTCCAGACTGTAAACTCTGGGGGCAGGGCTTTGAGAGGCATTATAGCGCGGCAGTCAACAGCACAGACAGTAACCTGAATTCAAACTTGGCCCCACCAGTTGTTACCTAAGGCACATTACTGAACTTCTCTGAGCCCCGTCTGCACCCATAAAATGGAAATAACACAAATTCCACGGCATGGTTGAGGAGATCTCGCGAGATGACACAACAGAGGGTCCTAGCCCTCTGCCCAGCCTATGGTCAGTGCTCAGTAAATGGTAGGGATTATCATTTTCCCCGTTTTGGTGTCCCTCATAGCTGCTAACAGCACCGAGCTAATTAATACCTGTCGGTTTGCAGGTGTACCTAGAGGAGACACTGCCCCACCCACAGAAATGCAGAGCATAAAGCATAAAATCGGCAAGGGGAAGTCCCTTACTTACCTCTGGAAAATCTCCTGCAGGGTTTCCCGGGTGAAGGCATTGCTGTCCTGGAAGACGTTATTGAGGGCGTGCAGGGCACAAAGCTCCCTGCGCTGTTTCTCATGGTAGATTTGTGGGGGTGCTGCCTGGGGCAGCTCCAAGGATTCCGATTTGGCCTTGTCTCCTTTCCATGGCACGCAACTCATGTTTTCGTTTAAGGTTCCAGAGAGGGCTGAAAACACCCCACCCTTCCCTCCAGAGGAAGAATGTAAGTCAGCTTCTCAGTCTTTCCAGGATCCCTGAGGTCCAACCTTATTTTCTGAGGTCCATGATTTATGCTTTGTCACGGGGAGACTAGGTTGGAATCAAAAGGAAAAAGAAAATCCGCCTCTTCTCTTTGCAATAGAGAGACCACTTTGGATTCGTGTATTTCGCCACCGCTGTCAAAGTGCAGGATGTTTTCAAAAAATCACAGAAAATCTAAGACCTCGTTGCCCTTCTCACACCCTCCCCTCCGAACCCTCCCCCCCGACGATTTTCCTGCTGTATTTTCCTGTCTGCAAACGCCAACCAGGACTCAACGCAGGAGGGCCGCGCGGAATCGGTCACATCGCTCCTTTTCTTCCATGTCTTTCGAACCGCAACGCCACTGACTCAGGAGACCAGGCCTGGGTGGTGGGTGAAACGCAGAATTGGAGCAGCTAGCGAGGGCCGGCCAGCGTGCGATCGCGGGCGGTGCGGGGGCCTCGTGGACGGCTCTCCATCCCCTCGGGTGCGGCGGGGCCCCGCAGGGCGCGGGCGGGGGCGGCGCCCTCCCAAGCCGCGGACTCTCACCCTCTCGCCGCGGCCCTGCGGGGGAGACAACCTGGATCAGCTCCGGCGGGCGGGCGGGCAGCCTCGGAGACGCAGGCTGGCGGGCTCGGTGGCGGGGCGGGTCCGGCCCCGGCCCGAGGGAAGGTCCTGCGCAGCGAACGGCAGGCCCGCGAGGGGTGGGGTCGGGTCCACCCCGCTCGCCGCCCGCACCCCAACCTCCCCGCCCGTCACGTGAGTATAATCGGACACGCCCTCCCGCCGCGGCCCCTCCTCGCGCGGCCCGTCGCCCCCTCACCGCTACCGGCCGCCACCTGGCGAAGCGAGCCGCCACCTGGGCCGCGCTCGGGCGGGCGGGCGGGCAGGCGCGCGCACCTGAGCCCTACGTCAGCGGCCCTCGCCGGGCGCGTGCTCCGGAAACGCCCTCCCGCGCCGTCCCCGCTCCCGCCCGCCGTGGCGTCACTTGTGACGTCAGCCTGCCGTCAGGCGGCGCCGGCTTTAAGGCCCCGGCTGCCACGGGTCGGTTGAGTGGGTGTGGGCACCGCCGGGGCGGCCTGGGGACGGTAGGGCCGCGGGGCGCGGCGAGCGCCGCCACTGGAGCTGGTGCCCGGCTCCTGGTTCCCGGGCGGGGCGGCCTACCGGAGTCTCGCCTCGACGCCCTCCGCTCCCCACCCCTCCCCTGGCGTCGGCGACGTTCCGGGGCGGCGACCCGGCCTGCGGCTGCACTTCGCAGCTCTCACCGCCCTTTCCCCCTCTCTGGGCCGGGCTTCTCGAGCGGAGTGCTTTCGAGAACCTGGACTAGCGACTCCGGCGTTGATTGTTTTATGTTTGTCTAGCGCGCTGTTCACCAGGTGATTTCAAAGAACCTTACTAATGCGGTCGGGCGTAAATTGTGTTGGTTAGTGGGCCCGCCGCTCCGCACTTCCTCGGGAGCGCTGAGGGTAAGTGCCTCGCCCGGAGTCACGTTTCAAATGGCATAGAGTCCGATTTCAGTGCCTGGGTGTCGAATTTCGGTGCAGTACACTGAGACCACTGTCCTCTCACCTCGGGCTCCCCGCCCCGAGCTCACGGGGGCTGACACAGAATCCTCTCTGGGTTTTCTCAAGGTGTTTGATGTGTCAGGAGGGTATACGCCCAGTCCCGTGTGACCCCCCCCTTCCCCCCCAGCATCTACCTCTAGGTCATGGGGAAGGCATCTTCCACCCTCGTTGCCCTTCTTTGGGATCTTTGTTCGGGGAATTGGAAAAAAAAAAATAAAAGAGATCATGCAATCCATTTCATTTTTTTAAGGTTTTAAGACGTATATTTATTTTGAGAGAGTGGGGCAGAGAGAGAGAGAGAGAGAGAGAGAGAATCCCAAGCAGGCTCCTTGCTGTAAGAGCAAAGCCCGATGTGGAGCTCGAACTCCCGAACTGTGAGGCCATGACCTGAGCCAAAGTGGGGACACTTAACCAACTGAGCCGCCCAGGCACCCCAATTTATTTATTTACCCCTGCTACAACAGGACTCTCCTAACGCCATTACACTGGCCGCGGAGTTACCACTTTTTAACACAAGCTTGCGTGCTTACCACGTGGTTGGCAGCCCTACTCTAATCCAGACAACTTTTAAATTATCTCAAATTTTTGCAATTTGTAAACCACCTAAGACTTGCAATTCTGTTTTCATAAGATTAGTTAATGGAGGCTTGCAAGCACTGTTATAAGTGCTTCACATATGTTAATTTATTTTCTGCTAACTGTGCCTTGAGGTAGCTACTTCATTTATTAAAAATTTTTTTTACATTTATTATTGAGAGACCGAGTGAGACAGAGCATGAGCGGCGGAGGGGCAGAGAGCGAAGGAGCCACAGAATCCGAAGCAGGCTCCAGGCTCTGAGCAAGAGTTCAGCACAGAGCCGGATGTGGAGCTTGAACCCATGAACCCTGAGATCATGACCTGAGCGAAAGTCCGGCACTTAACGGACTGAGTCCCCCAGGAGCCCCCCATTGTTTTTTCAAGAGGAGACAACTCAGGTTCAGAGATGTTAATTTGTTGGAGGTCACACAGCTAAGTAGTGGACCCAGGATTTGAACCTAGGCTCTAACCTGTCTTCAAAAAGAGGATGTAAAAATGGGTAGGGAATTCCCTTCTCCAAATGTAATTTTAGATTTCTCTCTTCAAGTCAAGAAGCACCTACTTTTGAGACTTTTTTTCTGGGCAAGCCCTATAGTGAGAAGGACATGTGTTTTAGTCTACCGATAGATGTCAGCATATTCTGAACTTGAACCCTTTCTGGAAGAGCCAGTTTGTAAGATGCTAAATACCAATTATTATTCTAGATTACTAATGCTTGATATTTGACTTTCCTGCCAAATCAAGATTTTAATGTTTTTAACTACCTCATAGAGTAATAGGATAGTTGTGAGCAATGTAGCCAGAATAAGAAAAGAAAAAACGCATTCGGAGAACTGTTATCAAGATCTTTGGAGTTGAATGATTTCTGGTCCCAGATTCCCAGCTGTGTTTGTGCACATAAGACTTGATAGTTAAAAAAAAGGGGGAGTGGGGTGGAGGGAAGCCTGGGTGGCTCAGTTGGTTAAGCCTCCGATGTCAACTCAGGTCATGATCTCACACTCCATGAGTTCGAGCCCTGTGTCGGACTCTGTGCTGACAGCTAGGAGCCTGGAGCCTGCTCCCGATTCTTTGCCTCCCTCTTTCTCTGTTCCTCCCCCTCTCACGCTCTGTCTCTGTCTTTCAAAAATAAATAAACGTTAAAAAAATTTTTTTAAGACTATTTCAATTGAAAACAGGAGCAAGTGGAAGTTCTTTTTTTTTTTTTTTAATCAGGTGGATCCCTAAAATTGAAGGCCGTTTTGAACCCTGACTAATTCCTGTGTTCCCAACCCTAGATCTTGGATGTGTTACTATCTCAGTGGCTGCTCTTTCTTGATTGCTGCCTGGGACGAGTGGCCAAGGCCAGATAGGCGAGTTTTGGCTAATCTCTAATTTTATCGAGCTTTCCAAACGTTTGAAACCGGGAAAGACACCTAAAATTTTTGCTGATAGTATTTTGGACAGGGTCTTTCCACTTCCGATTCTACTGTGGACGAATCATCCATTGAAAACGACCCTCACAGACCCTAGATCGTGGCTTCACAGCTCACAAATACGGTGAGGTAGTTTGGGCTTGTATTTTAGCGAGTTGTCTCCTTTTTGGTCCTGTAATTGCTTTCTCCGCAGAGGCAGTGAATGGAGAATTCTCCCTAAGGTCAGCGTTTAATTAATTGCCGCGCTCTGCTGCTATAGTATTCCAGGCATCGATCCTACTATTAAAATTGCCTGGAGATTGCCAGCACGTCGGATTTCGATCTTGCAGGGACTGCCCGGAGTCATTGAGTGAAAAGGAGGGAGGCGCCTTGTGCCGTTTACTATCTCTGTGGGCGGTGGCCTGAGGCGCGGGACCTATCCGGTGACTTGATTGGGCCTTGCCCCTGTCCATCATTGGAAGCCTCTCAGCGCCGACTGTTTTGCAGTAAGATTTGGAAACTGAGCACCGCCTATGGGAAAGAGGGAAGCGAGGGGCGGTGAGGGTAAACGGTGTGTGTGTGTGTTTCCCCATTCATTGGGTGGCTGCTGTGTCAGTCATACTCTGCCCGCTCCCGTTGGCTGGAAGGCTCCAGGCAGGTAGCGTGGACGCGGTGCTGCCCCCTCCCGAGCTGCGATCCAGGCGCGTGACGTCTCAGACATTTGTTGTTGGGCTTTGGGCCTCATTAATTATTCATTAGGTACTTGAAAGGGCGGCAGTGATTGGTGGCTGAGAGGCCGGGTCGATTGTTTCTTAGCTAGAGATACGTGTCACTCTCTACGCGGCTGCAGAAGTTTCGCATAAATTATCCGATGAGGGGCGGGGCGGGGCAACGCATAGATTAGGCAAATGAGCCGAGGAGGGAGGAGAGGCCGGCTACGAATTAGCCTAAGTTATTAAAGATGGCGGCGGAGCGGAGTCGCTCCCCGATGGACTCGCCGGTCCCGGCCTCTATGTTCGCCCCCGAGCCCAGCTCCCCGGGGGCGGCCAGGGCCGCGGCGGCTGCCGCCCGGCTCCACGGCGGCTTCGACTCGGACTGCAGCGAGGACGGCGAGGCGCTCAACGGCGAGCCGGAGCTGGACCTCACCAGCAAGGTAGGCCTGGGCACCGGCGGCGGCGACGCTGAGGGGACCGGGCGGGCGCTGAGGGGGACAGGTCGGTGGGCCGAGCCGTCTCCAGGACAACGGCGATGGCGCCGGCGAGGGGGCGGGAGGGGCCGGGCCGAGGCCGCCCACCTGGCGGGGACGCGCCGGGAGCTCCCGGGCAAGGGCAGGGGTGGCCCCCGAGGGCCGCGCACCCCGGTCCTCCCACGGCAGTGCCTCCCGCCGTCGGTCTCCCGCCCAGATCACAGCCCCTCGGCTCCGCCACGTGGAACGGGGGCTCCCACCGCCCGCCGCGCCCCGCGCGGTTGCGGTCCCCGAGCGGTGCCACCTCCCCCGAGACGGCGGCCGTGAGTCCGAGGGGGCTGGGGCCGGGGGAGCCGAGGCGCGGGAGGATCGGGTAGCCCTCTCCCCCTCCCCCCAATCCGGGAGCAGGAAGGCAGCCCCGGCTCTTCCTGGTGTCGGAAAGGAGACCGAAAGTAGTTGCTCAGTCGGGGAGAGGGTTGTCCGAGGAATTCCTGCTTGACGAACCAAAACCAAAAGATGGGCAGGACCCATAATCTCGCCGTCCTGGGAGTGGAACCTCGTCTTGTATGAATGGAATAACGAAGGACCTTTTACATCGGGGCTCCTGAGCTTGGGAGAAGGGAGGCAGGAATGCAGGGCTCGGCTTCGGCTTGGCCTTGTGAGGACGAAGAAGTAAGTGTAAGACGCGACTGGTGTTCTGAAGGTGCTTACGCATCAATAAAGGAAGGAATGGCAATTTGGGGGTCAGGGCTGGGTTCCCTTTCCTGCCCTGCCACTTAAAGAGGCTCTGTGACCTTGGGGAAGTTTCTTAACCTCTCGGCTCTCCAGCTCCATCATTTAGAAGTACCGATACCTTGTAAAAGTGAGAGATGTATAGGACGTGTTAAAAAAGATAAGACAAAACAGGCCCAGGATGGAGTCACTTGCCCCCAGGACGGCAGAACTTAGTTGCAGCTTCACCCTCTCCCAGGAGTGGAATTTCTCGGTCAGTACTAGTGAGGTGATCTGCCTGATAAGACCCCCTCTTTTCCCAAAGGGAGGGTACTCTTGCCTGAGACAGATCCTTTCTTTTCTTTCGCTACTAACCTTGTCTCACCTCATTTCTGCCTATAAAATCTTTCCTTTTTGTACAGCTACATGGAGCTCCTTTCTCCTTGCTGGTTAGGATGCTGCCTGATGCACGAATTTAGAATAAAGCCAATTAAGATCTTTAAAGTTACTTGATTGAATTTTTTTTTAAAAACACCTAGTATAGGGCCCGATACACACTACTCAGTAAATATTTGAAGTGATCTGAACGCCTGGTAATTCCCCGTGCAGATGAAACAGCAGCGGAAGACAGAACGCCAGTGCCACCTCCTACCTGTTGCTGGATAGTTACAATAAAAGATGTTCGTGGAGCCTCGAAAACATTTGTGCCTTGTCTGAGTCTGTGGTGGCAAAGCTGCGTGAAACTTGACCCAAACTGGAGAGAAGTTCCCTTGCGTCCTAAGCAACCACGTTTCAACTCTTTTCTCTCCCTCTAGTCTCCGCTGCCTACTTAGAAACCAGCTGTCTGGCTTATTTAACAGTTTTCTTGTGTGATGTCTCCACTGCCGTAATGAGAATAGCCAAGCTCAGAGACAGGGATGGTCAGATGAAATGGGTGAGGCAATGGACTTGATGCAGAAGACCCAGGCAGCACTCAGGTTACAAGTACAAGCCCTAATGAGTCAACTCAGGAAGTTGTAAGAAATGCGCTTGCTTCAGCAGATGAGTTGGGTGTCAGTTCCTGGATGAGGCGCCGAAGAATCCTGGAAACACAATGGGAAAGTGCAAGGCAGAGTTGCAGAGAGTAAGACCTTCATTTCTTGACCAGCTTATTTACTGCTCCAGGATAGGGAGGTGTTACTTCATTGCAGAGCTGGGGAAGTCCTTCTCACTATTTTGAAGTTGAGAAGCCATATGTTTATATGGATGATACTGGAAAGAAAAACTGACAACGCAGAGAGGGAGAAGGGATGTGTTGAATAGCTTGATTCCTGAGGAAAACACTAGAAGCTCTAAATGTATACGCTTGCTACAATTTAACTGTAGAGACAGTTTTCAAACTGTCTAGTTCCGTCTGACAAGGTTTTTCTAGGAATGATTGGGGGAAGGAAACTAATTACCACTTACTGAGCTGTGGACTAGATGTTTTACATGTTATCTTACTTGGTCTTTCTAGTGGCCTTAGCATTCAGGTGGTATAATCTCTATTTATAGATTGAAAGACTGAGACTCAGAGAGGTTAAGTTCTTTGCCCAAGGTCACACACAAGTGGTCAGAGAATGGAATCTGACATACCTATTGGTAAATGGCCTCCCCAGATGAGCAGCTTATATTTTAACGTTATTGACAGAAATTTGCAGAATGATGGCGCTACTACCCACCTTACTGGTAACGGGTGTTTTGTTGCTGAAGATGAGCCTTGCAGCAGTTTTTACTGCCGCTTCTAAATAATCAAGATAGCCAAGGCAAGAATGGGCAGGATTCTTTGGTTACTATGAGAACCATTGGCCTTGGGTGGCGGGTATGGCCGTGTAGGAGATCTCTGTCTGCCCTGTGAACCACGAGCTGCAGGCGGAAGACATTGACGTGTAGGTAACAAAGCACTGCTAGTGAACTTCTGTGTGCGGTGCCAGATCCTCAGTCCTTATGGGCCTTGCCCCTCCTGTCAAGTGGCAGGAAGCAGGCTGCTCACACCCTCTTTTCTGTGGGTTGTGGTTCAGACATGCACATTTTAGAACATCATATAACTGAATTCCTAAAAGGCTTCGGCTCAGAGGCTATCTCAAGAGAGGCAGAGAGGGCTCAAGGGGGGTTGTGTAGCTATTTTAGATCAAGGTGCTGTGGGGTTCAATCAGGGCCTTTGGTCAGGCTGTTGATCGACCTTGGCTGTGGTGCTCTTCTAGTAAGTGTGCTCTTAAGGCTGTTGGTTTCTCTTCTAGCTGGTTCTAGTGAGCCCTACATCAGAGCAGTATGACAGCCTACTTCGGCAGATGTGGGAGAGGATGGACGAGGGATGCGGAGAGACCATATATGTCATTGGGCAGGGATCAGGTGAGCATAGTTTTCCTTTCGCTTTATTTTTAAAAAATTATTTAGAGCACCCTGTCCCTCTCTTATCAATTTCCTGTTCATGTGTCTCGGTTGCAGTGATTCTTTAGCATCTGCACAACCGTTCGGGAGGACGCAAAAGTACAAAGCGGTAATGCTAATTCCCGCCTTAGTGATGGTATATGTGCTTGATGTCAAAGGTTTGCTGTCCAGGCGGTTTTACAGATGCTGCTTTTCTGTGCCCGGTACTCTCAGTTTGCGTAAAGGGAAGGCACAAAGCCAGGAAACTTCGCACCCCAGGTAATAGAGGAAGTCACAGTGAGGTCTGTAGTTAAGCCTTCCCTGGGAAGCTCTAGGCCTCCTGTCTCTAAGCCCGGTTTACGGACCCCATTGCCACTTACTGCCTGTTTTGCAGAGAGCCTTCATGATCCTTCTTGCCGCCTTCAAGAAAAGGACACCCAGAATTCTCTCTTCGGCAAGGCCGCCTTGCCTCAGACCACACTGACCACTCAGGGTGGATAGCTATGAACACAGAAGTCCTGTTTTTCTCCCTATGAGGTCCCCTCAGACATGTAGCCTTGTTACCATTCTGGAAAGGGCCGATTAGTGTCCTCCAACCCGCTTCTTCCATTGTAGTAGGGCCCACTGTTTTAGAGGAAGGCAGTCCTCACTGCCTTCAGATGTTATCTTCGGCTTCCCCCCGCCCCCCTTGGGTCATTCGTCGGGATACCCTACCTCGGAGGTATTTTGTGTGGATAAGTTAGGTATTAAAAAATAGACCATCAATACAAGGCCTACGTACTCTTACTTCATCATGACTTTATTTTTGCTGAAATGGCAGCTGGGCTTGTTAACAATGATGAATTTAGCCCGTACCCGAACTTATCTCTGTCATCTTCGCAGGAAGCCCTGGTAGGCCTTGATGCATCATTAAAGCAACAGTTCTTTGCTGAATGCAGGCTTTGTAAAGGCAGGTAATAATTCTTTTTAGTCTGAGGTGGAGAAATTCTCAAAATCATTCTTTACCTATTTGGCTAGAAGATCTATTAAGTATCTTCTAAGGGCTTGATACTGTTGCAGAGTACTTTTGAATATTTATAAACTGGTCTCTGACCCAGGAAGAAAGGTAGCATAGACATAGATAGCCTGAGCTGAAAATATTTGGGAATGCCGCAAGACTGACACATGGAAGACAGGTTGATCTCCAAATACTGCTGTGCTTTCCTTTGAAACGTCTCTCCGATCCATCCCTTCCATCCCCTCTTTGCTGCCACCTTCCCAGTTTCGGGTCTGTCTTATCACTTTACAGAAAGCATGGTCAGAGAGAGAGGCACACGGGGAGGTGGCCTGTCAAGAGGAGGAGGGCGTTGGTCGGCATTGTCAAGTGCTAACGCCAGCAAGGAGAGGCAGGTTCAGAAAAAGCCTTTCCCTTCGGTGACTTTGGGGATCGTTGATGGCCTTTTGAAAGCTTTCGTTCGGGTGCCCATCTGGCCTGCTGAACATATTAGGACGAACCACTCTAAGGCCACTTCATGCTTGTAGAATTGAAGAAACCATATCTAGACCGATTTTGACAAGTGTTGGGACTGTTCTTCGAGGATCTGTATTCTTAGGACCCTCCCCCCACCCCCATTACCATGCCTTGGCAGCTCACAACTAATTAACCCTCCAATGGCAAAGCATATGATGTGAAATGTTCATTATCACATCTCCTACACGCCCAAGCATGGTCTTTGCATCCACCAATGGGACGCTGTTAGATTCAGTGACTCCTTCCTGCGAGGACTCTTTAGAGGTAGAAAGAGACCATGACTAGTTAAACAAGCTGGACATCAAACAGAGGACTAAGCCAGATGCAAGGCCCCCGGGGGTCAGCTTCATTACCCACTTCCTGTGTGTGCTTTGTGCTTTACTTCTGTTTATCACTTCCCTCGTCTGTAAAATGGAGTTAATGACATACTTCCCCACCCTACCTCAGAGATACTTGGTATGGATAAGTGAGGTATTAAAAAGTTCTAGACAGAGTAACGTGCTCATTAAGTGTACATTCCCGATTGTAAAAGGAGACTGTCTAGCCTGGTAGTTCAGGGACTGGTAGATCTGCATTTGCCTTCTGACTCTTTTCCTTGTCTTAAAATGGGGTTGATAGTAGAATCTATCCCATGGTGTCACCGTGAAGATTAACACTTGACTCTAGTAAGTATGATATAAATGTTACCTAGTATTAATAATCGCAGTAATAATTTTTTAAGGATTCCAGGTTAGAGTTGATTTACCATGAGACTGTTTTCAGGAAGAACCGTGTTCATCTTTCATATTAAGTCGTGGCTTTCTAAGAGCCAGCTACGCTGTTAACAGTTCAGGGAAATAGGAGGAGTGTTAGGTCTCTGGGGAAGGGGAGAGTCAGGAAGGGCTTCAAAGAGGAGGTGCCCCCTTGAATTGATACTACAGGGTGAGTAGGAGTTTTCCAGGTGAATGGAGGCAGTAGTGAGTGAGCAGAGAAAGCCACATGCACAGAGGCACAGAGGTGTTGGCGATTGTGGAGTATTTGGCGGACCCAAAGTGATGCCGTAAAGTGGGAGTATAGAAGGTGAGGTGGGGAGTGGCAGGAGGGGAGGCTGGACAGATCAGCAGGGCCCACAAGTTGACGGTGTTTGAATGCCGTATCCAAGAGTTAAGACTCTTAACCTAAAAGCACGTTGAGCAGGAGAGTGCGCACAGAAGAGGTAAGCCAGTTGGCAGGAGAGAAATCTGATGAGGTTTGAGCATGGCTGGATATGTGGCCTTAAGTAACCGGACCTCTGCAGCTTTTCTCTCTGGCCTTTGCCTCCACTCCTACACAATGAGGAACGCAGTGCCTGCTGGAGAAGGATGGTGTGACTAGGGGCATTCTCTGGGCACTCCGGATAGACCAAGTGACATTCCTGATAGCCTCTGGTGTGAGACAGGACCCCAAAGCATTTTGTTGTACCGGAAGCAGGGGAAGGTTGGATAGAATTTGGGAGTCTGGCAAGAATGGCAAGATTAGCAGGCTTTCTCTTAGGAACACTTTCAGTGAGCCCTTCTCTAACCTAGAAGATGTCTAGAGCTCAGTTGGCCATGCATTTGGAAACTCCCCAGCCCATTACTCCCTCTGTGTTCTTTGTTTGGTTGGTTTTGGTTTTGGGGGGGTTTTTTTGTTTTTGTTTTTTGGGCTTTTTTTGTTTTGTTGTGTTTTTTTGCATTTTGAAAACATTTGGGGACTTGATGGAGGAAAAGCACCCTCATGGGGCATCCAGGGACTGTTTGAGGTACCCTGTTCTCAAGATCCTTACATATAGTGGGGGAAGACATGTATCCAAAACACTGTTTCACGAGGGGTGGTGTGTGGTGTGCTGATCTGCTTTCTAGGATGGAAAATACATAAGGAAAGGAATAAATCGGAAGACGTGCAGGGAACATGGGGGGATGGTAACTGAGCCACTTGCATGGGGACAAAGCTGAGGAGGAAGGCTGGGATAGAAGGGGGAGACCTTTACGCAGTTGGAACCGGATGCTACTGGCCTGGGGAAGGCCAAGGGTTTGGCTTGGAAGTAACAACGTCAGAACTGTGTCTGGATTAGGAGCTTCGGCTTGTGTGTGTGCCGGACCACTTGCGGGGATGAGAGCCTGGCTGTGCTAAGACCAGCTAGGGGCCTTGTAGTGTTTGAGGTAGAACGGGGCCCGAATTGGGTTGGTGGCACTGGATTGGCAACAGGAGAGCAGGGACAGGGACAGAAGGGCCAGGCCTAAAGCCGAGTCAGCAGGACTGGAGGGATGAGTGTTAAGCTTGGGTGTCTGGAAAGGTAATGTCGTCATCAGAAGTAGGAAAGGCTAGGGAGGAACTGGTCGGGCACGAAGAAGAATCCCTGGCAGAGGAAAAGGCTCTACATTTGGAGTCAGAAAACCCAAACTCCCACAGCCCCTTGGCTCTCTGCCAGCTCTGAGACTTCTCTACGTTCTGTCTATCCCATTGCTAAATGGGAACAGTAATGCTTACCCCATTGGGTTGCACGGAGGACTAAAGTATTTTACTAGCGGTGTTAGTTTTTGTGCTGTGGTTTAAGAGGGGGACGTGGAGTGGTTGGGTTTCGATGCCAGTCTTCCGAGAGTGCTCATCCATGCGGTCGGAAACCCAGTCTGGAGCTCTTCAGAGAGGACAGTGCTAGAAATGAGTTTTTGTCATTTACAAAGTGACAGTTGGAGTCATAGAGTGAGATGGCCAAGGGAAATAAATGTTCAGATGCTAGAGAAGAGGACCACTGAGAAGAGGAACCAGGCAGAGGGTAGAGAGGTAAATCAGGAGAGTTCAGGCAACAGGCAAGCAGCATTGCGGGGGGAGGGGGGAGGAGACAGGGTGGGGGGAGGTGCTTCGAGAAGCAAAGGTAGGGTAGCCAGCAGTGTCCAGTGCTGTAGGGGTCAAGAAGAGGGCATTAGATGAGCAGTTGAAGGCCATTAATGACTTGAAAATTAGTTTCTTCTAGTGTCCTCAGAAATATAGTCCGCACATGCGATCACTGGTTTGAGATGCTTCGTGGTGGACGGAGGAACAGGGGAGGTAGTAGTAGCCTGGTACGCATGCAGGAGCGTGGGCAGAGGGGTTGGGCCTCCTCCTTTTCGAAGTTTAAGGATGACTCGAGCTTGTTTGTAAGGGTGAACCCAGAGGGAAGGGAGAGAAGGTGGGAAAAGGTACTGGAAAGTCTTTGCGAGGCAGTCAAAGAAAAGAGGTTGGGGCATGCTGGGGGATCAGCCTCGGGAAGGAGCAGTTACTCTCTGAGACCCAGAGGCTGGAGGAAGAGCTAACGGAGCTGCTGTGGGACTTGAATGATACTAAGTTGAAAGCCCCTTGCAGGGATTACCTTACAGTAAGCCCTCAAGTGACTGGTTGATTGTCCCACGTCTTTCCGTTGGACACCCTTCCTCATTCTCCGCTCAGACTCATTTTTTTCCAGCTACTTGCTGGATGGTTTCACCTGGGCCACCTCAGTTAAAAATCTATCCCTAAAATCATTCTTAAATTCTCTCCCAAATTTCCTTTGACTCCTGTCCTCATTATCTCTTGCTTGGATTACTAAGATTATTTCCTAACTGGGGCTCCCCCTTTCTGGCCTCTCACTCGCCATTGCACACCTTATACTGCTGCTCAAGACGTCTCTCTAACCGACAGAGGATCTGATCGTGTTACACGCCTGCCTCAACTCCTAGAGCTTCCCACTGCCTGGCACATCATGTGTTTTGCTGCTGTCTGATGTCTGTCTGCTCTTAACGGCTCCCACCTCTTGTACAGGGTCCCTCACCTCTTGACATCCTGCACCCAAGCACACCAAGCTGCTTACTGGCCCTTGAACGTGCCATGATCTGCCACGCTCCATGCTTTGCTCCTCTGCCTAGGATGTGTTTACTCCTTTCTCCGTAGGCCCATTTTTCCTACTTGGAGACCCAGCTTGTAGTCCGCATCCTATAAAGCTGTCCTCCGCTTCCCCAGGCGATGCTAGTTTCTCACACTTGACATTCTCTTTGTGTAATTCTATAGTAATGCACTCAGGTTGTATTGCAGTTAATTAATGTTCTGTCTCTCCCGCTGGGCTGTGAGCGCGCCAGGGGCACCTGTATTCCCAGTACCCAGCATGAGACTTGGCATAAAACCTTGGAGAGCCTTAGTGATTACTGTTGAATGAATTAATGAATCCCCTGCTTAAAGGGGAAACCCGTGGCACTATTGTTTATTAACTCTACGTGGGCCCAAGTTTCTGAAAACCATCAGGTAGAGAGAGGGGTGTTCTTCTCCAGGGCCCGGGGTGGGGCCTCTGGTAGGGGTGGTTGAATGGCTGACCTGTTAGCAGGCTGATGTCTGGGCTCTTGTCACCAGATGGAACTGAATATGGACTGAGTGAAGCTGACATGGAGGCCTCGTACGCCACAGTGAAGAGCATGGCGGAACAGATAGAGGCCGATGTCATCCTCCTGCGGGAGCGTCAGGAAGCTGGGGGCCGTGTGCGTGATTACCTGGTCCGGAAACGAGTGGGAGACAATGACTTCCTGGAGGTCAGGTGAGGAGGCCTTCAGAACAGTTGAGGGGCTCTTTACAGCATGACCCTGCAGCTAGGGCTTCACCGAGAATAGTGATTGAGCCTTTGGCACCTGACACATCCACTTCATTCCTTCCCTTTCGGTGGCAAGGACAGAGTGTCCAGAGATATGATAGCTCCAGTTTCTATTTCTATACTTTCTCATCCCTAGACGTCTCCATTCGGTAAGAGTGGAGGCTGGCCATACATTTGTGGCCGTTGTGTGGGCTGCATTTCCTTTCCCGGCCGAGCCACCCAGGCACCCTTATAGGCTGCGTTTTCTTATCTGTCAACCTGTGAGGCTAAAACCCGGAGTATTGGAGGGGAGCATTTTGGGCCTCTCTTGGCTTGGGGCTCATGTCTGGCAGCTTTGAGAAAGCTGGTGGATGTTAAGGGAGAGAGCCTTCATTCCAGGAGCCTAGTTCCTGCTGAATAATTCCTTCTGCCCTGGAGGCCGTGCTTCCTGGGACATCCCCAGTGTGCTCAGCCACAAATGGGAGGAGCAGCGGGCTTGAGGGGCTCAGGGGCAAGTCTGTCATTAGAGATCCAGGGACGTGGGGTCACTTTGCTCGCGCGCCAACTCTCATGAGGACGCATGCATTCGTGTACATGCAGGGTGGCAGTAGTGGGCAATGTGGATGCCGGCAAAAGCACGCTTCTGGGGGTCCTGACGCACGGGGAGCTGGACAACGGCCGAGGCTTTGCCCGCCAGAAACTCTTCCGCCACAAACATGAGATCGAATCTGGTCGCACCAGCAGTGTGGGCAACGACATTCTGGGCTTTGACAGCGAAGGCAACGTGGTAAACAAGCCAGACAGCCACGGCGGCAGCCTGGAATGGACAAAGATTTGTGAGAAATCCACTAAGGTCATTACCTTCATCGACTTGGCTGGCCATGAGAAATACCTGAAGACCACGGTCTTTGGCATGACTGGTCACTTGCCGGACTTCTGCATGCTCATGGTAAGTGGGATGCACTCCTGAGGAGGGGGGGCTTCAGCCGGGTTGCTTGAGAGGGGGTTATGCGCAGGCGCTAGAAACTGTTTGGTGACAGAGGCCTGTTGATGTGGGAGTTCTGACGCTGGGTAAGGGTGACCAGTTTTACAGGGACGCCTCGTCCCCTGAGTGCCGCGGTCTCGTACCTTCCGTGAACTCTCTCCCTGCTGCCAGTTGTACTTTTACTTTACAGAGGGGGCATATAGGGGGGCTTCTCCTGGGGCCTACTTACCACCTTCAGAAATGGTTTCCCCTGGGGTGAGGCCGCTTTGCGGAGGCGATGCTACATGGCACCCACAGAGATGAGGAGATCTGGGAAGAAATGGAGGAGAGCAGAGATGACAATCAAGAGGGCCCTGAGAGGTGGCCTCCTTCAAAGCCTGGGTGGAGAGGCCCCTGTGTGCCTGGCGCTGTGCTGGGGTCTGAAGACCTACCAGCGGGCAGGGACACCCCAGGCTCCCATAGAGCTAATAGTCCAAGGAGTAGATTTTTTGGTGGCTCGTATATAGATCAGCTGAGCAGCGGCTTCTGTGTTGGATCATGTTCCAAAGTTTCCATTTGGGTCCCACCGATCTTCTTCCCCGATCAGAGAGTGGGAGGCCGTGAGGCCCACCGCCTCGCACACAGCTTCACAGCTTCTGCAGGGAGCACAGGCGAGCAAGCGTTCCTTTGGCAAGTGCTGCTCAAAGTCCCTCCCCATCTCCTGGCCCCTCCAGCTGCCTATATTAATAAGTGTAGCAAACATAAGCATCTGCTGAGAGCATAATTGATCGAGTTGCCCCACAAACACAGGTTCTCAGGCAAATTCTCCCCAAACTGGAGAGTAAAGAGGCAGAGCATATGTGCGCACGCTCGTGGTGGCTCTCTGCCCAGGGCTCTTGGGATCTCACTGAATCAGGATCTCCCATATCCTTGAGTGTTTCAGGGGCCACTACCAACTTTGGGCTAAGAAAGCTGTTCTACAGGAGGCCTTTCAGAGGAAGAGCCGTAGGGCATATTTGGGGGAGCTGTTGGGTTTACATTGAGGAAGGTGTAGAAACCAGTCTAAAGTAAACACTTTTCTAACTAAGCTATAGTGAACAAGGGCAACCAAAGGAAATCCCTTCACCCTAGATGAAATGTTATACATTATCTGACTTTGAGGCTATAATCCAACTATTAAAAATTTCTGTAGAAGACAGTGAAGCCATTACTGCTCCAGGATAATAAATTTCCATGAAAAATAGAGTCTATAAAATATATAGACAACAGAGGGATAGAGCATTCTCTTTTCCCAGTTGGAAAGAACAGAAGCAAGTCTGGGTTGGACAGGAAAGGTGGTTGGAAGAAACGGGAAGAATTAGAAGGAAGAGAGAGGTGGTATTTTGATGTGAGCAGAGGACATCTGTGTCAGTGGGGTGGCGGCTCACTCGTGAGCTGGGATCAAACGAGGAGCATCACTTGAAACCGGTCTGGAATGTAAGGGACACCTGGAGTGGCTCAGTCGTTTAAGTGTCCAACTCTTAATTTCAGCTCAGGTTATGATCTCACGGTTAGTGAGTTCGAGCCCCATGGTCAGGCTCAGCACTGACAGCTCGGAGCCTGCTTGGAATTCTCTCTTCCTCTCTGTCTGCCCCTACCCTACTTGTGCTTGCTCTCTCTCTCTCAAAATAAATAAATAAACTTAAAAAATTTTTAAAAAGGGAAGAAACTATTCTGGAATGTATTAAGTGCTATATAAATATGTCATGACAATATTTATTTTGAGAGAGAGAGAGAGAAAGGGAGAGAGCATGTGGGCATGAGTAGGGGAAGGGCAGAGAGAGGGGGAGAGAGAGAATCCCAAGCAGGCTCTGCGCCTTCAGCGCACAGCCCAACGCAGGGGCTCCATCTCACAAACCGCGAGATCATGACCTGAGCCAAAATCAAGAGTCAGACACATAACAGACTGAGCCACCCACGTGCCCCGTCATGACAACTTGAATTCAGTTTTGTTCTAGTAACACATTCTAATGGTACAAAAACAAAAAGACGCCAAAATGCTTATAGTGAAACGTCTCCCTTCCTCCTCTGTTCGGTTTCGAGTATTTCCAGTTTCTTAGGTAGCCTCCAGAGATACTTTGTAATCATACCAGCAAATGCGAATGTATCCTCTCCCTCCAATTTCAGACAGTCAGAAAAGTTGAAAGAATAGTGCAATGAATACCATCAACCCACCACTCGGATTTAACAGCCGTTAACGTTTTGCTGTGTTCCTCTGTATTTGTGATGGATCCATATGTGTGTTTTTGTTGTTGTTTTGGATGAACCATTTGAAAGCAGATTATAGGCGTTGGTTGGGACTCCTGACCCACAGCCACTTGAGTATACGCTCCCTACTGTTCCCGTAGCCAGAAAGGTGAACAGTTCTCTAATACCCTCCAGTATCCAGGTTCAGAGTGTTTCTATTCTCCCAGATGTTCCCCAAATAGCTTACTTTTTTCAAACCCTGATCCATTCTAACCCTTTGTTGGTTTTTTTTTTTTCTCTTAAAAACAGGTCTTAGAGATTATTCCCTATCAGTAGATAAGAGTCTTTCTTTGTTTTCGATAGCATGCTTGGTACATTTTCTATGGCACACTGGTACAGGTGCCCTAATTTATTTGGTCACCCTTTATGGTGATACTGTAAAGCACTTATTGTTACAGGAAGGAATAGTAACAGTAATAACCGCGGCCACTGCCTGAACACCTCGTGGTGCTAGTTGTGTCCTGGGTCTCTGACATACGCCATAACACTTGAACCTTAACAGGCCCTCTAACGTGGATGGTAGTATCGCTCCACATTATAGATCAGGACACTGGAGGCCAGTGATGTGAAACGGAATGTAGCCTTGATGGCTCTAGACCTTTGTTTTCCCGGACTGTCTGGGTTTGTCTTTGTTATTGTTTGCAAGTCTCCTCGGATTTGGATAGCTGACCTCGTTAGATCAGGGGTTAAAGCCATCTGTGCCTCGCCCAGCTTCCATCTACAGCTATTTGCTTTCCAGCCGAAGACTTCTGCCCCACGTGTCCTATTCTGAGAGAAGCCTCCGAGATGGGAGCTCTCTCTCGCCCCAGCCGCCTTTGAGCCCCTGTGCCCCACCCGGCAGCAACCTCTGTGTCCCTCGCCCTGACCGCTCTTTCTGTGTTCGGGCAGGTGGGCAGCAATGCTGGCATCGTGGGGATGACCAAGGAGCATCTGGGCCTGGCATTGGCGCTCAATGTGCCTGTCTTTGTGGTGGTCACCAAGATCGACATGTGCCCTGCCAACATCCTGCAAGGTAGGGGAGGCCTGCAGCGAGCAGCTGTCGCTCCGTTTGGGGCCGTCGGCCGCTCTGGTCCCTGGTGGTGCTGCCAGGGCTTCAGCCCAGAATCTTGTGCTTTTTTTCCTTGTGCTCAGACCTTGGTCTGAGTTTCCGTCAACCCTAAATCTTCTGCTTCCTCTTTTGTTTAGTTCTAGGTCTGAGCACACCCTAGAATTATGCCGGCTCTTTGTTCCTTCTGGTTCCAAATATAGGAGGAGTCTTGAGACCCCTGAGCTGGCGCCTCTTTTCAGATGCCCCAGGGCCAGGGCATTGAGTTTTAGCATCTAAACAGGACATGTATCTATGGAGACATTTGGGCAGAGGCTCTGATTGCCTTCTATCGCCAGATGCTTCCAAACAGCCTTGTCTTTCTTCCTCACTGCTGCGGGTGGGAGACGAGAAGTAGACAGGTGTCCTTTTGAAATGCCTCATAAGGGCTCCTGTGGATGTGCGAATGTCTTAGAGGCCCCTCGTCTGATGAATTTTTATCGAGGAAGCTGAACATTCTGAGAAGAATGTTGCCTTTGTCCTGGGCCCCCAAGTCACTCGCTTAAAGATGTGGGTCTTTTAGAGACTCTGGAGAAATCTGACGGGTTTCGGGCTTGTAACCTTACCCGAGAGACCATATCTGTGCCCTTTCTAACTCTAGCAAGCACCTGCCCGCCCCAAGTTCTCATCCCCCTTTTGCTTTTCCAGGTGTGGCATTTAACACTGGTCTGTCCGTCTGTCTCCTGCTTATATCAGTAAGGAGTGGACCAGTCTTGCTCTGGAAGCCTGGCGAAAGAGAAAGCTGTGTCCCCTAATTGTGTTCCATTTCACCCTTTAAGAAACCCTGAAGCTGTTACAGCGCCTGCTGAAGTCACCAGGCTGCCGGAAGATCCCCGTGTTGGTACAGAGCAAGGATGATGTGATTGTGACGGCCTCCAACTTCAGCTCCGAGAGGTAAATGGGTAGTGAGCACTGGCTTCAGGGCAGGCGTAGAGATTGGATGGGCTAGAAGGTTCTGGTCGCGGTACGAGTTCTCCGAGCCTGGCAGTGTTGCCCAGGAGTTCTTTCAGGCAGCTAGATCCTGAGATGCTGGCCTTGCTGAGGTCGGAATCCCAGCTGAGGCTTCCGTGTCTCCTTACCTGTGAAATGGGAATAATATTCTCCTCTCCCCAGCGTTCTCATAAGTGTTGGAAATGATGTGCATAAAGCATTTAGCACTGTGTCTGGCTGCTGTGTGCTACAAACGTGGCCATTTTTATTTTAATTTAAAAAATTTTTTATTTTTTTATTGCAAAAAAAAATTTTTAATGTTTTTATTATTGAGAGACAGAGAGAGACAGAGCATGAGCAGGGGAGGGGCAGAGAGAGGGGAAGACACAGAGTCCGAAGCAGGCTCAGGCCCTGAGCTGTCAGCACAGAGCCCAACACGGGGCTCAGATTCATGAACCGTGAGATCATGACCTGTGCCGAAGTCAGACGCTTAACTGATTGAGCCCCCCAGGTGTCCCCAAATGCAGCCATTTTTCTAATTTACTATTAATTTTTTATACTGTTGTTTCCCAAAAGCTTTCTAATGACAGCTCTGTTTTGACATTTACTTGTGTGCACATATCTTTTGATCCCATAAATATTTGTTGGGTGTTTGCTCTGTGCCAGGGTCTTCATCCGGGCATTGAGGATTCACAGTTGACTCAGGCGCCGTCTTTATCCACAGGGTGGTCCCCTCCTTGGTCAGAGAGATACTCTCTGGATGATAGTGAACTTGGTTAAGCTTGCTCCTTGTCCCAGAGTTTTGGGGCTGCTCCCGGCTTGGTCTGTAGCACAGGACCCAGAGCAGCCTGGCGTTTTGCTCTGTGGCTGTGCCCTGATGCTGTCTTCAGTACCACCAGGCAGCCAGCAGAGGGCGTATGTTTCATGGAACTGGCCCCCATTTCAGTTCCTTCTGAGTGCCTCTTCTGTGCAGGCATTATTCTAGAAGCTGTGGGGAATACACAATTCCTGATCTCGAAAACTCTGATTAACCCTGGATAGGGGACATAGAGGCTGTTGTAATGACTGATGGAAAATGAGATGTAGTCACATGTAACAGACAACAAAAAGTTTTCCAAGAGCTGGCAGGAGTCCAGAGTGCCCGTCCAGGAAGGGTTTCCTGGAAAAATCTGCCTTGGAGATGGGCTCTGAAGGATGAGAGGATTTGTTAGTTGGGTAGGAGGGAAGGACGTCAAGCAGGATGCTAGGCGTTTGGGAGAAGGAAAGGTTCTCCTGTCTGGCTGGCAGATAGGAATTGGAGAGAAATAAACCTGCACAGATGTTGGGAAGAGGGAATCCGGGCTGTCTCCTCCGCAGCAGAAAGGCAGGTAAGAATTGTAATCAAGCATGTGTGTGCTTTAGGAAGAGGCCGTCCTATGAGCCCGAAATAGAGCAGTGGTGGAAGGACAGGGACGAGGGGACAGATTGCAGAGAGAAAACGAGTGAGAGAAGAAGGCCTCGGAGCAGGTCTGGCCAGCAGTTGGAAGGCCAGGCAGAGGCGTAGGGCCCTGGGAGGCTGATGAGGCGGCCGCGGGGCCCTTAGCGAGTGGCACGCGTTCACCTCTGCCTGCCCTTCACGCAGGAGCTGGCCGTCTGAGCTCCTTTGTCTCTCTTCACCCTCCACTTAGGATGTGCCCGATATTCCAGATCTCCAACGTTACCGGTGAGAACCTAGATCTGCTGAAGATGTTTCTCAACCTCCTCTCCCCGCGCACCAGCTACCGGGAGGAGGAACCCGCTGAGTTCCAGATTGACGACACTTACTCTGTCCCAGTGAGTGACCGAGCAGCACGGGAGACTGGGTGGGCACTTCCTCCAGGGGCAGCAGGACACCTGTATGGTGGGGAGGGCCCAAGCGGGCACAGACTTACTGGGCCTTGGCCTTCTCTGCAGGGTGTGGGGACGGTGGTGTCGGGGACAACGCTGAGAGGCCTGATTAAGCTGAATGACACCCTGCTGCTGGGCCCAGACCCCCTGGGCAACTTCCTGTCCATCGCTGTCAAATCAATCCACCGCAAGCGCATGCCTGTCAAGGAGGTGCGGGGGGGCCAGACGGCCTCCTTTGCACTGAAGAAGGTGAGGGTCGAGAATATGAAGGTGACCCCCCCCCCCCTCGGGTTCTGCTGGGCTGGGTGCTGGGCCGTTTCCGGTTGTCCTGGCTGCTCTGTAAGGCAGGGTTTACTGACCTCACTGTTACAGGTGAGCAAACGGGGGCTCAGAGCCTGAGTGACCCACCCAGGAACACACAGCTAGTAAGTGCAAGAGCCAGGACTTGAACCCAGGCCCGCCTGCCTGCCTCCTAAGCTCTGCTTGTCTTCCTAGTGCCTGAGGAGAGCGCCCTGAGCTCAGTGGTGATGCGATACTAAAGATACTTCCCTCCTATGCAGATGGTCCCACTGCGTAGGGCTATAGGGGTCCATGCCAGATCCTCCTCCCCTTCAGCCTTCTGTCCCTCAGGGCTTGGGCTGACTGCTAGCTGTCGGGTCGTCTACCTTCCCTGCCAGTCACATGAACCTGCGGAATGGGATTTCCTTAACTCCCTCCAGCAGTCACCACACCCCCCTGTCCCTGCCACCTGCATACTGGCCTGCCTGTGCCCTCTCACCTCCACTTAATTCTTACCTGTCCATCCAGGCCTGGCTGAAATGCTACTTCCTGTGTGAAGCCTTTCCTGATCCCCGAGAGCAGTGTTTAGGCTTCCCAGGGGGCACTGAGTCGGCCCTGTATCGTCCACCCTGGAAGGCCTGTGGTCCAGTGGAGTAAGAGGGCAAGGCTGAGCTGGGGTGGTCTTGATTCCCAGAAGGGACTCCTGGTCCTCTGGCACCAGGGGATAGAGCCCTGGGCGTCATTGTCCCTGAGGTCTGGGATTCCGTCTTTCTTTCAGATCAAGCGCTCGTCCATCCGCAAGGGCATGGTGATGGTTTCCCCACGCTTGAACCCCCAGGCGTCCTGGGAGTTTGAGGCCGAGATCCTCGTCCTCCACCACCCCACCACGATTAGTCCGCGCTACCAGGCCATGGGTAGGTGTCTAAGGGCACTGCCAGCCCAGGAGGCCCTCTGCCCTGACTCCCTCAGCAGAGTGTTCTCGCTCCCCGACCCCCAGAGTCAGGTCTCCATCCTGTTTAACGATGCCGCCCCCTCCATTCTGGCCACCAGCTACGGGGTTATTTGGTCCCTGCACACGTCAGCCGAGTGCCGGCTCTGTGCCGGGCTCTGGAGCCCCAGGCTCGCCCTCAAGAGCCTCACGCTCGCTCCCTCAGCAAACGTCTCCTGAACGCAGCCGTGTGCCAGGCAGTGTTGCCAGGGTGCTAGGAACAAAGGTGGGTGAGGGCTCTGCTGTCAGGAAGCCAACAGTCTAGAGAAGGTACACATGCAAACGGAGTGCCCTGTATTTGGGAACCAAGGCTGTGGGTCCAGGGACAGGTGAGGTCTAACCGAGTGTGTGCGGCAGCAGCAGACCCAGGGGCGGCCCTCCAGCTCACTTGGCCCCACGCGGCCCCCTGAGGCCTTTAGCCGGCCGCAGCTCCAGCATCTTCCACGTTCTCTCTCCTGCCCGGAGGCCACCGAGCTGCTCAGTCCTATCCTGACCTCCCGGCTCTTTTGACAGTTCACTGTGGGAGCATCAGGCAGACGGCCACCATTCTGAGCATGGACAAGGACTGTCTGCGCACCGGGGACAAGGCCACCGTGCACTTCCGTTTCATCAAGACCCCTGAGTACCTGCACATAGACCAGCGGCTGGTGTTCCGGGAAGGCCGCACCAAGGCTGTGGGCACCATCACCAAGGTATGGCCGAGCAGACCTCCTTGCCCAGCCGCAGGAAGCACTGGGGGCCATCCCAGTCCCGGGCTGTGAGCACAGCGGGAGAAGCCCTGCAGAAGCCCGCTAACTGCTGGGGACAGGGGCACTAGTTTCTGCCTTGGCAGAGCTGGAACCGTGCTCAAGTGTGGCCTCAGTGCTGTGTTCTCTTCCCCCTGGGAGGCAGCTCTGGGCCTGCTTCCTCCCTGGGCTTTGGTGGTGACCGTGGAGGAGAGAAGGTGGCCTTGAGGCCTGGCTGTCCTACCTAGAAAACAGTGGTAGGAGAGTGTCTGGCCCCAGCCGTGGTCAGCCTCCGAGGGACCAGGCACAGGCTCCAGTGGCCAGGCAGGGGTGGAGGGCACCCTTACATCTGGGGGGGTCACCCTTACAGGAGTGGGTGTGGGTACAGTGAATGTTGGACAGCTAGGGGGCCTGGGCTTGGGTTCCCTGGCCTTGAGCTGCTTCTGTGTCGTGGAGCCCACTTGATGCCCTCTGCAGACTTCACCTGTGGCCTTGGGTAGGGGCACCTGACAGAGTGGTTTGATTCTTGCCCCAAACAGCCTGTGTAAGATGTTGGGATCCACCTCAGGCTGCCCTTGCCTCCAGAATGGCCTTCCTTAGGCCCCTGCAGGCATGTCCAGGGCTGTACTGTGGGTGGGTGGGTGGGAGATCATATCTTTGAAGGCTACTTGTCTCTGGGACTGGCTGTGAGTGGCAGAAGCTGCTAGCACGTGTCATAGTGCTCTTGGGGGTGTAGCCAGGCTTCCTCCCTGCTTTGAGATTAAACTTGAACCACAAGGGAAGGCTTTAACTCACTCCCTCCTGGGCGGTAGCTCTTAAGATCCACAATAGCCACATTCCAGGTGTTTCTTTTTTTTTTTTTTAATTTTTTTTTTAAATGTTTTATTTATTTCTAGGAGAGAGAGAGAGAGAGAGCGTGAGCAGGGGAGGGTCAGAGAGAGAGGGAGTCACAGACTGAAGCAGGCTCCAAGCTCTGAGCTGGCAGTCAGCACAGAGCCCGACGCGGGGCTCGAACCCACGAACCGTGAGATCATGACCCAAGTGAAAGTCGGACGCTTAACCGACTAAGCCACCCAGGCGCCCCACTCCAGGTGTTTCCAGGTGCCGAGACCTTCCCCTGGTTTCTTTGGGAGGCCTCGAGTTAAAGCTTGCCCCAGACTCTTGTCACAGGGGCAGCAGGAGATTCAGATGATGCTGTGAGGAGTTCGGCCAGCTTAGCAAGGCAGAGAGCCTCAGGCTGGTTCACAAGGCTCTGGGCAGGCTGCCCGGCCCGGGAGCGAGGCCAGGTGGGAGGCAGACAAGTTCACAGGTGGTCTGCGGGGACAGCAGCTGGGGTGGGAGCGGCCCCCAGACGCCGAGGGGGAGTGAAGACCTCGCTCCATCCCGCCGCCCCTGTCGTGGCCCCCCTGCTGCCCATCTCGCCCAGGACCCGCCAGGCCTGAGGGCGGGAGGTCCCTGAGGGGTGGAGGCACAGGGCACGGGCAGCTGAGCCCATGTCACTGCCTGCAGCTCCGGTCTCATCCCCAACTCCTTGGCTTCTGCAGCTCCTCCAGACCACCAACAACTCCCCGATGAACTCGAAGCCCCAGCAGATTAAGATGCAGTCAACGAAAAAGGGCCCCCTGGCCAAACGAGAAGAGGGGGGCCCCTCTGGGGGGCCAGCAGTAGGGGCGCCCCCACCTGGAGAGGAAGCTTGCTCTCTAGGGACCTCGCAGCCGGCTCTGTCCAGCGGCCTCCAGGCACAGGTGAGCGGGCTTTGCGGGCCGGGCTGGGCCCCTGCTGCCGCAGGGTGGGCGTGGGAGGGTGGCTGTTGCTCTCGCTGGCGGAGGTGGTGACAGGAGAGCTACAGGCAGCCCCTGCTCAGCTGCCATGCCTGCAGCTCACAGAATGTGCCCCTCCCCAGCTCTTGGCACATGACTGCCAAGTGTGCGCTCCTTGGCTCCTGAGGAGCCGTATTCTTCAAACTTTGAGATGGACCCTGTATAAAGCCGATTTAGTTGGTCCTGATTGGCGTGTGGTGGTAATAATCGGAGGAGAAACTTGCCGGGGTTCGCTCTCCGAGTGAGCGCGCTGGCGGTCTGTGTGGGTGGAGTGGGGCATGTCTCCGGTGGTTCAGGAGGTTGGAAAGGTGCTGCCTTAGAGGATCCTGCTGCGTGGCAGGGGTGGGGTGGGGTGGGTGGCCTTGGGCCCCGTGTCAGTGCAGCTGTCACTCGGCATCTCCCGTTAGCTCTGTCCCCCGGTTCTGCCCCGGTGCCCCGTCATGTTGCTCCTTCCGGTGTGTTCTCCACCTGGCCCCGCTTTGGAGATGGAACCGTCTTGCCGGGACCTGTCCTTTCTGCTCTCTGTCCCGCACTGAGCCTTTCTCTTTCCATCTCAGCGGGGGCGGGTGTTGGTTCCCGCTCTCCTTGTGCTTCTCCGAACGGCTCCTTCTCACGCTGTCGTCAAGCGCCACCCGCCTGCTAGGAAGCCAGGGTGGGCGCCGGCTCTGTCTGACAGAGAAGTGCCGTCTCTGAGTCACGTAGTAGACGGCGGCTCAGGCTAGGCTGGGACCGTCCTCCTCGCTCGCTTTTCTCCCGCCCCTCTTCCCGCCGCCTCGCCCCTCTGCCGCCCTGCCCTGCTCCCCTGGGCCACTACTTCTCAAGCTCCTTCTTTCTCCCTTTCAGCCCAAGCCCAGCAGTGGGGGCCGGCGACGGGGGGGCCAGCGTCACAAAGTGAAGTCCCAGGGGGCCTGCGTGACTCCTGCCAGCGGCTGCTGAATCTCCCCTGGGCCCACCCCCACCACCCGAGGGATCCTTGTACTCTGGCCACTGTGCCATCAGATGGGCCGGAGCGGCTCTGACCACCACCCGTCCTCCCCTAGGCCGCAGCTGGAGCCTCGTCCTGCCCCCCACCCCCATTTTCCAGGGGGGTATAATTTATAAGCTGAGGAAGGTGGCCAGACTTCTGGAGGACTGACCATCATCCACCTTCTTCCCTGCCCTCTTCCTTACAGTTTTTGTATATCTGGGCCCTTAGTTTTTATTCTTTTTATTATCTCTCTCTCTCTCTAGTGTGCGTGCGTGCGTGTGCGTGTGCGCGTGTGTGTGCGTGTGCGCGTGCGTGCGTGTGTGTGCGCGTGTGCGTGCGTGTGCGTGTGTGTGGTGCAGAAGAGTAGCCAGTCAGGGCCCTCGCAGTCTTTCTCCTTTTTCCCTCTCTGGCCACCAGCCTCCAGGAGCTGGCTGCCTGTCCATCTGTCCATCCGTCTGTGTGTTTCTGTGACAACCTTTAGGGGCTTTCAGAAGCTGAAGAGCACATTACTCCCCTGTGCTCACCCCCCTCCCCCATGCTCACCCCCCTCCCCCGCGCTCACTTCTCTGCCCAGAGCCCTCTACAGAGCCGGACTCGGGGCTCAGGGGTTTCATCAGTGTATGCTGCTGCCGAGCAGGGAGCCTTCCTTCTGGCTCCAGGGGGATGTTAGCAGAGCGGAGAGGGGTGGCCTCCTTTTTTCTCCTTCCTTTTTAACTCCTTAGACCCGAAAACAGGTTATGCCAAAAGCTCTTAAGTTGTAGCCTGTAGGTGTGTGGAGGGGAGTGACACTTGGATCATAGGACCCTCCCTGCCCCTAACTCTGACCCTTGCCACTGACCCAAAGACAGCAGGTGGGTCATCTTCCTCCTTGGAGACAATCCCGTTTTCCCGGCCAGGCCAGGGCAGCTCCTGCTCTGCTGATTCTGCTGAGCTGTGGCTTTGGCCCCTGAACTTTAACTCTGAATCTTGCTGGGCCTGGAGGCGCTGATGACCCACCTGGACTGGGATCAGCTTGCTCTGGGTCCTACTCACTAGCACCTCCTACTGGTAGGGATGTGTTCCTCTGAGCCAGGCCTGAGCTAGAACTCCTTCCCTACGACAGCCCCGCCAGGTTGCCCCCTCATGGCTGCTACGGGAGCACACCAGGGAAAGATGTGAGCCCCAGTTTTGGAGGCCCCCGTTGGGGTGTGGGGAGGCTAAGTAGGGGGTTGTGAAAAAGATTCTCCCAGGCCCAGCCCTCTGGAAGGTTCACTGCCTGGGGTCATCCAGGCCAGAGATGGCAATGTGGGGCCTGAAAGAGCCTGGCCTGAGCTGTGGACAGAAGCCCTTGGTTTAGAGTGGACTGGTGGGCGGAGATACGCTCTTTCTAGCCAGGGCGGACACCCAGCTGGCTGGGTCCTTCCTTAGCCTTGCCTTCTTCCCATCCCCAGCCCTCTCCATCCTTCTTGCTTCTGAATTGCTGGTCCCCTCCCGCCCCCTCCTTCCAACTCTTTCTAGTTACCACTGACCCATGGCCATGGACTGACCAGACCAGCACAAAAAATAAAGGTTTGTTCCAAGTTGACGGTGTCATGTTCCCTGCCCAGGCCCTCCCGGCGGAGGAGCTCCCGTGGGGAATGCTGGCTGCGCCTCCCTAAGCCCCCGGCTCTGGAGCAGGGCAGGGGCGGGAGGAGCCCAGCTTCTCCTCTCGGGATGCGTGGCTTCAGAACCCGGGCTCCTCTGCCGGCTGTGACATGGGACAAGCTGCCAGTCTTCTCTGAACCTCAGTTTCCTCACCTAGAGCGGGAGGTAAACACACACCGGGGTCGCGGTGGGTGTGAGGATTCCGTGAGAGAACGGATGGTGAAGCTCTGACGTGCCCGGCATGGGAGGGGGAGCGGGGGGGTGCCCAGTGAACGGTCCCCGCGCTGCCTACCACTGCGCCAGCCCCCACGTCGGCAGGGCGAGGGGCAGGCGCGGGAGGAGAAGTGTGGTGTTGACGTGTCTCTGTGATGTGGCTGTGCTGTGCCGGATGTCCCCTCACTCGTTGGATTTCGAAGCTACTAAGTAGGAAAGAGGCGGTGTTGCAGTTTTCTGGTCAGGAAACCAGCGCAGAGAGCGGTGCTGCTGGCAGGCACGGTCGTGCCCGCGCCGCCCCCTTCGCAGGCAGCTGCTCCGCCCCGTGCCCTTGGGCCCCTTGCCCGGTCCTCTGTGGGGTGTTTCCCTTCTTGCTTTTTGACTCTGGTTCTGCTCACAGGGGCTGCTGCCCACTGGTGCCTTCCTAAGAGGAGGGCTCTGGCCTCGAGCTCCCCCCCGGCTCCCCGTCCCCATGCAGGTGCCGTGGCCTCCGTGCCCACAAGACTGCTTTAGGACGGCACCTCGTTTTGCCTGAACTCTTTTGCCCCGAAGAGCATAACCACTTTACTTCTGGAAGCCGTGGCCTCCGCCCTGGCCTCTGCCATCCGACACTCGGGAGGTTGGTCTGGATCTGTGGTCGCCAGGCCCGCACCTGCCAGCGGGGGCTACCGGATCCGGGGTTTTACTGTCATTAGCAGGGACTCCAGAGGTCCCCTACGGGTCTCAGCCCTACCAACTCTCACTTTGGAACACAACACCAGCCCTTTTGTAGATGACAAAGAATAAAGTTGTTAACTGATCATCTCGAATGGCTGATCCTGACCTTTCTGTCTGTGCAGCTAACATTTGTGGTGTCTTTAGTTCCGTTGGGACCCGTTCTGGCTTACTGAACAGCATAAGGTAACGAGAATATGCCGCAGCGTGGGGGGACATGCAAGCTCAGGGGTCACCAGGTGTGCCTTGGGAGAAAACGGGGTGAGAGCTGTGGCCTTGAGGAGATGGTAGAATCTGGACATGTGCAGGTGGGCAGAGGGTATGCGCCCAGCCCAGGAGCACTCAGGCAGAGGCCCGGAGCCCTGACTGCATGGCAGGTTACGGGCACTCGTTTACCGGTGCAGCTTGGGGACATCTCAGCCCCAGTGGCACTAGATGCAGAGCAGGTGGTGAGGGAAGTGGGGGAAAATGGAGTGAGTGCGTGGTCACTGGGGGTGAGCCACACGGCCAGCTCTTTCCTGGTGCACAGGGTTAACTGGCCCAAAGCCTCAGGGCTGGATTTACATCGTACCTGGTACCTGATACCTCTCCTACGGCAGTTTAACCCCACCCCCACCCCTCCCTACTGACCTGTCCCTGCCTTTATCTTCTCAGCAGCAATGGGGACCGGCCCTGGGTCAGGTACCAGGGTACACTGGACAGTGTGGTTGCAGAACCACCCCTGGCGCTTCAAGTGGCTTCATGGGAGGCACTGGGGCTGGGACCAGAGTTACGGGGAAGGACCAGGACCTGTTCCCCTGAGCTGGCAGATGCCGGCTCTGCAAGGGCCCCATCCCAGCACGGGCACCAGGGCCGACGTCTGGTTCCTGCGGCAGAGGATCTGCACTGAAGGCGGACGTGGTCTGTTGTGAAGCAGGTAAATCCTTCACCTCCTCCTCAGATGGCACAGAGAGATGGGGGGGAAGGCTGCCCCTTCACACTTACCCTGGTGTCTGTGAGGGCCAGCAAAGCCTGTCCCCTTCCTCCCTACCCCGCCCCTGAGGCCTGGGCCCAGTACCACAGAGCAGGGCCTGCCTCAGGCCCTGTTCCAGCTTGTTTTTCATGGAGGGGTCTGGTGTCTAATGTTCATAATTCTTTGGGGGCGTGGTTTAGGTTCTGAGTTCAGATTTAAAAAGACTACACACCGTTAATCTTGGGCATAACTTATTTATTTTTGCATAGGCATAAATTAGAATCTGGAGATAAAAATTCAGAACCAATAGTGCAGCATTTGTGACAGGAGAGCGCAAAATGAAACCTGGTTGTCTGGGGGGCGGGGGCGGGGGCGGGGGCCAGTGCCAAAGGACCCCAGGTGGCCTTGGGCCTCCCCTTCCTTCTCGCTCCATGTCCTTGGAGCCCATCTGGGGCTCAGCCCTGGCCTGAGGGCACCTGCTGGCACAGCTCCCCCTCGTGGCAGCGAGGTTACAGGGAACCAAAATTACCCAGTGCCCCACAGAACGGGGCTAGGAATCAAGCCCAAAGCTTTTCAGTTAAAAAACAGACCTTGAAAAATATATACATAATACAGCAGAGTCTGCTGGGTCTAAAAACCCTCTCTTCCCCCAGCCCTCCCCCACCCCCGACTGTCTCTCCCACCCCACCCCTAGAAAACGAGCCAAAAAGGAAATAATCTGAGAAAGAGCTGAGAGTCTCAAGGGAGTAGCTGAGCCCCTTACAGGCAGGTGGTGGCGGGCCAGGGCCCATAGTGCAGACAGACCTCTGCCCACCATGACACCCTGAATGTCACCATCGTCGTCCCCGGACCACCCTGAGAGTCTGGGGAGTACACTGCTCCCCCACCCTCTTAAGCTTACCCTAGCTGCTTAGGGCCTCAAAAGGTAGGTGTGGACTCCCTGCATGTCAGGGGAATGTGGCAAGCTTGCTCTGGGGCACAGGCATGCCCCAGCAGGAATGGGGAACAGAGGGGTCCCCGGTCCCAACAGCAGGAGAAAGAGAAAGCATTAGCCCCAGCGGAGGGGGAATCCTACTGGCTGGCCGCCTGGCCCCCCAGAGCCACACAGGCAGACTCCCTTAGAGGCTCAAAGGAGCCAGACCCTCAGGGGTATGAGAAGCCCCGTGGCCCCCTCGGACCCAGAATACAGTGTATAGAGGCCTCTGGGGGACCGCAGGGGTTCAGGCTCCCTAGATTGATGGCACTAGATTTCTGGAAGAGTCGGCTGCCCTAGGAGCAGCTTCCTGCCTGGGGCTCAGCCCCAACCTGTGCTGTGAGCACCTTCCTCCTCGAGGACATCACTTCCCCGCCTGGGGGTGGGGGCAGCTCACCTGCCTCAGGCCCTCGCTTGTCCCACCCATGGCTTTTGGCACCTGCTTCATTCACCCGCCTACCAACCGCAGCCCCTTGGGTGCCAGCCCCCCATCCTGGGTACGGGGCAGACAGGTCCCACCTTTGCCAGGACGACAGAGGTCCACTCACTGCCTCTCTGCCTGCCTTTCCATCCCCCACGATATGCTACATATATACACCCGAGAGGGGGAGGTAGGCACCCAGTGCCCGGCACCAGGAGGTCACGAAAAGGGACACTGGAGCTCGCGTTCTGCCTCGAGCTGCCCCGCACTAGGAAAGCCCTGCATGTTCTTTCTCCTCTCCATCAGGCCCGAGGTTCTTGCTCCTGGAAGTCAGTGCGCTGGTCAAGCATGTGGGGAAGGGGCAGAGGTGCTGCTCTCCCACTCCCAGAGGAGGGGACACCTGCTGCGAGGGGCTGGTCTCCCAGCTGGCTGGCAGCAGCACAGAGAAGGCCTAGTGGGTGGGTTCCCCATGCACCCGGAAGCGGTAGATGCAGGTGTACTCGGGGTGGCCCCAGTTAGTCAAGATCCGAAGCTCCACCACCTGGTATGTGGCCATCTTAGTGTCCTGGGTAGAGAAAGAAGACGTTAAGAGTGTCCCACGTCCTCAGACCTGACAGGAGGGCAGAAAGGGAGACATTTACCCCCAGGGCCAACGCCCCCCCCCCCCCCAGGCCTCTGCAGAGATGGACTTCGAAGCTCCTGTCTTCAGTTCACGGAGCAAGTTTCCAGCCTGGGAGCAGAGGTGCCCCAGGGGCTTTAGGGGCCCTGTAGGGGCCATGACCCCTAACCACATAAAAATGGTCTTGTAGTTGGGGACCAGCCAGATTCGTCCCAGCCAGAGTCACAGGAGCTCTTTATCATGGTCAATGGAAAGAATTACTGTCCTGGACGATTTGACATTGATGGTGGAAAAAATCTGAATTAAGCAGATTGTTTTTCTTTCTCGAGTTCTCATCGGGTGTCTGTCCACTGCTCAAAAAGCCAGTCTTTGAGTGAGCTTTTGAAGCAAATGTTTGACACCGACAGGCTCAGCGCTTTCCTGTTCTTCCTGTCCCTTACCGTCCACACAGCCTCCTTTCCTCTACGGGATCAGCCAGCACACGTCCCCAAGAAGTCCCAAGCACCCCCAGGGCTCAGTCACCATCCTGGGGCTGACAGCTCAGTCTCCCGGCAGCTGCACGGGACTGTCCTACAGGTGCCTCAGACTCGGTGGCCAGACCCACTCCTGCGTCAGCCTGCCTCCTGGCACCTGGGACAGGCCTCCCCTCCCCCTCCTCCACTTCTGTCCACTCTGACGCTCCCAACTGCGTCTCCACCTCCTCTCCATCCTCACTCCCAGCACGCTCTGCAGCCACTCCCGGACTCCACTTGTCCCCTAGATGCCCCGGTCACACAGCCGCGTGATCCAACTACAGTGCACGGTCTTGTCATTCCTCTGCCCAAAACGTGGCCGCGGCCCCACCCCACCCCCAGCCCTGAAGGGCCAGAACACGCTGGTCTGCTAGCCAGGCCTGCCTCTCTCTGGCCTCCCTTCCCCCCTCACCCCATTCTTCACCCCTAGTGTAGCTCTCAAGGCCCCTACACAGCCTTCATCTAGGCTGTCAGAACATTGACTCCTTGGGGGCTGCTGGGATCTGGGAACCTGCCTCCAGGGATGGGGACTGGCCCCCGCCTTTCTGACCAGGGCCTGGGAGACTGATGTCCACTCAAGTGGAGGCAGGCCGTCTCCCCCAGAGGCCCTGCCCTGCTGCACTGCCTGAGCCCTAGCCGGGCCACCCTCAGACCACTGCCCTTTCCGGGGAGCCTTCCCCCAGCACCCCAACTATGATGAGCTCCTCTGTGTGGATGTCTATGCGGTGCCTCTCCTGTGCCACTTGGACAGCTGTCCCTGTTCCCCGCCTTGAGCCATGGGGAGGCGGGGGCTGTGCTTATCCTTGACCTGAGCCCACAGTGCCAGGCACAGCCTAAGTGCTCAAACTACCTGCTGAACGGACAGGAACGTGAATATACTACCTCTGCTAGCACAGCAGAGTCCCGTACCTGAAAATAAAAGGTCTGAATGGGCTCCCCATCCTGGTCGTAGGTGAACTGGCCAAGAAGTGTCCCCTCCTGCTGCAGATCTTCATCAAATCCCTGAAGAGAGAACAAAGGATGGAGGGAAGATCTTGCTCTTAGACAAGTGCCCCAGTCACCCAGGGAAGAGTGCTTCCCCCCCCTGTCCCCACACTGAGTCCCCCCTCGCCACCCCTCCCCCGAGTTCAGCACCAGCCTCGGTGGGACTACAGGGGCCTGAGCACTGGACGTGGGTTCTCCCAGCGCAGCCTAAGATGCCGTTTCCCACGCTGGTGCGGTCCCTTCCAAATCTGCCCCCTTCCTCCCAAAGAATGGTCCTAGCTTTATCCCCAGTAAAGACCCACAGGGTCCCAGGGCCCCTCCGACCACCCACAGGTGGAATACTCACAAAGATGGCAAAGTCCTTGGGGGCACTGGAGATGGTGCTGTTGGGGGACAGGGACTTGGGGACGTGCTCTAAGGTGACAGCAGTGGGGCGGATGCGGGCAGAGAGGCGAACCACGGCAAAACCCTGGGGCCCCTGGAAGGCCCAACAGTTGCCTGGGTGCACATCTGGCTGGGGGGGGGAGGGGGCAGAGAAGGAAGTCGCGTCAGCACAGGGCTGGGACAAAGCCGGCCCTCCCTGACCACAGCTTCTGCTGGCTCAGGATGGGAGTCACCCGGCTCTGCAGGTGACCTGCTCAGGGCCCCTGCCGCTGCCCTCATTGGGTACCTACCTGGAGAATGACCCGGGGCGACTGCGAGTGGTACCACAGGGGGATGCCGAAGAGGCTCAGGAGGGCCGTCTTGGTCTCATAGGTCTCAGAACATCGGGTGCTGATGACACTAGCCCCTAAGCCCGGGACGAAAGGCAGTGTGGGCGCCTAGAGCTGGACCCCAGCAGGGGAGGGCGGAAGCCCCAGACACCTGTGCATCTCTCCAGCCCAGGGAACCCAGGGGGGACCGCTCTTGCCATGTCCTCTCTCAGGACAGGAGGGCAGGTGCCCCACGTCTAGTCTTAGACCTCACCCCAGCTATAGAGCAACTGTAAACATTGTTCTCCCTGGCTAAGGAGGGTATTGAGTTCATCTGGGCCTCTCCGAGTTTCTTCTCTTGCCTTCCCCGTGAGTGATTTCTGCTGATCTCAAGCCCTGCTTGCCTAGCACCTTGGCTACGGGGGGGGGGGGGCGGGGGGGGCGCGCGCACAGACCTCCCGATTCCAGAGCGTAGTCCACCATCCCGATGCGGTCCTCGCTGTAGCGCTTCAGAGCCTGGTTCACAATGCGCTGCACCTGCTGAAACACGCATCCAACGCAGCTGCCACGAGAAGCGGACTCATCCAGCCGTGAGCCCCCCACTGCTGGGGGCTAGCGCCCCGTGGACCAGCCCCTCCTATCCTGCACCGCATGCTGGTGGTCCAGCCACACCTGCCACTTAACCTAGATGCACCCCCGCTCTCCCCCACCAGCCCCAAAGAAACTCTGGAGTCTCCTCCATGTCACCTAGGTCTGGGGATGTACCAGGAAGCTGGCAGCGCAGGACTGCACAGGTCTAGGACTCCCAGGGAGGAAAGCGTTGGGGGGGGGGGGGGGCTCCCGGGGCCACACGGTCCTCACCTCCTCTGTCACCCCGATCACGCCTTCCCTCTGCAGCGTCAGCCCCAGGCTGGCGGCGGCCTCCCTTGCCGACTGGCCCCGCATCTCGGCCACGTGAGCGAGGATCCTGCCCTCCAGCTCCTGCAGCTGGGCTTCCATGTCCTCTCGCTGGAGAAGCCCGCTGCGCGTCCCCCCGCCGCGGAGAAGGAACTGGCTGACCCAGGCGGGGAACTGAGACTCCACCTAGCGACAGAAGGAAGGTCTCTGAGGCTCACGGGGACAGTGGCCCAGGCCAGGGTGGTGCCTGGCTGGAGGGGCCGGGGCGGGAAAAGAGCACAGGCGCCACAGGGAAGGGCCCGCACATCCCGCTAGCCCACATGAAGGAAGGAGTCCCAAATGACCCCTTCACGTTATCGGTAACAAAACAGGAAGAACTGTCCACGACAGCCAGCATCTGGGCCAAGTCCAGGGGCTTACAGGACCAGCAGGCCACCGGGGCAAAAGGCTCTTTGCCGTACGGACTCCCGGGACAGACACTCTCTGGGGACAGACACTCTCTGGGGACAGACACTCTCTGGGGACAGGGTGTCCGCGGGGGACTTGGACGGTTCTGACTTACGTCGTCCCTCACCGCCTGCAGCTCCTGGGGCAAGAGGCCCACTCGCTCTGCCACCGAGCTCTGCTTCAGGCTCAGGGCTGCCAGCTCCTCCCGCAAGGCTGCCAGCTGGCCCTCCAGTCGGCCCAGCTCCTTCAGGGAGTTCTCGCGGAAGGACTCTTGGGTCATCCTACGCCCAAGGAGAGGAGAAAAGAATACGCCTTGGCTCTCTGGTGAGGTGCAGGCCAGGCTGAGGAACGCGAGAGGATCCCCTACTTGGCCCCCGACAGAAGTGAGTGCCCAGCACCTGCACGTGGACGCAAAGCCTCCGCCTGCGGCCCTGGCTGTAGAACACAGCCCCAGGGCCTTTGAACGGGCTTGCCAATCCCAAGGAGCGAATTCTTAGCCTGTTCCCTTCCTAAGACCAGAGCCATAATTCACCCTGCCTCAGCCTCCCCCATCCTCCACACGGGTGGATATCTGGGGCACGGAAGGCAGCCTGCATGAGTGTGTACCGATAGCGTGTCTACAAGTGAACCCACAAATCCTAATTCTATTGCAGTGCCCCCGTCCCCCCTTCTTTTGCACTTCAGATGTTCCTGAGCTGGTTTTCAGCCATCCCCTCTCTGCTCAGAACACACTCAGAACTCTGCTCTGGGGCTTTGCGCCCCAGGCCTGCCAGGCTGCAAGGGGGGCGGGGGGCGGGGGAAGAGCAGGCCTGGGCCAGACGGCAGTGCCCGTTACCTGTGCCACTCGGACTTCAGCTCCTGGAGTCGGGCCTCAGACTCCTGTAAGCAGGAAGAAGGCAGAAATACGACATATACGCCAGGCTCGGAGCAGTGGGGTCTCCCAGAGCAGGACCTACTCCCTTTGGAGCCTCTGTTCACACGGAGCCCTGCCCCAGGCCCCCCTGACCTCTCCAGCAAACGCTAACCTCCTCCTGGTCTGGGTCCCCGTGCAAGGCTTGCCCCGTCTGCACGCTTAGGCGTGCAAACATTCCCTCATTCATTGAGCAGCGTACATCCAGTGCAACAGGCCTCTTGAAAGCAACCCTTCCTCAAACACACGCCTGGGCATCCCTGCAGAGCATTCCGGCGCTCCGGGTTTAGCTCCAGCGAAAGTTGGGAGAGGACCCCCCGCCCCCCCCACATCTGGTGTCCAGCACCCTTCGGGAGAGCCGAGCTGCCTCGGCCCTAGGGCAGATGTTGAATTGGATCAGGGGCCCCCTGGAGGCCAGCCCACCAACCTGGGAGGCCTGGACGATTTTCTTGAAGAGATCTTCAGAATCTTGTTGATGTTCTGCTCTCAGGGTGGCCAGCTCTTCCTGTCGGACACGGGGACAGCGTCTCAGGATTTTACTGAGTTACGTGCGGAGAGAACTTCGAACCAGTAAGTGACGGAACTGGAATCCGAACCAGGCCCATCGGACTGCAGACGTCAGCTCCTGGCCTTTATGCTGCGAGTGTTTCTCAAACACGCCAGACCCCACCCCCCTTGATCTCTGCTGCACCCCTACTGTGCCAGGCACCCTGGGGTCCCGCCATCAGGGGTGGGAGTGCCCCCAGGGAAACCCCAGAGTCTCCCATTTTAGAGGAGGGAACAAAGGCTTAGAGAAGGTCAGTGACTGCCAAGTGACACTGCTGTCCCTCTCACGTCAGGGTGTGCAGGGCCTCTCCCTCTCCACCCCACACCCCCCCAGTGTCACCCCCATGCCACTCTGCTCACGCTCAGAGACCTGGATCCGAGCAGCCATGTCCCTGCGGAAGTCCTCCTTCAGGGCAGCCTCACGGCGGCTCACCAGCCCTTCCAGAAGTGCCAGGGTGTCCTCGTGGCTCAGGCCTCCGTGGCCTCCCCCGCCAGCGGCCCCTTGCCGCAGTTCCAGACGTTCCAGCCGCACGGCCTCCTTCTGCCAGTTGGAGGAAAATTCGGCAGCGAGAGCTTCGAGGCGCCGCTCCAGGGAGTGCACTCGAGACAAGATGCGCTGCTCGGCCTGGCGGGGCAGGAAAAGCCACTGGGGTGAGGGACAGGACAACAGCGCTTCCTGAAGTGACAGGGAAGGGAATCCCAGGGACACCCAGATGTGAACATACGCTGGCCCGGAGGGCCGTCCGTGCCCCACAGGTAGGTGAGTACACTGGCAGGGCAACGGGGCACCGTGAGTGTAGGGACACGCGGCGGCAGAGGGCAGCACAAGATGCTGGGGGCGGGGGGTGTGCGGGCCAGGGGGGAGGGGACACAGCGCCCTCTCCACAGAAGGTCCAAGTGCAGGAACACATCCAAGAAGACCAGCCCCTCCCCTCGCCTACGTGTGTGCGAACGCAGGAGAGCGAGGGGCCGCCAGGCTCAGCTGCCCACTTCGTCCCGGAGAGCTATGGCTAAAAGGCAAACTAATTCGAGGAGGCTTTCTTCTCTTTAAGTGGACGGCCCACAGAGTAGATAGAATAAGTCCTGTGGACTTGACGGTGGCCCCTGATGGCAGGCCATGGCTTTTGAAAACCTTGTTGGCTTCAAAACAAAAATCCTTGCCAAGAGAAATTATCATCTGTCAACTGTCGGTTAGAGACCGGGGCCTCCTCCCGAGTGCAGAAGTTTCTTCTGGTGTTTAAAGGTCTTAAAATAGGCAGTACGTTGGCAGGACTCAAAGAGCCAAGAGTACAAAGTCATCCTTCTCACCTGTGCCCTCATCCACCACCACCTGCTCCCAAACCGGGCAACTATTTTTATTAGCGTCTTAAGCAAACGTAAGCAAGTGCAAAGGCACACCTGTTCTTTACCTCTCCCTTTTCACGGAGCAGGCAGCCCTGAAACTGCACTGTATTTCACATCTTTACTAAGGATTCAAAAAGGGAAAGTTATGATGCTGAAACAGGTCATTATTTTATGAAGTGACAGCATGGCGGCCAAGGACAGTAATAGTCCCCAAAATAAACGGTTAAAGATGTGTTCCCCAATTACATTCAGCAAGATACACGCAAAACTCGGATATGATTAGGGGAAAAAAGAATTAGGCACGTTTCCCTGTCGACCTCAACACACGCACGCACACATTCTGGTCATCTGTGCCCTGTCACCCCCCACACTGCACTGCAGGCTCCTTGCGGACACAGCCTGGGCAGCCTCTGACCGATGGCAGACACGGCCCTGTCCCACTGTCCTGCCTCTATTTGCCCCATCTGCAGCGTGGCCTTGCACGTGTTTCTATCAAGATGTGCAGTCTATTCCCTCCCTCTCTTTTTATATTTATTTTTGAGAGACAGAGCATGACCTGGGGAGGGGCAGAGAGGGGGGAGACACAGAATCCGAAGCAGGCTCCAGGCTCTGAGCTGTCAGCACAGAGCCCAATGCGGGGCTCGAACTCATGATCTGTGAGATCATGACCTGAGCCGAAGTCAGAGGCTTAACCGACTGAGCCACTCAGGCATCCCTCTCTCTCTGCCTTTGAGTCTAGACTGGCTCTGAGATTTACTTTGGCCTGGAATAAGGAGGAAGGGACAGTGTGCTGGTCCCGAATGGGGGCCTGATTTTGCTCTTGTGGAACCATGGTTGTCTGCTAGGAGACAGAGCCAGGGCTCGCCTGATGGGCGAAAAGAGCACATGTGGCACCCAGCCTGGCCCCTCCCCCCCGCAGCTAACCCAGCAGCCGGGGTCCCTGCTGAGACCAGAAGAGCCACCCAGAGGACCCACAGGCTCGTGAGCTAATCAAATGCTTGCAGCTTTAAGGCACTGGTTTTAGGGGTGACCTGTTTGTGGTAACAGGTAACTGACCAGCACATCACCTTATTTGTGGAAGATGCTGAGGAACTATTTATGAACCTACTGAAAAGGAACATAGAAGACACAATGATTCACCCAATTCCTTTTCCTTCTGGGTTTTTTGTTTGTTTGTGCTTAAGATGACAACGAACTTTGGGACGGTCTGGAGTCCCATTTGAGCACAAGCGAACTCCTCCCCCAGTACGTGCCCCCCCCCCCCCCCAAACAGCAGAGAGCAGGGACAAGGCAGTCCACCAGCTAGGACACCGCCCAGGTAAGGTGTGAGGCCAGAGAAACCAACTGCACATACGGGCAGAGTGAGGACCCGTGACCCTACGAGACTCACCTGGAAGTGGGGCGAGTCTCCGGGCTCCCACACGTCGTGCTGCCTGGGGCCGCCCTTGGCCGCCCACCAGGAGACCATCGCAGGCTGGAACGCGTGTAGCCCGTAGGGGTAGAAATACCAGGCACCTGTACGCAGAGGAGAGGGGGTGATCCAGGCCTGTGGCCATAAGCCGGAAGGCACACGCTGCTGAAGATGGCTGCCTGGTTAACACGGGTTAGTCGCAGCCTGTCTCATGCTGCGAGCTGGGCTTCTGCTGGAAGGCGGTACGAGGAATGGAGGGGCCTGTCATTCTCTGAGGCAGCAGCTTCCATGTGACTGGCGCAGAGTGTGTGCTCTCTCCCCTCCCTCATCTTTCTGTAAATGGCAGAACTCAGAGAGTGTGGCTCTGATAAAGCTAGGGATGACCCAGAGGTAGAACCAGACGACCTGATGATGGCTCTGGGCCCAGACTATCTATCAAGATCACCCAAGAAGCTTTTGGGGCAATTGGGTGGCTCAGCTGGTTAAGCGTCTGACTTCGGCTCAGGTCATGATCTCGTGGTTCGTGAGTTCGAGCCCCGTGTCAGGCTCTGTGCTGACAGCCCAGAGGCTGGAGCCTGCTTCAGATTCAGTGTCTCCCCCTCTCTCTCTCCCTTCCCCTTCTCCTGCTCTGTCTCAGTCTCTCTCTCTCGCTCTCAAAAATAAAGCATTAAAAAGAAAAGAAAAAAGACACCCAGGAAGTTTTTAAAATACCCACTATGTGGCTCCACTTTCTAGAAAGTGAATTCACGGGTCTGGGGTATCCTTCTAGAGGGGAGTCTTTTTTGGGTTTTATTTATTTATTTTTCTTAAATAGTTTATGGTCAAGTTGGTTTCCATATAATACCCAGTGCTCATCCCAACAAGTGCCCTCCTCCATGCCCCATATTTTAAATATCCATTTATTTTTGAGAGAAAGAAGAGAGACTGTGAATAGGGGAGGGGCAGAGAGATGGAGGGAGACCGAATCGGAAGCAGGTTCCAGTCCATCAGCACAGAGCCTGACGTGGGGCTCAAACTCACAAACTGCGAGATCATGACCTGAGCCAAAGTCGGATGCTCACCAACTGAGCTACCCAGGCTCCCCAGGTAACTCTACTGAGCTGCCATGGTTGAGAATCCCTGAAACAAGACACCTACTAAGAGAAGGTGCTTCTGACCCAGGACAACACAAGGCTGAGGCCACAAAAACGCCTGCATCTCGCTTTAGGGGCCGTCGGCTTGTGAGGTGCTTACTCCTGAGCATGTGCATGTGCGTGTGTGTGTGGGGGTGGGGGGGGGAGGGATGAGGGCACCTGAAGAGCTGTATCAGCCAGTGGGTCTCCATCCACACTTGCCACTCAATCACCAGCAGGGAGCAGGTGCGACTGGAAGCACACGCCCACCAGGCTTTCCATCAGGCCCTCGGACATGCCTCACTTAACGCACTCCCTGAGCAGGCCACACCCCCCACCTTTCGGGGGCCCTCCACAGCATCTCTTCATGACGCCCCCAGGACATCAGCCCCATCAACCCAATGAGGCCATGGTGGAGCTCAAATTAACAGTGACTCACGAACAAGGCACTATATGATTATAAAGGATCATTATTATTTCAAGGGCGATGCCCAGTTTCCACTGGACATGAACAAGCTCTTCTTGTAACAGGAAACAAAGGAAATCAACACTTGGAAACTTCTTCTACCTCCTGCCTATTAAATACTAGTTGAGTAGATGCTATACCTAGAAAACCAACTCAAGAGATAAAGCGGGGTCTTTATAAGAATAAACTGGTACAATAATTAAAACGGAGTCTGGGGCCCATGGCGGCAGCTTGCATGGGGTTGTGAGACTGACAACTGTCAGGTTACAACCTGAATGCAATCGATAACAACAAGGATTACAACTATTGTAATAGTGAAAGTCCTAGGATAGAGCACGGAACAACGTCAAGCATCTTGTGAATGCGCGATCACAGCTCATGGTTCGGGAGTTCGAGCCCCGTGTCAGGCTCTGTTCTGACCGTGCAGAGCCCGCTTGGGATTCTCCCCACGCCCCCCACCCCGGGCTCTCCAACTCGTGCTATCTCAAATAAACTGAATTTTTAAAAAAAAATGAAGGATCTTAGTATAAAAAGGCAGACTTCTCTTTACGACTTTATTGTCTGAATCTTAAAGACAGCTAAAGATTGAACTTGATGCCGTGACAAGAATTCACTCACTCAGACTATGTCCTAATTTGGAATGGAGAGAGAGTGACTACTGATAACACTTTTTACCCCAATACTCCTGTTCTGCGGCATGTTCTGACTCAAGACAGCTCCTGTAGACACGCCAGGCAGCCAAGTGCAGCCACCCAAACGGAGCACAAGGGTCAGCGGATTGGGGCACATCCCCTCTCACGCACTGGACACCCTGCGAGCGCTACACGGGTCCCCGAGGAGCCAGGAGGGCCAGACAGGAGTGGCCGAGGGCTCGGGAGCGGCCCAGGCTCAGTCTGACCCCACGCGCCCTGCCTCCTTCCCTTCCCGGTAGGCGATCACCGTCCCTCTGGTTTTCACATCTCCGATCAGCACCAGCCCGCCCCCCCCACGCTGCCCTGCCCGTCTGGCTCACCAGCTCCATCCATTTCGGCCTGGCGTGCTCTTCCTACCCCTCCCCTGCAGCGCCGGGCAAGCTTACCGTAGGTCAGGCCAGTCAGGAGCAGCAGCAGCAAGAGGAACCACAGGAAGGTCTTCACAGAGGAGAAGCGCCTGGACCACAGGAGGGGACAGCAGGGCAGGAAGAGGGGTCAGGAGGACACCCAGGCCTCTGTATCCCTGCAGGGGGTCTGCAGACACGCTCCCTGGGTGCCAAACTAGAGTAGGGAGGGGGGTGCCCTGGAGCACCTCATCTTGCCAGGGCCGGACCGGATGCTTCTAGGGCTTTACCTGCAAGTCTTGGAATAATGGCAACAATGCGGACACTGAATTTGATTGAGGGGATTTAAAATTAAAAAATGGGGTCCTTGAAAAACCTGGAATTTTCATACATACAGGTCCTTTAAGCAAGTGGTTCTAGAAAAAAAAATACAGAGCTCCTTAAACAGTATTTTCTTCTAGAAAAATATGGAGCCTGGCCTTCTTGTCAGCAGAGCCAGCCGATCATCCAGCCAGGATTACGGCCAGAGGACCCCGACTTCCAGGCTCAGTCTTCTTTCCTGGCTCTGCTGGGTCAGGGATGCGGAAAATCAATGCGCAGCGTCACGCAGCACATGTCCCTGGGTTCTGAACACAAAGCAGAGGATGCTGGGGTCTAGACTGCCGCAGGGCCAGGAGGGAAGCTCAACTTTCTTGGAAACACCACTTGTTGGCCGGAGCCTAAAACCCGACCAGCCGGAGCAAGACCAAGCTGTCAGATTCAGAAGTCTGGGCGAGCCCGGGTGGTTCAGTTGGTTAAGTGCCCGACTCTGGCTCAGGTCATGATCTCGTGGTTCGTGAGTTCAAGCCCTGCGTCGGGCTCTGTGCTGACAGCCGGGAGCCTGGAGCCTCCTTCAGATTCTGTGTCTCCCCCACTCTCTGCCCCTCCTCTGCTCATGCTGTCTCTCTCAATAATAAATAAAAATGCTTAAAAAAAAAAAAAAAGTGGCTGGCTGGGGGCTGGCACTTAGCAGGAGCCCAAATAACAGGAGCCCATAATTTCAGAATTCTCCCTGAAAGGCTACTGGCCTGGAGAGCAGCACCAGACTCGATCCCACTACCTGTCAGGCAGAGAGGGGCTCTGGAGAGTCTACTGTATGCTCACCGCTAGAAACTACACGGAAACTGGGGGAAAAGAAACCTTTGGAGAAATGACATATATGGGTTTAGAAGCCCTATCAGTCCCTTGGGTCCCAAGGCTTTGTGATTCATTGTCAAGGCGGGAGTCTTGCTCACCTGGTTAAAACGAAGACATCGAGGAGGGAGGCCGCTGTCGTCAGGCGATACCAGGTGGTGCCAACCCACCAGTAGAGGAGTCCAAAGAGCCGGCCTAGAAGGGGGACGGTCAAGGCCTGGGCGTCACCCTGAGCCAGCGGCCGGCAGGGTGTGGCTTCAGGGCATTACTGCCTTCACCTGCAGCTGCCCCCCCGCCCAGTGCTGACCAGCTGGCGCACCGGGGTCCTCCAATCCCACCCGCCTACCCTACCGACACCCTCCACCCCACTCCACAGCTGCTCCTGCCCTTCTGCGTGGGAGTGTCACAGTGTTACCAAGGCTCCTGCTTTCCAGCGGCTTATTCCAGAACGAGGTCTCCCTGCTCGTCCTGTGGGCTCTCTCAGTGGGATCCCCAACCACAGGAAGAAGGGGACGAAGGCCCTGCTGTCGGGAACGGAAATCATCGTGCACGGGCTCGCCAGCACCCACCTGGAGACGTGACCACCATCCAGAAAAGAGAGGCCGCCCAGGAGACTGCGTTCCTTAACCGTGAACCCGAACTACGGTGGTCAGTCTCTGAGTATCCTGCAGGGACAGAGAGGCCACAGCTCAGTCTGTCCTCACTTTTAAGAGCCCAGGGATATGGAGACCGCCTATTATGTGTCTTCTCCTTTAGACTGTGAGCTGAGACCACATATCATGCTCCTTCGCATCCCCAGAGCGTCACACAGGCCTGGCACCTAGTGGGTCCATAAAGGTCTGTCAAAGGAACGAAACGGTATGGTTCTGACACCTCCCTTGAGCTTACTGTCCGCTTGCCTCTCCTCACCAGCAACCCTTCGAACCGTCTTTCAGAGCTAGACCGAAGGGGTCAGGCACCTCCTCTGTATGAAGGCCCCCATCAAGTATTTGCTGGAAATAAGTCAGACACAACGGAGTGGACCAGAGGCTGCTCGGACTGATGGGGACAGGGCAGTCACAGTGGGTCAAGGGCCGCCCCAGGCCTGGGTTCAGGGTGCCATGGTGACACGGGGGCGATGCCCGGCTGGCTCCCCAACGTGTGGAGGGGCTGCCGGACACCGCGCTCTCTCAGGCTGTCAGGGGGCACCTTCCCCGGGCTTCCTGTCACCTCCCTCGGCACTCCCGGAACGTGCTGGAACGTCTCCCTGAGGCGTCGCCCACCTGCGTAGTCATCCTCCGAAGAGTAGCCGGAGGAAGACCCCAGGAATTCCTCGGAGCCCTTGTTCTCGGACAGCCCGTTGAGTTTGCTGCTCTCCGTGCCGCCTGTGCCTCTCCTCCTCCTCACCCGCAGATCCTCACCTGAGGAGGGAAGAACTCAGGGTCCTCCTGGGGCCGGGAGCTATCCCAGAAGGCCTCATGGGGACACGCGGAAGAGCCTTTCTGATGGACAGATGGAGCTGTCCTGAGCTTCTCCCCAGGCTCCCCGGGCAGGTCTCCGGGGCTGGAGCAGCTCCGTGGCCACCTGGTCGGAAGTGGCCACCTGGTCGGAAGTGGCCACCTGGTCGGAAGTGGCCACCTGGTCGGAAGTGGCCACCTGGTCGGAAGTGGCCCGCAGGTTCAGACATTCGACTCCCCTTCCAAGGGTTTCTGCAGACGGGGAGCCCTTCCCCTGGCCCAGCAGTGGTTAGGAAGCCACTCAGGGGAGATTTCTGGGCCTTAAGTTTCCAGAAGAAGCAAAGCCCTGCGAGGGAGGTTTCAGACAACTCACCCCAGTAGGGATCACTATGCAGCTGGTCGTCGAGGATGGAGCTCCTGGCGAGGGAGGCGGCCCGGGGGCTGCCAAAGTAGGACTCGTGGACCACCGACTCGCTGTAGTAGGATGTGTGCGCGTCGGAGGGGCCCAGCTGTGGCGCTGGGGAGAGGCGCTTCATGTTGCTGGATTTCCTCTTCAAGGTCCTGCGGGAGGGGCGAGGAGGGGACCAGGCAGGTGAGCCCAGCCAGGAACAGGGAAGGAGCGCTCTGCCCACCTCCAGCCAGCGGGGCAGCCTTGTTGCTAGGCAACTAACAGCTTCCCAGCTCCCGGCACGCTAACCACAGGTGCTTTCTCTGCCCCCATTATCTCCACATCTCACCAGAAGTGATGAAATCAGGTTTCAAATCCAGGTCTCTAACTTCAAAGTCAAAGGTTTTTTGTTTTTTTTTTTTTTTCTCTTTTCCTTTCCTTCCTCCTTCTCATGCTTCTAATGGAATAACAATTTCTACCACCCACTGAAATCCCAGGCCAACCCGACCTGGCCTCCCAGGGCTAGCCAAAGCCTCACAAGCATGGTCATCTGGGCCTCGTATCTGCAAGTGGGGCTGGGTGAGAGGCAGGCGCCTGCTTTAAGCTCATTTGCCATGCTCCTCGGACTTGACCTCTCCCGGGCTGCTCTGCTGGGTCTGGAGAGGATGGTCAGATGGGCACATCCACCCGGAGCAGAAAGGGCTCCTGTGAACCCCGCCTGCACTTTCAGGGTTTCTGGCCTGGCTTATTTTTGAAGCTGCCTCTCCCCACTTCCTGTTCTCTGACGAGATGGCAGCAGCCCGGCTTACGATACGGGGAGAAGAAAGAGCAGCGCTGGGTCCCGGCATCCTCAAAAGGTGCGAATGTTCCCCGTCAGCTGGGTATGGGCACCTGATCTCTGCCCAGTGAGGTGGCAACAGGACAAGGCTGTGCAGTGACCTGCCCAGAGCCCTCTGCTCCGCAGATCAGCGCTATCGGGAGGGGGGGCAGGGGAGGTGGGGTGCGGGCAGGGATGGTAACCCCCTACCTGAGAGGGCTGTCTTTAAACAGGGTGCTCTGGCTCCCCATCACTGAACTCCCTCCACTGCTGCTGCCGCCGTCATCGTCGCCCTGGGAGTAGCGCGTGAGGCGCTGGCTTCGGCGGGACATGACGAGGTAGGATGGGGACTCTCCCCCTGAAGAGAGCCTTGGGAGGGAAAGGAGGACAAGGGAGGCCTGGGGTGGGGGCGGTGGTGTTTCAGTTCCTCCCCAGGGACCTCCTCCCAGCGAACAGCCCACCCCCTGTGCATTCCAGACAGACAGCCCAGGAGGTGGGGACGAGGGGCATCTATGGACCATCCCTGGGCACCGCCCACCCTGCAGCCATCCAGCCCCGCCTTGGGCTCACTTAGTGCCAGGTGGCCTCCCTCATGGTACTTTCCACAAGCTTTTCTAGCTTTCAGTTTGACACTGAGCTGCCTGGGAAGCAGAACCGGACCTTCTGCAACCTTTAGCAAGTGGCAGAGCATGTGGAACAAGAGAGGCACGCAATAGACGCTAACTGAATGCCTTTGATCAACTGCTGTCCCCACAGACTCTCTAGTCCGGCCATCCCACCATGCAGCTGGCGCCCTGGAGCTGCGTGCGTGCACATTCCAGCTGTTTCTCTTCAAGGGGACACACTTTCTTTCTCCTGGGCTATTACTCATTGATTCAGGGTCCCAATCCAACTTTGATTGGAGAAAACCTTTCCGGGGTAAGCCCCGCCTACATCCTGAAGGTGTCTGCACGTATCCATCAGTGATTACTGTAGTGCAATGTCAGAGCATCCTATATGACGACGATCGTGATGACAAAATACGTTGTTAAATGCCTCCTAGGTACCTGGCTCCTTATGCGCTCGTTTCTGATCCTTGTCAACACAGGAGGTACCATTACTGCCACTGTACAAGGGAGGAACCTGGGACCCTGAGATGATCGGGGACCCTGCCCACAGTCACCTCGCCCGTAAATGACAAGAGGCAGGGTTTGAGCTCAGATCTGACAGGTGGCACAGTCTGGGTCTTTCCCCTCTGCCATAAAGTTTCCAAGATGCTTTAGGAACGTGTGTCCCCAACCAGAGTCTTTGACGGCCTCCACTATGCTCAGAACGGCCTGTAGGCAGAGTGGTCACACAACAAATGTTGGTTAACAAACTAACAAAACAGGGAGGTGGGGCAGCCGTGTGGGATCACAGTCAGTCCCTGCCGGAGGGAACAGGTCACCACGTGGGGTGAGAAGTCACGGCTCTGGAAATGATACCGAGGACTCAAAGGAGGCCAAGGCAAACAGACGTGGCAAAAAGGCAGTGTTTGACAACCAGAGGGTGATTAATCAGCCTTTCAGATATAGAAACCCACATTCAGAATCTCAGACGTCCAGCATGAAGAGTCTGAATGCGGAGCCTTGGCCTGCTCGTGTTACAAAGTCTCTGTTCTGCTTAGGCCCACTCAAGAGTCCCTAGTACCTGTGACTTCTCACTTCTGATACTCCTGGCCAATACTTAAATTATTAGTTCCCTCGGTCGCATGTTGGTTATAGGCGCTGATGTTTCCCAGCTCGAGACTATGGAAACCAGCAGGTCTGGTTAGTCTGGCTGGAGAATTCTAGAAAGTCCTCTTCTGAAAAACAAGCAGCCTCATGTCTTGGTCTTATTGGCATCTTCCCAGGCAGAATGCCCACTTGGCTGGCATCCCTCCCTGGTTTTTAGCCCGCGTTGGTAAAGGGACCCATTGGTAGTAGCCAAAGCAGGAAGTTGGCCTGGGTCCTTGTCTATATTCCTCTCCTTATAAGGTAATGCCACCCCCACTACTGCCCTCCCCACCTAAAAGCTCCTCCTCTTAACCCCTGCCTGCCCAAGAGGATGAAGCCTTCACCCTGGGGCAGAAACAAAGCAATGTTTCTGCCAACTCAAGCTGCTGTTGGCAAGAATATAAATATTCAGACGGAGGTGGCTGGAGGAGGGGGATGGGGCGGTCGGGGCTGAAAGCTGTCAGCAGTCAGCACCCTCCTCCGCCCTCCCAGAGGCTTCTCAGTCTTTCTTGTAGTCCTGATACCAAAAAATAGTTTGCGACTGAGTCTGGGTTTCAGAAAACGAGAAAGGTCAAGGCCTGAATCTTCCAAACCAAAACAAGAGGTGAACCTCTAGGAGCTCAGATCTTTTGCATATCAGACTAGACCCCACCCACCCAGCCACACACACACACACACACACAGTTAAGAAACCCTCACACAAAACATCCCTCCCCACTTCTGTGCTGAACCACATCCTTTTTCTCAACTCCACCTTTCCCCACACCCCCCTCTGCAAACTTCTATGTCAGTATCCACCCAGTCTCCAAACTTCGATCCTGGGCGTCCTCCACGGGCGTGTTCACGCTACTTTCCCTCGTGGGGCATGTAAAACGCCCCAGGTGCTAACTCCCTTCTCCCTTCATTTTCTCTACGAGCTGAACCTGCAGAGATCGGATTTTTTTTTTTTTTAAAAAACTAACCACGCGCCTTCCCTGCTGCCCTGCACTAAGTCACACTCCCGCCTCCTATTTGTTTGGTTTCTTTTTTTAAGAACTGAACAAAATGGGCCCTCCTCCTGTTCCCAGAGTCTGACAGGCAGAGGGCAGAGAACTGCCTGTCCCTGGAAACTGCCTGCCTGGCTCGAAAACACAGGCACTGCCCTGGGCCGGTTTGAGGTAGCCGGGTTCGCTCCCCTCCTCTCGGGGAGGTTCTGCCCTGGGGAAGTCCCGCCTGGGGACATCCGCCCTCCCGGCTGACCAGTGGGCGGCTGGCCCCGGGGACGGGGGTGGGGGTGGGGGGCCGGGCCACAGAGATGAGTCAGGACGGCTGGCCCCGGCGCGGCGCTGGCCCTTCCCGACCGGCCCAGGGGCGTGCGCCGGGCAGGGCTGGAGCCTGGCCCAGCTTGGCCGGGAGAGGAAGAACCAGGCCTGGGCAGCTCGGCCCTGCCTGCAGCGGCCCGCCGATGACCCCGGAGTCCGGCGGGGGCCCGCGGGGAGGCGGGAGAGGCCGGCCCGCCACCGCTGCCCCGCACGTCCGCCCGCCAGAGGCCTACCGCCGGCTGTTACCTGCTGCCGCGGCTGCTCGGTGCGGAGCCGGGGGCGTCCGAGGCCCGCTGCGCCGCCTGGGCGCGCCCCCTTCCCGCGTCGGAATCCTGCGAGCGGCGCTCGGCGCGGGGGCCCGGGGCGCGCGGGGAGCGGCGGCGCGGGACGAGGCCGGCGGGCCGGAGGGCGCCGCAGACAATGAGACCCGCGCAGAACCGCGCTGCGCGAGTGGGGCCGGCCGGCGCGCGCGTGGCCGAGTGTGTATGTGTGCGTCTGCCAATCAACGCTGACAGGCCGCCGCCCATTGGCCGGGCCCCACCCGCGTCACCGCCCACTGCCACCGCCCATTGGGCGGTTTGAACACAAAGGCCCCGGTTGGCTCCGCCCGCCGCGTGGGCCCCGGGGGCCCAGCGAGCAGGGCTGGGAGTCCGCGCGTGGGAGGCGTGGGGGCGGGGCCGAGCGCCGGGAGGGCGTAGCTGGAGCCCGTGTGTCGGGGGTTGGCCAGGCCTGGCTGCGCACTTGACTCCAGGCCTGGTGGCTCAAAACACCTGATCCTGCTCCCAGCACTGCCTCTTGCGCCTCACCCCACCCGTGGCCTTCCGGCCGTGGCGTCCTCGCTCCCCGCAAGCTGACTCCACGGGCGGGATGCCAGGGCCTTAAAGGCATCGAGTGATTAGGGAGACACAGCCTCTCTGAGGATGGCCCCCGACTAAGTGGGGGCAAGAAGAGTATAGGACCCTTGGCCTAAGGCCCACCTGGAAGGGTAGTTAGCTCTTAGCGGGCTAGCAAATGATTGTTGAAGGCTTGCTAAACACTTGGCATGCGTAATTGTCCTTTTCGCCAAGCACTTCTGCACCCATTTTAGAGATCAGGAAACAGGTTCATAGAGGTTTTAAGTGATTTGCTTAAAGGCACAGCTAGAAAGAGGCGAAATTGAGATTAGGAGATTCTCCTCACATCCACATCTGCTTTTTCTGCTTAAGGGTTGATTTTGGGATTCCAGACAGGGCAAGGAGGCTCTGGCACTTCCCGGTCTGCCCCCAGAGCCCCCACGTTTCACTGCAGAAGTGAAGGGAGGGAGTTTGCTACATTTGGTACTGAAAAAGCAAGGCTGGTTACCTCTTCCTCTGCCTCATTCAAATGTGTGTGATTGACAGATAATGAATGGGTAAAAATGCTGTCTGACTCCGCGGGACTGGCCAACTTTACAGAAGCAGCAAGTGCACCGCTTGGGAGGAGGCACTTCCTGTGCAAGTGCTTCTAAGGGTAACAGTGTCGTCATTGCACTTTACAGCACCAAGAGGAAGAGACAAGAAATTACAAAATTACTGAGACAGGACAGGAAGATGCTGCGGGTAGAGCGGCTTGAGGAAGAGCGAAGCCTTTGTGCTAAGTTGACTCCAGACAAAAAAACGACCCCTCTTCCTGGCCCTCTACTGCCCCTCCTGGGAAAAAAAGGGCCTCACCTGCACGTATAGCATCTTGAAGACGAGGGTTAAATGATAAACTGTCTGGCTCTCCAGGACCTCACATGGGGCCTGAGTATCTGCTGACTGTGGAAGGAATAAAATGAGAATGCAAATCAGATGTCAGGCCAGCATCCAGGGGTCTCCCTTGACACCTCACCAGGGCACTTACCTCCCCAACCCTGTCCTGGTCCAGTCCCATGGAGGGTGTGTATCTTACCACCTCCGTTGCAGAAGCTGTTTCGCTCTCCCAGGATCCTGGCAGAAGGACCCTTTCCCAGAGCACAGTCTGCTGATCTCAGGGAGGGGCCATGCCCACAGGCTGTGTTGCCTCTGTGGACCTGCGGGGAGGCGAATAATGGCCCCAAGGATATAGGTTCTAATCCCCAGAAACTGTGAACATTACTGCAGATGCCATTAAATGAAGGATTCTGAGATAGGAGATCATCTTGCATTATTTTTTTTAATATTTTTATTTTTATTTCTAGGAGAGAGAGAGACAGTGTGAGCAGGGGAGGGTCAGAGAGAGAGGGAGATATAGACTCTGACATAGGCTCCAGGCTCTGAGCCGGCAGTCAGCACAGAGCCCAGCATGGGGCTCGAACTCACGAACTGCGAGATCATGACCTAAGCGAAAGTCGGACGCTTAACCGACTAAGCCACCCAGGCGCCCCTCATCTTGCATTATTATGGGTGCCCCTAAATGAAATCACAAGTGTCCTTTAAGAGAGAGGCAGAGAAGAGGAGAGGGCAGAGATTGGAGTGGTATGGTCATAGAGAAGAAATACTGGCAGATGTCAGAATCTGGAAGAGGCGAGGAAGGGACTCCCCTCTAGAGCCCCCAGAGGGAGCATGGCCCTGCTGACGCCTTGATTTCGGTCCAGTTGATTTTGATTTTGGATTCCTGGTCTTCTGAACTGGGAGAGAATACATTTCTGTTGCTGATAAGTCACCAAATTTGTGCCAACTTATTACAGCAGCCACAGGAAAGGAATAAGGGCCAAGGAGGAATTCTCGCCTTGGCTGTTGAGGTCTCCCGTGTTTGTGCTGCGCCCCTCCGTCGCCCTGGCTGCCGCCACTGATGCCACCAGACTTGTGAGATCACACGCAGACCCGTGTCCCCATCTCTCTGCCCCTCGCCTGCGTGCAGTTCGCTCACCCGGCAACTCTCTGCCCTTCCAGGCTCTTGCCTGTGCGGCTGCCATTCAATTGGCCAGTCTTCCCCCAGCTCACCTCTGCCCTTGTTCTTGGCCGCATTCTTGCTCCGCCTCTCTTTCCTCATCATCTCAGACACAGTGGCAGGGCCGGGGGTGGACGGCTTTGCCCAGCGGAAGAAGGTCTCCATGGCTGACATTACAGACACTGCAGTGGGGCCATATGATGGCTTTCCCTGTCATTGGGCACTTTTGCCGTGGTGGCTACTTCCTTCATAACACACACACACATTTATTTATTTTGAGAGAGATAGAGACAGTGTGAGTCAGGGAGGGGCAGAGAGAGGGAGAGAGAGAATCCTAAGCAGGCTCCATGCTGTCAGCACAGAGACCAACACGGGGCTCGAACTCACGAAACCGTGAGATCATTACCTGAGCCAAAACCAAGAATCAGACGCTTACCCGACGGAGGCAGCTAGGTGCCCCCATTAAAAAATATATATTTAAATTTCTATATTACGATCACATTGGCTGAAAGATGACTGCGATGTAGGCTTGATTCAGGAGTAAATATTTATGACTATTATATGTAATTTTCCTCCTGGTGTTAAAAGGAGGAAAATGAACCCATTTCTGTGGGCCCTGGGTGCCATGCCTATTCTGTTTGATAGGAAAGTCGGCCGTGCACTGGGGATACTGAGGCACAGCTCAGCGAGGGGAGCTTGAAAGTGTCCCTCCCCCAGGGCAAAGGGCCTGCCAAAGGGCCCACCCGGTCGCTTCTGGGCCACAGAACTCTCTTCCGCTCTTACCCAGACCGGCCAGAGGAAGTGAGGTGTCAGGGTAGGAGTGATAAAAAGCAAGAAGGATGCAGGATCTGCAGCCCCGGCTCCGGGCCACGTGGCCCACTTGCCTGCTCTGTGATCCTGGGGCAGCCACGTGGCCTCTCGGAGCCATTTCTCTCACTCGTCAAATGTGAATCATAGCAGCCGTCCTACGTGTGACCTTGGACAGGTCGGCACGGCCCCCCTGGCCTCTGTTTCCTTGTGTGTGAGGTCAGGTGAGGCGAGAAGCTGCTCACAAACACCAAGGGCTTTTGCCAAC